GCAATTGTACAAGTTAGTCAACAAACAGTATTGTTTAGAATAGTAAGACATGGGTTGACATTTAGGGGTGAGGTAGGTTACATGGAGTTAATTAGGTAGTACTTAGTTCTAGTCATAAACTGGTTGAGAGAGGTACACAGTCTTTAACATGGTTGGGAAGGTCATTCCACATTCTGGGTCCCTTGATTTGTAGAGCATTTCTAGTTTGGTTAAGTCGTGCTCTTGGAATATTAAAACTGTATTTATTTCTGGTGTGGTGCTCATGGGTTCTGTTACAACCTTCTATGAAGCTTTTGAGATCAGGATTGGCATTACAGTTCAGCGTTTTATATATGTATAATACACATGAGAGAATGTGCAGTGACTTAATGTCTAACATATTCAGAGATTTGAGTAAGGGTACCGAGTGATGTCTGGGGCCAGAGTTGGATATTGTCCTAATAGCAGCTTTGTGTTGAGTAATTAGAGGACGTAAATGATTTTGGGTAGTAGAGCCCAAAGCACAAATACCATAGTTGAGATAAGGATAGATGAGGGAGTAATAGAGAGTCACCAGAGCAGGGCGTGGTACATAATATCTGATCTTAGAAAGAATGCCAACAGTTTTTGAAACTTTTTTTGATATATTTAGAATGTGTCCCTGGAAATTCAGCTTGTGGTCAATGAGAACACCAAGGAATTTGCAATCTACTTTGTTACAAATTTGTGTATTGTTTATCCTGAGATTTATTTGATTAGAGGATTTATTGCCAAATAAAATATAGAAAGTTTTGTCAATGTTAAGGGTGAGTTTGTTGGCAGTTAGCCAAAGATGGACTTTATTTAGCTCAGTATTCACTGTGGCATTTAGAGCAAGGGGGTCAGGTCTGGAGTAAATGAAGGTTGTGTCGTCAGCAAATAAGATTGGTTTGAGGTGTTGGGAGGCATTTGGAAGGTCATTAATGTAGATGAGACAGAGGAGAGGGCCAAGTATGCTGCCCTGAGGAACACCAATGTTGATGGGTAGGGTGGGAGAAATTAAATTATTCACAGAAACATACTGGAGCCTGTCAGTAAGGTAAGATTTGAGGTATTGCAGGGAGTGTCCTCTGACTCCATAATGATGTAATTTAAGAAGAAGGTTTTGGTGGTTGACAGTGTCAAAAGCCTTACGCAGGTCCACAAATAACCCAACGGGGAACTCATTTCTATCAAGAGCTGCATGTATCAAGTTAATCATACTAATAAGTGTATCGTTAGTGCTTTTTTTGGGTCTGAAGCCATATTGACAAGAGCTAAGTATATTGTGTTTGGCTAGATAAGAGTAAAGCTACTTGTAGATTAGTTTTTCAAATATTTTTGACAAGTTTGGCAGAATTCAGCGAGCCTCAGATTCACGAAGCAGTTACGCAAGCACTTACGAACGTGTACATCTTTCCTCAATCTTTGACGACTTTGGTTACATTTATTAAACAGTTTAAAAGCATGAAAACTTCCCATTCAACTGTTTTTATTGTTATAAACAGCCTCCTGGTGCTTCGGAGCTCCTTAACTGTTTAATAATTGGAAACAAAGCCGCCAAAGATTGTAAAAAGATGTACAGGTTCGTAAGTGCTTGCGTAAGTGCTTTCGTGAATCCCCTGCTCAAGAGCTGTAGCTGCCCCAGACCTCACCAGGTGTGCTGTAGCTGCCCCAGACCTCACCAGGTGTGCTGTAGCTGCCCCAGACCTCACCAGGTGTGCTGTAGCTGCCCCAGACCTCACCAGGTGTGCTGTAGCTGCCCCAGACCCACCACAACAACAATAACCAAGACGCGTCACTGTGACCTTGATAAAGTCCATCAGATCTCATCAACAACAGCACTGATAACCTGTCCATCGACGTGTGGTAGTACAGTGTAGCACTATAGGTTCCCACTTTATTATTTGGTAATGCAAACTGAGTGTTTACAGTAAAGTAAGGTGTGTGTTTTGACTTACCTGAGAGCCACTAACACTAGAGGTCTCGACGAGGACTGGAAGCCGGCAGCATGCCAAACGTCCCTCCTATTTACCCTGATGATTTTTTTTCCAGCTAGATTTTAGTTTTTGGAATTTACGACTTCAGCGGGTAGGCGGTTCCTTGGGTTAATAACCCTGCGGGTGAAAAAGCATCAGTTCTCAGTCCTACATTGTGGCTTGTTGGGCTTGAAACCGTTGCTTCTGGTTTGTGTTACATCGGACTTTTACAAGACGTCTGTATCAACATCCTCCATATTGTTCGGTATTTCAAAAGTTTCGATGAGATCCGTCCTGTCATGCCTACTTTGCAGTGTTGTTAGCCCTGTGGCCCTCAACCGTTCCTGCTATGAGAGTCGACTTAGTTCCTGAATATTTTTCATTGCCCGGTGTTGAACTTTCTCCAGAGCAGCTGTGTCCTGGTGAAGATGAGCTCTCCGTGCTTCGATACAATAATCTTGACAATAATCTTGGATACAGTAATTTTGACAATAATCTTGGATACAATAATTTTGACAATAATCTTGACAATAATCTTGGATACAATAATCTTGACAATGATCTTGGATACAATAATTTCTATGCTTGGAGACAAAGCCCATACCCATAATCCATATAGGTAGAACTTTATGTGAACAAAATAAGGTATGTGAGCTGACTACCAATATATGGTAGGAATATACCTAAGATTTACCTATACAGTATATACAGTACCAAAATTCTGATTAGAAGAAGGTAAAGTTATTTAGTTTATTATTCTTATTATAGAATAGTAATTTTACCTAGTTTATTCTTCTTATTATAGAATAGTACACAAATGTCAGCCATGTGACTATATAACCTGTATCAATGTTTCACACTGTTTCATCAGCTTGGCAATTAGAAATTGACCATCTATGCTATCTCTTATTATTTAAAAGTGAGCTTATCAAAAAAGGAAAGCAAATTAGTTTTACATTCCTCGGTGTACGATTAATGTTCTTATAAGAAAATTTTCACCCTTTTCCTTATAAGAAAATACCAGTGATATATACATTCACATAGACTATGAGGTATATATAAGGGCATTAAACACATATACCCAGTAAATGAGTATATGCAGATGCAGTACACAGCTGCCAAAAGCTTGGTGTCTTTTTCTGATAATTACTTACTTAAAGCTTTCAATAAGGTACCGCATGAAACACTGGAAAGGAAATTATAAGTATATGGAATAAATGGTAGAATACTAGAGTGGAATGAGCAGTGATTAAAACAGAGGAAGGAATTAATTATTATTAAAATAAGTCATCCTAAATGGAAATTAATCTGACTGATAGAAGGACCTAGGAGTTAGGATCCACCAATCACTGAAAGTTGCTCAACAAATAGTTTCTGCACAAAAAAATTCAGCCAAACATTAAGAACAGTCTAATTTGACTTCTGTAAAAAAGAAAGTGGTTATTCCACTAGTCCGCTCGGGAGCCGGTCGGCCGAGCGGACAGCACACTGGACTTGTAATCCTGTGGTCTCGGGTTCGATCCCGGGCGCCGGCGAGAAACAATGGGCAGAGTTTCTTTCACCCTATGCCCCTGTTACCTAGCAGTAAATAGGTACCTGGGTGTTAGTCAGGTGTCACGGGCTGCTTCCTGGGGGTGGAGGCCTGGTCGAGGACCGGGCCGCGGGGACACTAAAGCCCCGAAATCATCTCAAGATAACCTCAAGAAGACTCTAGTACATCCCCATTTGGACTACTGTATCCAGTCTTGGAGACCTCTTCAAAGTGACATACCTGCTTTGCTTTGGAGTTCAACATAAATTATCCATTTACCAAGTCAAATCTCATACCAGGAACTGTTGAGGGCCTCGGTACTAACAACATTGCAAACCAGACATGATAGGACTGATCGTGTCAAAATCTTAAAAATACTGAACAACTTGGAAGATATTAATCCAGACCACTTCTTTAAAAGGTCAAATGAAATGCATACAAGGAGTGACAGTTTCAAGCACAACAATCCACAAAAGTAGGACAGAAAATAGGAGATGCTCTTTACCCATAAAGCAATAAATCTATGCAATCGTGTACCCGCTGAAGTCATAAACACCAAGACATTACAGTACTGTACTGTACTGTACTGTACTGTACTGTACTTAAGTTTAAAATTCGCCTGGAAAAATATTCTCATGAACAATGGGGGAGGGGGAGACTGACAAGCTGCCAGCTTCCTGTTCCTGTTGAGGCTACTGTAGATAAATTCAGATAAATAATGTGATATATTAGGTTCAAAATCCATTAGCAAGCCATCTTGGGTAAGAAGTGACCTGTACCCATATAGGATTACCCAAAGCAAATTAAAGTCACTGAGAATTACTGTGTTACTGTATAAACCCCAATCGAAACACGCTACTCATAAATAGGCTCATTTTTAAAACAAAATACCATAAGATGAAAGTAGGCGATGCATAACACCAAATGATGTTGACGATTCATGCAGATTGCCGACTTTCTTTGAAATTATGCGTCACCTATTTTGATTTCATTGTTATAGAGTAAACATATTTCTGGTTAAACTAAAGTTTTTCTCAACCTACATTCATTACCAGTATCACAATAATATGTTGCTTTTAGGCCTTATATACAGAAACAGAATTCTATGTGGATTTAGGTAGTTCAGCAGACATATTTCAGCATCGTTTCTTTTCACCTGTTGCCACTGTTTACCTAACAGTAAATAGGTACATTGGAGTTAGGCAATTGTGAGTTACATCTTGTGGAAGATCAATAGTTATCCTTCAGAGGTCTTTCTGCCCATGACTATAGACAACCAATTAATGCTCCACACAAAAATGTATATTTATAAAAATGTTATATATTTTTTCCTCTTATTTTGCATACATTACTGTATTTGTGTACAGGGACAAGTTTTTGGGAAATTCCCCCAGTATAGTATATAATATTCATAGGTAAAAAGCCTTTTTCTACCTCTGCAGAGGTAGAGGTAGGATTTTCTACCATGAATTGAATTACCTTTATGATTTCAGACTATCAAGATGGGTGGGTGGAGGTTAGAAGTGGGGAAGATGGCCATATATATGTCCTTCCCAGTGGCACTGTTTTACCTCTTCAATCAGCCGAAGTATTTTGAGGATTGGATTGTAAACATGCGTCGGGAATTGTATCCTCCATTAGATAAAATGCACCATAAGGTATTTTTTACATTTGCTGGCTGTTGCATGTGCCACAATCATTTAAGAAAATCTACTTTTAGAATTTTCATAGCAACAGTGAACCTAGTTTAAGCAGATTATTAACAAAAACCTTGAATTGTCTCTTCCTCCAAGTATCTGTTTCTTTTATCAATGTTTTCCATCAAAGCTTCCCACCTTGTGCATTTCTTGATGCCTTCTTTAAAGCCAATTTATCGTCTTCTAATTCATCAAATATTCTCCGTTGGAATGTGTTTTGGTTTTGAAGCATCTCATCATTGGTGCTTGATGATTTTCAACAGTAATTGTGATTGTTTACATCTGGTCTGCAATAACATTAACAGGTGTTTGGCAAGTGCTTGAGGAAGCACCACTGGCAAGAAGAAGCATTAAGATATATTGCTACTGAGCCACAAAAATGATCTGATGGTACATGGATTTGTAGAACCTGAATGATTGCATCTTGATTCCCCGATTGAATTATTAGCATACCTTGAGGTGCTTCCGGGGCCTAGCGTCCCCGCGGCCCGGTCGTCGACCAGGCCTCCATGAACATAAACACTACATGAACATGTATTTGAATGAGTAAATAAACCTGTGAATAAATAAATAAATAAATAAATTATATTGTTTACATGCCTTATGCAGTTTTATTAAATATTATTCATCACTTGAGACAAAGATATGATCATCTAGTCCATAGAACTCCATTGTAGCAGGAGATAATAAGGTAGTTGCCTGCAAGGCAGTAATGACATTCTTGGTACTGGAATCACCATCCCTTTATCTTAATGGATTGTATGTTTCCTCTTTCTTTTACTGCTATTTTATGCTCCTAATAATTGCTAGGGAGCGGGTAAGCACCCATTCTGGTGGCACTTCAGCACATCATAATTAGCTTGAGGTGGATCCTTGCTGTGGGAGCCCAAAAGTAAAGTCAGAACCAGATACCCACTTGAGATCTGAACCCATAATAGCCTGATCAGTTAGCAGACAAATGTGAGCAATGGATGTTGAGGTACAATATGTTTGTGACTGTACTCCCCTAGTTGTACTCGCCTAGTTGTGCTTGCGGGGGTTGAGCTCTGGCTCTTTGGTCCCGCCTCTCAACCGTCAATCAACAGGTGTACAGATTCCTGAGCCTATTGGGCTCTATCATATCTACACTTGAAACTGTGTATGGAGTCAGCCTCCACCACATCACTTCCTAATGCATTCCATTTGTCAACCACTCTGACACTAAAAAAGTTCTTTCTAATATCTCTGTGGCTCATTTGGGTGCTCAGTTTCCACCTGTGTCCCCTTGTGCGTGTGCCCCTTGTGTTAAATAGCCTGTCTTTATCTACCCTATCAATTCCCTTGAGAATCTTGAATGTGGTGATCATGTCCCCCCTAACTCTTCTGTCTTCCAACGAAGTGAGGTTTAATTCCCATAGTCTCTCCTCGTAGCTCATACCTCTCAGCTCGGGTACTAGTGTGGTGGCAAACCTTTGAACCTTTTCCAGTTTAGTCTTATCCTTGACTAGATACGGACTCCATGCTGGGGCTGCATACTCCAGGATTGGCCTGACATATGTGGTATACAAAGTTCTGAATGATTCTTTACACAAATTTCTGAATGCCGTTCGTATGTTGGCCAGCCTGGCATATGCCGCTGATGTTATCCTCTTGATATGCGCTGCAGGAGACAGGTCTGGCGTGATATCAACTCCCAAGTCTTTTTCCTTCTCTGACTCCTGAAGAATTTCCTCTCCCAGATAATACCTTGAATTTGGCCTCCTGCTCCCTGCACCTATCTTCATTATATTACATTTGGTTGGGTTAAACTCTAACAACCACTTGTTCGACCATTCCTGCAGGTTGTCTAGGTCTTCTTGAAGCTTCAAACAGTCCTCTTCTGTCTTAATCCTTCTCATAATTTTGGCATCGTCCGCAAACATTGAGAGAAATGAATCTATACCCTCCGGGAGATCATTTACATATATCAGAAACAAGATAGGACCGAGTACAGAGCCCTGTGGGACTCCACTGGTGACTTCACGCCAATCGGAGGTCTCACCCCTCACCGTAACTCTCTGCTTCCTATTGCTTAGGTACTCCCTTATCCACTGGAGCACCTTACCAGCTACACCTGCCTGTCTCTCCAGCTTATGTACCAGCCTCTTATGCGGTACTGTGTCAAAGGCTTTCCGACAATCCAAGAAAATGCAGTCCGCCCAGCCCTCTCTTTCTTGCTTAATCTGTGTTACCTGGTCATAGAATTCTATTAAGCCAGTCAGGCAAGATTTACCCTGAACCCATGTTGTCGATTTGTCACGAAGTCCCTTCTCTACAGATGTGTTACTAGGTTTTTTCTACGATCTTCTCCATCACCTTGCATGGTATACAAGTTAAGGACACTGGCCTGTAGTTCAGTGCCTTTTGCCTGTTGCCCTTTTTGTATATTGGGACCACATTCGCCGTCTTCCATATTTCTGGTAGGTCTCCCATCTCCAGTGACCTACTATACGCTATGGAGAGTGGCAAGCAAAGTGCCTCTGCACACTCTTTCAGTACCCATGGCGAGATCCCGTCTGGACCAACAGCCTTTCTAACATCCAGGTCCAGCAGGTGTCTCTTGACCTCCTCTCTCGTAATTTCAAACTCTTCCAAGGCCGCCTGGTTTACTTCCCTTTCTCCTAGCACAGTGACCTCACCTTGTTCTGTTGTGAAGACCTCTTGGAACCTCTTGTTGAGTTCATCACACACCTCTTTGTCATTCTCTGTATACCTGTCCTCGCCTGTTCTAAGTTTCACTACCTGTTCTTTCACTGTTGTTTTCCTTCTGATATGACTGTGGAGTAGCTTTGGTTCGGTCTTGGCTTTGTTTGCTATCACATTTTCATAACTTTTCTCTGCTTCTCTTTTCACCCTGACATACTCATTCCTGGTTCTCTGGTATCTCTCTCTGCTTTCTGGTGTTCTGATATTCCGGAAGTTCCTCCACGCCCTTTTGTTCAGTACCTTTGCTTCCATACATGCCCTATTATACCATGGATTCTTCTTTTGCTTCTCGGATTTTTCCTTTTGGGCCGGGATGTATCTGCTTACTGCCTCCTGACACTTTTGGGTGACATAGTCCATCATATCTTGTACAGACTTAGCTCTGAGGTCTGTGTCCCAAGGTATTTCCCTTAGGAAGCTTCTCATTTCCTCATAATTTCCCTTTCGGTATGCCAGCCTTTTGTTTCCTAGTTCTTTTTTTGGGCGAGATAAGTCCTAGCTCTACCAGGTACTCAAAGTTCAATACACTGTGATCACTCATTCCCAAGGGCGCTTCCATCTTAACTTCCCTTATATCCCATTCATTTAGGGTAAATATAAGATCAAGCATTGCTGGTTCATCCTCTCCTCTCATTCTTGTTGGATCCTTGATGTGCTGGCTTAGAAAGTTTCTTGTTGCCACGTCCAGCAACTTAGCTCTCCATGTTTCTGGTCCTCCATGCGGGTCTCTGTTCTCCCAATCTATCTTCCCATGGTTGAAGTCTCCCATGATTAGTAGTCCAGATCCATTCCTGCTAGCAACAGAAGCTGCTCTCTCCATTATGTTAATGGTGGCCATATTGTTTCTATCATATTCCTGTCTGGGTCTTCTGTCATTTGGTGGTGGATTATATATGACTACGACTATAATTTTTTGCCCTCCAGTTGTTATTGTTCCTATTCTGTAGTCACTGAAACCTTCACATCCCTGAACAACCAAGTCCTCAAAATCCCAGCCTTTTCTTACCAGCAGAGCTACACCACCACCACCTCTTCCTTCTCTCTCTTTCCTCATAACACAATAGTCCTGTGGGAACACTGCATTTGTTATTGTTTGTGACTGTTCAGCACGCCCTTGTTATTCTCAGGAAATACATTCATGAGACACTTGGGAATGCTAATATAAAGGGTTTAAGCTATAGCACAAAATTGAGACTATACCAACAAATTACCATACATGGTTTCTAAATAAATTACATAAAATATAAACTACAAATAATAAATGTGTAGGTATTGTATATAAGTGTATATGTGGGAATTTGTGTGGAAGTGCATGCAGTGTGGATGTATTTGTATAGGTATGTGTGTATTTCTCTGTATCTGTTGCTTTATCTCATTATGTTATATTAAACGAATAAAAAAAGAAATCATAGTGATAGAATTTTAATTGGCTTTATGTTAGAGTGGTTACCGTGTGTCGCAGTACTGTATGTTGTAATCATATGGAGCTAATTGGCTTTATGTTACAGTGGTTACCGTGTGTCGCAGTACTGTATGTTGTAATCATATGGAGCTAATTGGCTTTATGTTACAGTGGTTACCGTGTGTCGCAGTACTGTATGTTGTAATCATATGGAGCTAATTGGCTTTATGTTACAGTGGTTACCGTGTGTCACAGTACTGTATGTTGTAATCATATGGAGCTAATTGGCTTTATGTTAGAGTGGTTACCGTGTGTCGCAGTACTGTATGTTGTAATCATATGGAGCTAATTGGCTTTATGTTACAGTGGTTACCGTGTGTCGCAGTACTGTATGTTGTAATCATATGGAGCTAATTGGCTTTATGTTAGAGTGGTTACCGTGTGTCGCAGTACTGTATGTTGTAATCATATGTTACAGTGGTTACCGTGTGTCGCAGTACTGTATGTTGTAATCATATGTTACAGTGGTTACCGTGTGTCGCAGTACTGTATGTTGTAATCATATGTTACAGTGGTTACCGTGTGTCGCAGTACTGTATGTTGTAATCATATGTTACAGTGGTTACCGTGTGTCGCAGTACTGTATGTTGTAATCATATGTTACAGTGGTTACCGTGTGTCGCAGTACTGTATGTTGTAATCATATGGAGCTAATTGGCTTTATGTTAGAGTGGTTACCGTGTGTCGCAGTACTGTATGTTGTAATCATATGGAGCTAATTTGGAACTTGCCTCAAGATATCTCTCGTCTCCGTTGCCAGGAATAATACAGTTTGAAGGCTTTCGTGTGGTTCCGGTAGATTAAGTGCTCATTGATTCTATGCGAACAGTAAAGGATTTTTGTATACAATATTTTCTAGCTATGATATCTCACCTGCCTTGAAAGGGGGATGTAAAGACTTAGGAATATTCTGTTTCACATACCACCGTCGCTTTGAAGAGTACAGTCATTGGTGTGGCATACCATGCTGATAAATAGTAAATCAAGAATTGTAATTGATGGAGGTGGGAAGAAATAGGCAAGCTGGTTATTACATCTTTTAAATCCCACCACTGAAAAGTTCCTTTCATTCATTTTCAATGTCAGGGTCCACCCAGTACACTGTACACGCTCCAGACTCTCCTTTTGATGTGGTTAGAGCAAAGAGGAGAGTCTGGAGTTACAAGAGAGGAGACGTAAAGTTCAATCCACCACCAAGGAGAGCGCTCGCTATACAGTTCCACAGAAAAGCTTAATTGTAGCAATCATCTCCACGTTTGAGAGAGAAAAGGCAGCACTGTGACAGACATTTAAGTAACTACTGCATATACTGACTCATGAGATAGCAGCAGCAGCAGCATCACCATAACAGAATCATAAAAGCAGGTACCCTCATTTGTGGCCTGGCATACATGCCCACTGCTACCAGCTCTGCATAGGTACCCTCATTTGTGGCCTGGCATACATGCCCACTGCTACCAGCTCTGCATAGGTACCCTCATTTGTGGCCTGGCATACATGCCCACTGCTACCAGCTCTGCATAGGTACCCTCATTTGTGGCCTGGCATACATGCCCACTGCTACCAGCTCTGCATAGGTACCCTCATTTGTGGCCTGGCATACATGCCCACTGCTACCAGCTCTGCATAGGTACCCTCATTTGTGGCCTGGCATACATGCCCACTGCTACCAGCTCTGCATAGGTACCCTCATTTGTGGCCTGGCATACATGCCCACTGCTACCAGCTCTGCATAGGTACCCTCATTTGTGGCCTGGCATACATGCCCACTGCTACCAGCTCTGCATAGGTACCCTCATTTGTGGCCTGGCATACATGCCCACTGCTACCAGCTCTGCATAGGTACCCTCATTTGTGGCCTGGCATACATGCCCACTGCTACCAGCTCTGCATAGGTACCCTCATTTGTGGCCTGGCATACATGCCCACTGCTACCAGCTCTGCATAGGTACCCTCGTTTGTGGCCTGGCATACATGCCCACTGCTACCAGCTCTACATAGGTACCCTCGTTTGTGGCCTGGCATACATGCCCACTGCTACCAGCTCTGCATAGGTACCCATGCTTGTAGCCTGATATACATAACGAAGGTTTAACGAAGATAAGTTCCAGCTCATGTGCTATGGAAAAAATGAAAATATAAAAACGGAAACCACGTACAAAACTCAGGCAAATCATAACATAGAACGAAAAGGCAATGTAAAGGATCTGGGTGTACTCATGTCGGAAGACCTTACCTTTAAAGAACACAATAAAGTAGCCGTCACAACTGCAAGAAAAATGACAGGTTGGATAACAAGAACTCTTCACACTAGAGATGCTATACCGATGATGATACTTTTCAAAACGCTTGTGCTCTCTAGAGTGGAGAACTGCTGCACAATGACAGCACCTTTCAAAGCTGGAGAAATTGCTGACCTGGAGAGCATGCAGAGATCCTTTACTGCTAAAATCCACTCAGTAAAACATCTAAACTATTGGGACCAACTAAAGAGCCTAAAACTGTACTCCCTTGAGCGCAGGCGGGAGAGGTACATAATAATTTACACGTGGAAAATATTAGAGGGGCTGGTCCCAAACCTGCACACAGAAATAACACCACATGAGACCAGAAGACATGGCAGGATGTGCAGAATACCCCCGTTGAAAAGCAGAGGTGCAACAGGTACTCTTGAGAGAGAACTCTATCAACATCAGAGGCCCGAGACTGTTCAACACGCTTCCGCTACACATAAGGGGCATAACTGACAAACCCCTCACAGTGTTCAAGAGAGAACTGGATAAGCACCTCCAAAGGATACCTGATCAACCAGGCTGTGACTCATATGTCAGGCTGCGAGCAGCCGCGTCTAACAGCCTGGTTGATCAGTCCAGCAACCAGGAGGCCTGGTCGACGACTGGGCCGCGGGGACACTAAGCCCCGGAAGCACCTCAAGGTAACCTCAAGGTAAGGTACATGCCCACTGCTACCAGCTCTGCAGAGGCCATTGGTTGTTCCCTAAAACTGTTTCAACATAAGGTGTGCTCTGTTTTACTGCTCACTTCATGGCATGGACCAGTTTCATTCTTTAGCTGCTGCTCTTCTCTTCAGCTTTGTTACAGGATTTTCTACCATTGGGATTTTCTAGTTTGCTTTAGGCCACTACCATAGCAGTGTCCTTTAAGACTTTTATCTTGGGACTAAGCCTAAGCCTGTCTGGAATTTGCCCAGAATTGGCTTGCTTCCCATCTTCGTTTGAACTATAGAAGGTGCTGCATGCCCTTTGTGCCTCGAGAGGCTCCTACACTACCTAAATTTAATTTGCCTAGTGTATCCTAGGCCAGGTTTGGTTGAGAATCCTTTATTGTTTCCTGTGATTGCTAGCTCGCAACCAGCCTCGAAACTGCATAATATGAATTTTGTTGGCACTGAGGGCTCTTCTACTTTGGTACTTCTTTTGGTGTGTTCATCTTTTGGCTTTTAATGGTTTAATTCCACGATAGCATTGGATCCATCTCCAGCGCTCTTTACCTACCAACGTATCCCACGTTTGTTGGGTAACTTATTTCTAACCAGTTTCAAACCAGGCAGGACGTCAAATGTCAAATGTTAGAACCATGTTAAAGACTGTACCTCTCTCAACCAGTTTAAGTTAAAAACGAAGCTATACCTAATAAATTCCCTGTAACCTACCTTACCCTTCTATTGTCAACCAATGTCTGTTTTTCTTTAAAGAGCGCTGTTTGTCGACATAATTGTATTTGTGCTGCTTTTTCATCTATGTTTTCATTTCTTGTTTTCATTCTACTCATTATGCTCAATTAGTATTAAGCTTGTCATTTAAGTTTATCATGCCCGAAACGCTTTGCGTAATAGTGGCTTTAGGCATTGTATGTACTAGCTCTACCTATAAGTCAACCAATCCTTGTAAAAATTTATTGTATGTATGTACCTTACCTAAATAAAATTGTATTGTATTGTTGTTGTTGTAAATAGATGCTTTACTTTATGGTTTCCCATAGTTGGGTACAGGAAGCCATTAGGCTTATTGATGTCCCCCCCCCCCACAGGGAGTAACTGAGGGCTGCTGTAATACAAGTTGTAGTATAATTTAGTTTATTATGCACCCTATTCCCGTCGTGTGGGTGGTAGTGGAAATAGGATACAGAGGCAAATAATGGACTCAGAGACTGAACTCCAACATTCATTTACCTAAGTTATAGTCTTGGTAAGCTAGTTACACAGTTCAGTGCATATATCAACAATGGGTTCAAGAAACACCACATGTTTGGTCTCTTAGCTAAGCAACTAACATTTGCAGTGAGCTAGTTTCATCATTTGATTTGTTTATCATACGCACCACCACCACCGTCCAGTGAGCGGTGTTGGAATGGTTACCATCACCCAGTGAGTGGGGGTGGAAAGGTTACCATTACCCAGTGAGTGGGGGTGGAAAGGTTACCATCACCCAGTGAGCGGGGGTGGAAAGGTTACCATTACCCAGTGAGTGGGGGTGGAAAGGTTACCATCACCCAGTGAGCGGGGGTGGAAAGGTTACCATCACCCAGTGAGCGGGGGTGGAAAGGTTACCAGTACCCAGTGAGTGGGGGTGGAAAGGTTACCAGTACCCAGTGAGCGGGGGTGGAAAGGTTACCATCACCCAGTGAGTGGGGGTGGAAAGGTTACCATCACCCAGTGAGCGGGGGTGGAAAGGTTACCAGTACCCAGTGAGCGGGGGTGGAAAGGTTACCAGTACCCAGTGAGCGGGGGTGGAAAGGTTACCAGTACCCAGTGAGCGGGGGTGGAAAGGTTACCAGTACCCAGTGAGTGGGGGTGGAAAGGTTACCATTACCCAGTGAGTGGGGGTGGAAAGGTTACCATCACCCAGTGAGCGGGGGTGGAAAGGTTACCAGTACCCAGTGAGCGGGGGTGGAAAGGTTACCAGTACCCAGTGAGCGGGGGTGGAAAGGTTACCAGTACCCAGTGAGCGGGGGTGGAAAGGTTACCAGTACCCAGTGAGCGGGGGTGGAAAGGTTACCAGTACCCAGTGAGTGGGGGTGGAAAGGTTACCAGTACCCAGTGAGCGGGGGTGGAAAGGTTACCAGTACCCAGTGAGCGGGGATGGAAAGCTTACCATTACCCAGTGAGCGGTAGAAAGCTTACCATTACCCATCTTTACCACCTCCAGTTTGCAAACTGGAAATATTTAGTTGAAATTTCTGGTAGATTATTTTGAATTAAATATTTACACATTTCTTGAAGTATTTCATATGCATCATCTTATTTTTTCTTCCTTCCAGGAAATTGAAGAATGCATAAAGAAACTTCATGAGAGGAGAGAAAAGGAGCTTCTAAAAGCTTTAGAAGAACAGAAATGATTTCAAGATCATATATACTGCATTAGCAATGTTTTAACAAATGCGTTTACCGTAATATTGTAAAAGAACTGTGTATATATATGATTTCTTAGCAGTGAACAATTAAGACTTGTAAATTTGAATGTTAATAAAATTTGAAATCTGACTACTGAGAGTGGTACTCTGTTTTCATAACTGTATTTACCATGTGTGTGTTGTGTGTACATTAAAGGACAAATTGCTTTAATTCAACTTGACGATAGTGGAAATTAGAATACTATATTGCATAATGGGAGGGTTTGGTGTCATAGTAGAATACTCTAGCCAGGAGGACAATTCTAAAGAAAGCCTTAGCTGCTCTGGGATTTACATGGGAAATGGTATAATCCTTACTCATGGCACAAGTGTAATTGATGTTTTGATGAATAAAAAAGCCAAGCCACTTGTTCAGGAACTTGTATCAAAAGGCTGTGTATACACTAGAAAAAGAGGAGATTTATTGAGCTCAGTCCTTCAAGCTACTAGATCCCATTTCCAAGTTTTCTTACCTGGAGAACATTTTAATTCGGCATTTGATTCTGCTCAAGATAACGGGTGGTCTTTTAAGAAGCTATTGAAATCTAAGAGCGGTGATAATGAACTTAAAAGAGAAAATGCAAGTTCTCCATTTCCAATTGGAGAAGAAAATAAGACGCCCCTTTATGATGGTGCAAGTTTTCAAGTCTCCGCTTCACTAAAGATGTCATACTCCGACCACTTCTCTCTCCCAGCCAGCGTTGATATGATATTTGTTCAGCCAGGCATAAAAGAAAGTCTTGCAAGGATAATGCCAGCTTCTCAAGGATGGAAGCTGATAGAGAATGAGAAGAAGGAATATGTTAGTGCTCTTGAGAGACTTATCTTCTCCACTTTTGTGGTCCTGCAGTTGTTGCCAGATGATGATAAGAGAAATGACCTGGTCATGAAGGCTTCCAATGAAGAGGTTATTAATCTTGCTAAAAGAATGCTCTCTCTCTCAAATTTTAGTAGTAAAGGTATGTGTACTTTAAAATTATTAGTATTTTGAAATGTAAGATTCACAGAGGCGTTGCAATGTGGCTCATCGCCGATTATTTATTTAAAATGTTATCGATGCCAGTTAAATATTTTATACCACATTTATTGTTAGACTTGACTGCGTTTATGCTTGCAGGTATGACTGTGTATGTAGAGAGCTCTCCTTTTGGCTCTCTGGTGCCTGGTGTGTTCCTCAACTCTCTTAGTAGTGGTATCATCAGTAATGTCGGCAACACTGCTCGAGATATTATGTTGACCGATGCCAGGTGCATCATGGGTTCAGAGGGAGCTCCAGTTTTTGCAGTAATAGACGGAATGTAAGTGCAGTGCTGTATTTTGATATGTTTCTACATACACAGGTCTAATTTCTCACATGCAGAGAATAAATCACAATAATGCAACATTAACAAATAAGCCAGCCACATGTCTTAACTTGATAATGTGACGGACCGTAACATCCTTACGTACTTTTCTTTTTGTGTGTTGGGCTATATATTTCCAGTGATGCAAAATTTTTAATGAAGGTTGAATGCACCAAAAAAGAAGATGAAAGAAATTAGTTGCAACTTCAGTAATAGCTTATCTAATTTTATTATTCATACATAGAATTATAATTGTGATGTCTTGCAAAAGGCATCACAATTTATTGCCAAAGTGTGATAAGCCACTGAACAAAATTGTTACAGAGTCCCAAACTTATGGCAGACACACGTTCCAAATTTGTTGTCATTAAGTCAATCGGCCAAAATTTAGAACACGAGATAGGTTCCATAAGTACCAAAAATTTGCATATACAATGGGGCCTCGACTTACGATGCTAATCCGTTCCCAGAGATGGATCGTAAGTCGAAATATCGCAAGTTGAAGCGATTTTTCCCTTAAAAAATAAAGGGAATTGAATTAATCCATTCCCCACCCTCCAAAATATTAGCATACAAATACATTTTATACTGAATACAATGTTTTTTCTAACTACAATATAGTACCAAAGTTTCTCTTACCTTTATGGAGGGCTCTTGATGGTGTATGGAAGATGGTGATGAGGGGGGAGGAGGAGAGTTGTTACTGTTTGGAAGGGGAGTCCCCTTCCATTATCACATCAGGCAGTGATGTTTTCTCTGGGGTTCTCTCTCTCCTACATTTTGCCTGAATACCACTAGGACCTGGTTGTGGTTCAGTGCTTGTTTGTCTCACTACAAATTTGTCAAGAGACTTTGTTTTTCCCTTTGTTTTAACATTTGTCTGTAATGATGCATCACAGTGTCATTGAATAGGTTAAGGCAACGACCTACAGCAGCTTGATTTAGGTGAGTCGTTTCAGCAAAGGTTTGCAATTCTTCCCATGCTGCACACATTTTCTTAATTGTTGAGGAAGAGACATTCTGTACACTTGTTTCTGCTCTATGGTCATCCTTACATGGGTTTTCATATGTTGAGCCTTACCACTTACTTTCCTGGGACTCATGGCGTGATATATAATAATTAATGTTCAAAATGCAAAAAAATCACCACAAAAGCGGAATTTCTTATAGGCGCGATCGTCACTAAGCTGTAGTAAACTGAGGCAGGTTGGCCGCGTGACCGGGAACCACGCGCTCGGTCGACCCGAACGTGTACCAACATATATCGGAAGTTGACGACACCATCGGATGTCGAGTCGCATTTTTCGATAAAATTTACATCGTAACTCGAAATTATCGTAAGTAGGGGCAATCGTATGTCGAGGTGCCACTGTATAATTAATAGTAATTTGAAATGTAAATACACAGGGTACCTCCAAAATTTGGATTACCTGTACAGGATATTCCCGATCCAATCTGAATACACATGAAATCCGAATTACTACACAAATTTGCCATCTTTTGGCTATTTATTACCAAGGTGTCTGTATTTTTCTTATGACTAGTGATACAATAGATTTTCATGCATATTCAGGCACAAATATTTTATCAATTTATATAAATTATGCATAACTATGCATGTTAGTGGCTTTGCAAGCAAGACTAAGAACACCAATGCTATGTACTCTCACAATGTACCTTCTTGTTTACAATATAAATAAATAAATACAATAAATTGATGAGGTACTTCAGCTATGGCCAGCTTTCTTCCTCCCAAACTCCCCATCGCTCATCTCTTCTCCCCCGTCCCCCCTTCTCCTCTTCTCTCCCACATCTTTCATCTCTTCCCCCTCCCCTCTTCCACCCCTCTCCATATTTCTCCCCCTCCCCCATCCTTCCACTCTCTCCACCTTGCTTCCACTCTATCTCATGCACTCCACCATTCTTCCACCCTCTCCCACCTTTCTTTCACCCCCCTCTCCCACCTTGCTTTCACCCCCCTCTCCCACCTTTCTTTCACCCCCCTCTCCCACCTTGCTTTCACCCCCCTCTCCCACCTTTCTTTCACCCCCCTCTCCCACCTTTCTTTCACCCCCCTCTCCCACCTTTCTTTCACCCCCCTCTCCCACCTTTCTTTCACCCCCCTCTCCCACCTTTCTTCCACATTTCTTTCACCCTCCCAACCTTTCTTCCATCCTCTCCACCTTTCTTTCACCTTTCTTCCACCCTCTCCACCTTTCTTTCACCCGTCTCTCCACCTTTCTTCCTTTCTACATACACAGGTGTAATTCCTCACATGCATAGAATTAAGTCACAATAATGTGGCAGTTTGTGCTGCTTTTTCATCTATGTTTTCATTTCTTGTTTTCATTCTACTCATTATGCTCAATTAGTATTAAGCTTGTCATTTAAGTTTATCATGCCCAAAACGCTTTGCGTAATAGTGGCTTTAGGCATTGTATGTACTAGCTCTACCTATAAGTCAACCAATCCTTGTAAAAATTTATTGTATGTATGTACCTTACCTAAATAAAATTGTATTGTATAAGAAATAAGCCAGCCGCATGTCATAACTTGATAATGTGATGGACCGTAATGGCCTCACTTACTTTCTTTTCATGTGTGCTGGTTGGGCTATATATTTCCACTGATGCAAAATTTTTAATGAAGGTTAAAAACCTTTCTTCTACCCTCTCCAACTCTCTCCACCTTTCAACTACCCTCTTCCACTTTCTCCAACCTTCCCACTTCTTTCACCCTCTCCACCTTTCTTCCATGCTCTACCTACCTTACCTTGTGTTTTCCTTGTGGAGGTTCTGGGGATCATCAGCCCCGCAGTCTGGTCTCCTACCAGGCCTCGCAGTGGGTCGTCTGGTCAACCAGGCTGTTGGATGCACCTGTGTATAAAGAGGAAAAGTAGGAGACAGAAAAGGCTTGGAAAATGTACAAGGAGATGGGTACAGACGCAAATAGGGAGGTAATAAAGAGGTCCAGAATGACTACACAAGAATCAGAATGGCAGAAGAGCAGCAGTTTGAGAATGACATTGTGGCAAAAGCAAAGAGCCAACCTAAGCTGGTGCACAGCTATATATGGAGGAAAACAATGGTACGTGACCATGGGATTACACTGCGGGGGACAGGGAAGAATAATCTTGGAGAGTGACAAAGAAGCTTATGAAGAGCTTAACAAGAGGTTCCAGAAGGTCTATAAATCAGAACCAGATTGGTGACCAAGTAGAGGTGACAACAGACTACCAGGAACAACACTAGACAGAATAGAAGCTAAGGTAGAAGAGGTAAAAGGACACCTGGAGGAACTAGATGTAACAAAAGCAGTAAGACCAGACCAGATATCACCCTGGTTACTGAAGGAAGCTGCAGGGATCTTGTGTTGCCCATTAACTATAGTGTTCAATATTTCACTTGAGATGGGAGACCTACCAGAAATCTGGAAAAAAACAAATGTAGTTCCAATATTTGAGAAAGGGGCCCGACAGCTGAGTGGACAGTACTCGGGATTCATAGTCCTGAGGTTCCGAGTTCGATCCCTGGTGGATGTGGAAACAAATAGGCAGAGTTTTTCACCCTGATGCTCCTTTTCACCTAGCAGTAAATAGGTACCTGGGAGTTAGACAGCTGCTATGAGCTGCTTCCTGGGGGTGTGTAACAAAAAGGAGGACTGGTCGAGGACTGGACCGCGGGGACGCTAAGTCCCAAAATCATCTGGAGATAACCTCAAGAAGGGAACAAAGATAAAGCATTAAATTACAGTATAAACCAGTGTTATTAACATACAATTCATGCAAGATTCTAGAAAAAGGAAGGAAGGAAGGAAGGATGGGTAGATTGCATCTTTCTACACTACCAAAATGCTTTTCATACAATTCCTCACAAAAAAACAAATACTGTACAGTACACAAGATGGAGAGAGAAGTTTGCCTCTGTTCACTCAGCAGTACCTAGTTGTTAACTGATTGGCAGGTCATGTTCCAGGGATAACTAATTGGTAAGATATAAACCTTCCCATGAACTATGGGAAGGAAAAGCTCTCAGCCTGCTAACAGGAGTCAGAAGTCATCTGTCCTTGTACTTACCTGTGAAAAAAAAGCATTGCATTGTAATGAAATCCTAATTCCTTGGTAAGCCCAGTAGCTGCCTGAAGCTATTCTTTGAGATGGTACCATCTACTAGGTAACACAAGCCGGGGAGTTCTATAGACCTAATGGGGACTAGTGCCAGAACCTGGCCCCCTTCGCAGAGGAACAGGGAGCAGTAACATTTTTTATGGCACCTCACTGGCAAAGGCAACCAGAAAGTCAGTGATAATCTCCAACACCCACTATTCCAGGACCCTGAGCACCAGTCACGACAGCTCCAGGACATCCAGTCAGGCATATAACCTAGACTGCTGGTGATGAACAAAGCTGAGAAGTAAAGCTGAAGCAGACCCCAGCAGGGGGGGAGAAGTTTGGCGATCGAGCTCATGCTAGAAAGAATTTGATCATTTGTTTACAAACTTGGGGGAGTTCTTTAGTTGGGTTTTGAGGCTTTGGTCTTTTTTTTTTTTCATCCAGCAGTAGATTGTTTTTATTTACTGACTTAATGGTTGCCTGACCTGGTGAGGTGGCATAAAAAAGTCATTGCTTCCTCCGGCTCTGTGAGGGGGGGTGCCAGGTTCTGACTTTGGTCCCTGGTATGTCTACAGGACAACACTGCTGATGCGACCTAGTAGATAGCATCAGTGAGCCCAAGGGACTTCCCCAGGAAAGGCACTGTACTAGGTATGGGAGTACTTTATAGACAGGAAACAAAGGGTCATAGTCAGGGAGGATATGTCAGGCTGGAGAGGATTGGAAAGTTATGTTCCATAGGGCTCTGTCCTAGGACCATTGCTCTTTTTAATTTATGTAAATGACTTGGCAGGGAGTGAGCTCGTACATGTCAATGTTTGCAAATGATGCAACGTTAATAATGAGAGATAGAACTGAAGAGGACTGTAGTGTTGCAAGAAGACCTTGATAAACTTAAGGAGTGGGCAGATAATTGGCCTCCAAATGAAAATGTAAATGTAAATGGATATGGGAGATAGGAGACATGTATTTAACTATACCATAAGGTGGATGGCAATTACAAGAAACAACAAGAGAAAAAGACCTGGCAGTAGACATAATCTCAACACTAACACCAGAAGCTCATGTGAACAGGATAACATCAGCAACATATAAGAAGTTAGCAAACATCATATAAGACTAAACAAGAAGGTTTTCAACTCCATACACACTGCCTATGTGAGACCATTACCTGAGTATGCAACTCCAACATGGAACCCACAACTTGTGAGGCATAAACAGAAACTTGAGAAAGTTCAGAGGTTTGCAGCTAGATTAGTACCACAATTGAGAAGCCTCAGCTATAAGGACCGGTTGAGAGAACTCTAGTGTAACAACTTCAGAGGAGTCAAGAAACAGAGGGGATATAACATCTTCATGCAAGATCTTGAGGGGAATAGATAAAGTGAATAAACAAAGCCTATTTAAATTAAAAAGTGTTAGGGACAAAGGGACATCAGTGGAAGCTTTACATGCAGTCGAGTCAAAGATGTAAGAAGTTCTTGTTCCCTGTGCAGGTGGTCGGTATGTGGAATGCACTGAAGGAAGAGGCCAGTTTTAGCCAATTCCATCCACAACTTTAACACTTTCGCGCTCTCCGCAAAGGTCACTCAGCCAACCGAATGTGCGCGCTGCGTTTTTATCGCTTAAGCGTAAAAACAAAAATGTGTATACTCTTTTTACTCTTCTGACCTTAGTTCTCATGCTACGTATTTCATTTTGGTACCAATGTGTTCGCAATAAAATTCTCTAGAAGAACATCAGTAAAAAAAGTCACGAAACGTATAGGGATACCAGCACCAAATAAATAACTACGAAGATGACTCGCCGTGAGCGCCCATCAGCAACAAAATGTTTTTACTCTTGGGATTGTAATCACCTCCACACTTGTTCTACAGCGTTAATTTTGGTATCAATGGATTCGCAATGAAATTCCCAACACGGTGATATGAATATAAGCGTAGAATAATGATTGCGGCCCGCCCGCAAGAGTGTGGGAACTGGTGAAATTGTTACCCGGTATCGGTGACGGGACGACGCACGGCGCTTTGAAAGTTTATACTTATTTCACTCTCATGACATTAATTTTCTATGTACGTCATTCATTTTGCGTCAATGTGTTCGCAATAGAATGTTCTATGTGCCCATAGGTAAAAAATATCAACAAAGCGTAAATTAGAATAGCGCCAAATATAAAACAACGCTGGAACATATCAGTGAGCGTCAAACACGCACGAAATGTTTTTACTTTTGTTATGTTTGTCAAGTTTATACTTGATGCACACAGTTATTTTTGGTTGTATATTGATCGGAATAAAATTCCCTAAACAGACATATGCATATAATACATGATATGGGGGAAGCATTACCAGTATAAACGGCTAAAGTCACCCACCTGCAACCCGTTTGGGACAAAATACCATTTGATCGAAGTTATCCACACCTTTCATGAATTTATTGTACCATGCAGCCTAGTGGTGAGAAAGAGAGCCTCATAGCGCGCAGTTTAAAACAAACCCAAAGTAAATCGGATAAAAATTGAATTTTATACAAATATTTTAAAAGTTGACATAACTTTATGTCCACTATGCGTTTACGTTAGACGAAACCGGACGCGCCGGCGTGTTCAGATAGCGCGAAAGTGTTAATAAGAAATATGATAAAAACATTAATGTTGAGAGAGGTAATTAGCACAGCAGGTATAAAAAGCGAGGAGGCGGGGGCATAAAGAGCTGGGACTCACTTCCCTGTAGTCAGTGATAGGTAAGTACTGGGCCTGACCTTGGCTGGCCTGTAATGCTGCCATACCCCACATTTCATATTTGGGTCCTGGTAGTACAGTCTGGTTCGTTCTCGATGCACAAGCAAGAATTCCGGGTTCGAAATGGTCGGGCACATTTCCTTTCACCTAATGCTGCTGTTCACCTAGCAGTGAGTAGGTGCTCAGGAGTTAGTCAGCTTGTCGTGGGGTTGCATCCTGGGCGGGGTCAGAATTCAGCCTTGGTGGATGGGGGGGGGGAAGGGTCGATAAAAGGTAAATACAGTATAATAATAATTCAATGTGTCAAGGGGACAGGAAGCCAAAGTGTATTCATAAACGTTTGGCTTTTATCGAGGTCTCGTCCCCCTCATCCTGACCCCTGCCCGGGATGCAACCACAACAAGCTGAATAACGTTTCGGTCCGTCCCGGACCATTCTCAATCGACTTGAGAATGGTCCAGGATGGACCGAAACGTCGTCGTCCCTTCACTTTCTAGTGTGTGGTTTGGTCGACATTTTTCAGCCACGTTATTGTGCCTCATCATCTGCAAGCTGAATAACTCCTGAGTACCTACTCACTGAGGACCTACTACATGTATGAATACACTCTAGCTTCCTGTCCGCTGACACAATGAATTCTTGTTATTATTATTTCACCTGGTGGGTGACACATGGAGGATATGGGGAAAAAGTTGGGTGAGGCTAACCCTAAATGATTTTGTATGCCTACAAATAATGTAAAAAAAAAATGATCACCTATTTTATTTGTAATATAGGCAGTCTTGATAACACAGAGACAGCAAAATGCTCTTATGTTGCTATGTTATACCACCTGTTAAACTTATGCCGTCATCGTGAAGTGATCTGTTGAGTACTCATTGGTTAATGCCATTATCTGAACTTCAGACTGATGGTGCACCACCAACAGCCAGCTCCAGTGCTGCATAAATCATTGCCAAACTGATCATCTAAATTCTCATGCTCTGAAGCTTTCAGTGTTTTAATCTCGCTTATATTTTCATCCCTACTTTCCCGTTTATTCATAACATCTTTGGATTTCTTTGGATTTCTATCTTTAAAAGCATTACTGTAGTACCAATACCAATTGGTCTTTCCCTCTAGTCTTTGATTCTATCTCTGGATGACATTCCCAGATGGAATAACAGCAAAGAGTGGGTTGTAAGACTTTGCACACCTTTGAGGTGTGCCACAAACCGATTTGCATGCAATACAGGTGTCCATATTGCACTCTCGGCTTTTATTGACTCGCTACAGCATGGTGTGACTCAATAGGTGGGGGAGCTAACCAGAGCAACTAGTTACAGGGAGCCACCAAGTGGCCTCTCCAGTAAATCGTTTAGGGGTTTGTCCTTGTCTGTCCCGTTATTCGAGCCTCACTACATTGCTGACATCTTAAGGCTTAATCACCTATACAATTGAAACACATCTAGACCTCTTTTATATTATATACCTCATTAATTATGTGATATGTTAGTTGGTTCATTAATTGTTAGATGATTAATTATGTGATATATTAACTGGTTCATTAATTAGGTTACATGCTAGACGGTTCGTTAATTATATTTTGAGTGTTTTACCCCTATCCAGGAAACATCTTTGTGGAATAGTCATCTCACCCTTCTGTTGGCGAGGAGGCGAGTGGCTTGGACTCACTTCTGGCATCAATAAACCAAATCCTGCAGACTCTACTGTTCTTCCTAAACTCTAGAGAGGACACTCAAGATGAAGAGGTTAGACAGTTTGACAGTCGAGACAAGGCTATGGGGATTAAGAATCTGGAGCACTTGGTTAAGAGCACATTGCCTCGGGAGAGAAAACTTCACGAAGATATTGTAATCAGTCACCAAGACAAGTGGAAGTACAGCCATTGTATTCCAAGGAAGGAATTCCTGAAACCAGGTGAGTTATATGTAAAGAATGTAAAATGAAATATTGGAATTTGTTAAATAAATGCAGTATTTATTGTTAAATTAACAGTATTTGTTATATAATATTGTTTTAAAATTTTGCAATGTTTTGTATCAAAATAAATGTATGGGTGTATTACAACTGAACTCGGAATTTATGTTGTTAAAACCTACACTGTTTGAGCGATAAATACATAGAACTCCATTAGAATAATTCATGTTGTCAACATTTGAAACTACTGTATGTGGACATGCCTGGTGATAGAACTACTGTATGTGGGCATGCCAGGTGATGAAACTACTGTGTGTAGGGCATGCCTGGTGATGAAACTACTGTATGTGGACATGCCTGGTGATAGAACTACTGTATGTGGGCATGCCTGGTGATGAAACTACTGTATGTAGGCATGCCTGGTGATGAAACTACTGTGTGTGAGCATGCCTGGTGAGGAAAGTCCTAGGCTCTAATTGTATCAAATGTTTCATACATTTACCTTACTTTTATTGTATTGTCGAGGTTAAATGGATTGGACATGTATGTGGTGTGCAAAATGAGGTTGAGTGCAATATAATTGCATAAGTGTAGTTACAGGATGCAGTGCCCCCATGGCACAGTGGTAAGACACCCTGAGCTTCGCGAGTGATTTGGCCTGGGCTCGTATCTTGGCCGGGGAGGATTGACTGGGTGCTAATCCTTGACTGTACACCTCTGGTATACATTTACATCTGTGTACCATGCACTGAACATTTGCATCTGTGTACCATGCACTGAACATTTGCATCTGTGTACCATGCACTGAACATTTGCATCTGTGTACCATACACTGAACATTTGCATCTGTGTACCATGCACTGAACATTTGCATCTGTGTACCATGCACTGAACATTTGCATCTGTGTACCATACTGTGTACCATGCACTGAACATTTGCATCTGTGTACCATGCACTGAACATTTGCATCTGTGTACCATGCACTGAACATTTGCTTCTGTGTACCATGCACTGAACATTTGCATCTGTGTACCATGCACTGAACATTTGCATCTGTGTACCATGCACTGAACATTTGCATCTGTGTACCATACACTGAACATTTGCATCTGTGTACCATGCACTGAACATTTGCATCTGTGTACCATGCACTGAACATTTGCATCTGTGTACCATGCACTGAACATTTGCATCTGTGTACCATGCACTGAACATTTGCTTCTGTGTACCATGCACTGAACATTTGCATCTGTGTACCATGCACTGAACATTTGCATCTGTGTACCATGCACTGAACATTTGCATCTGTGTACCATACACTGAACATTTGCATCTGTGTACCATGCACTGAACATTTGCATCTGTGTACCATGCACTGAACATTTGCATCTGTGTACCATGCACTGAACATTTGCATCTGTGTACCATGCACTGAACATTTGCATCTGTGTACCATGCACTGAACATTTGCATCTGTGTACCATGCACTGAACATTTGCTTCTGTGTACCATGCACTGAACATTTGCATCTGTGTACCATGCACTGAACATTTGCATCTGTGTACCATGCACTGAACATTTGCATCTGTGTACCATGCACTGAACATTTGCATCTGTGTACCATGCACTGAACATTTGCATCTGTGTACCATACACTGAACATTTGCATCTGTGTACCATGCACTGAACATTTGCATCTGTGTACCATGCACTGAACATTTGCATCTGTGTACCATGCACTGAACATTTGCATCTGTGTACCATGCACTGAACATTTGCATCTGTGTACCATGCACTGAACATTTGCATCTGTGTACCATGCACTGAACATTTGCATCTGTGTACCATGCACTGAACATTTGCATCTGTGTACCATGCACTGAACATTTGCATCTGTGTACCATACACTGAACATTTGCATCTGTGTCATGCACTGAACATTTGCATCTGTGTACCATGCACTGAACATTTGCATCTGTGTACCATGCACTGAACATTTGCATCTGTGTACCATGCACTGAACATTTGCATCTGTGTGCACTGAACATTTGCATCTGTGTACCATGCACTGAACATTTGCATCTGTGTACCATGCACTGAACATTTGCATCTGTACTGAACATTTGCATCTGTGTACCATACACTGAACATTTGCATCTGTGTACCATGCACTGAACATTTGCATCTGTGTACCATGCACTGAACATGCACTGAACATTTGCATCTGTGTACCATGCACTGAACATTTGCATCTGTGTACCACACATTTGCATCTGTGTACCATGCACTGAACATTTGCATCTGTGTACCATGCACTGAACATTTGCTTCTGTGTACCATGCACTGAACATTTGCATCTGTGTACCATGCACTGAACATTTGCATCTGTGTACCATGCACTGAACATTTGCATCTGTGTACCATGCACTGAACATTTGCATCTGTGTACCATGCACTGAACATTTGCATCTGTGTACCATGCACTGAACATTTGCATCTGTGTACCATGCACTGAACATTTGCATCTGTGTACCATGCACTGAACATTTGCATCTGTGTACCATGCACTGAACATTTGCATCTGTGTACCATGCACTGAACATTTGCATCTGTGTACCATACACTGAACATTTGCATCTGTGTACCATGCACTGAACATTTGCATCTGTGTACCATGCACTGAACATTTGCTTCTGTGTACCATGCACTGAACATTTGCATCTGTGTACCATGCACTGAACATTTGCATCTGTGTACCATGCACTGAACATTTGCATCTGTGTACCATGCACTGAACATTTGCATCTGTGTACCATGCACTGAACATTTACATCTGTGTACCATACACTGAACATTTGCTTCTGTGTACCATGCACTGAACATTTGCATCTGTGTACCATGCACCAAATAGTTGCATCTCTGGTACTGTGCACCAAGCCACTTTGCCTGTACTGTACCATGGCAACAGTGGCTGTACTATGCACTCCTCTGTGTTCTCATCGTATCTCTACTATTCCTATCTCTTTGTATCTCTAGTTTGGTTCTTTGTTATATTTTTCCTTTAACTGCATTTATTTTCACATTTATTTCCCTTCCCTTCTCTGCTGTAGTTTTTCTTTCATCAGTTAGTGAAGTACGAAGTCCAAACCTTTAACTTGGGCTTCATGTTTCACTCCAGGGTTCGTATCCTTGCCAGGGAGGATTTACTGGGTGCAAATCCTTAATTGTAGCTTCTGTTTAACCCAACAGTAAAATGGGTACCAGGTTGTTAAACAATTCTTCGTGAGGGTCGTATTCCAGGGAACATAGGATTAAGGACTTGCTCGAAACGCTACGCGTACTAGTAGCTGTACAAGAATGTAACAACTCTTGTATATATAAAAATAAATAAATAAATAAATAAATAAATAAATAAATAATATCTTTTCACATGAACCTCACCTCACTTCCTCTAACTTCACCTCATCTTACCTCACCTCATCTTTCCTCACATTCTCTTGTGCCTTAAAATGGTTTCCTGACATTTCGTCCTTGGTGTTGACTGACTAAAGGTTAGGGCAGACTGGAACATCATCGCTTCCATTTCATACGTGTGGGTTGGGTTATTGGTTTTCAGCCCTGTTATTGTGAATTATTTTCTGCAACTGTACCTTGTACCCCACAGCTGTACAATATGTCGGAAAACTGAACCATGTGCAAAACAAGTGTTCAATGTGTAACACAACTGTACTACGTGCCCCCAGGTGGCATGTTGTTGTTTTAGATTCAGCTACTCGGAACAAAAGTTCCAAGCAGCACGGGCTATGGTGAGCCCGTATCTAGGTGGCAGCATCCACTTGTCAATAGGGTACTTTGAATGTGTGAGGTGGGGTGGGCATATTCAAGGTACCCTATTGACAAGTAGGTACTGCCATCTGGTGACAGTCGGGGGTAGTGGCCATGTGAGTGAACTAGCAATTATCTGAGCACTCCTTAGCAGCCACATTGATGCCAAGCAGTCCTGAGAAGGGTGTTCAGAGCAAATGAAAAAGCATTCTCGGTAGCGGATTAAAGGTCAGATTCAGTTTTCTCAATTGTCTTCCTTGCACCAATATGACTTAATTAATAGAGATTGACAATCGACTTGAGAATGGTCCAGGACAGACCGAAACGTCGTCGTCCCTTCACTTTCTAGTGTGGTGTGGTCAACACCTGATAGGGACATTTGAAAAGAACCTTGTTGCACTAGTGCAGAGTGTTGTGGTGGCCTGTCTGTGCACCAACCATGTCCGTGGGAACATTAAGACCTACCCTAAGGGACTAACCAAGTGGTACAGTTATAAAATAAAAGCAAGATTTTGAAGTCTTCATACTTCTGGTACCTGTTATCTTCCCAAGAAATTGTTCTATGGAGTTACACTAGCATCAGGCTGCTGATTGTTACACTAAGGCTAATAGACAAAATTAAGGGTGATGTTTCTTATTCCTTTGACATTTATACATCAAAAGGGACATCAGTACAAGTCTGTCTTGTCTGAATATTTTCCCTCTCCTTGAGCATATTATTATATTGCAGCTAGTGTGAATATATTGTTGCATTACACACAGAAATCACAATAGCATGATGCATCAAATAAACAAATTCAAAAGGGCCGTGACGAGGATTTGAACCTACGTCCAAGAGCATTCCAGACACTGCCTTAATCGACTGAGCTACGACATGGTCAAAAGAATTGCAACCAGAAGTTCTACTGAACTTACTTGGATCCTGCAGCCTCTCCTAGACACAAAACAGGGTTTTACACAATTCCCCCCATGCACTCGAGCTATGTCAATAAGCCGTTCTACCTCTTTGCCCTTACTTCCTTACACACATTCTTTTGACCATGTCGTAGCTCAGTCAATTAAGGCAGCCTCTGGGATGCTCTCGGACGTAGGTTCAAATCCTCGTCACGGCCCTTGTGGATTTGTTCATATTGTTGCATGTAAACACCTGTATATGCTCTCTCCAGTGTCTATTGGGAACTCACTCTAATACGTTTATTATTACTTTCACAGAATATGCTAACTATTTGGATAGAAGTGTTGTAGCTGTGTGCTGTGGTGGAGGGTATGGCAGTGGCATTGTGGTGAATACTTCCCCCGGCGTCATCCTCACGTGTGCTCACGTTACCCATCCAGCCACCAAGGGAGTAAGTCTTTATAAAACCAGCGTTGAACTATTCTATGCTGAGATGATACCATCTACTCGGTCACATCAGCCGTGGAGTTCTATAGGCCTACTGGGGACTAGTGCCAAAACCTGGCCCCCTCCCTCAAAGAGGCACAGGGAAAGTGGTGACATTTATTTTTGCCACCTCACTGGTGAAGGCAACCAGAAAGTCAGCGAGTCAAAACAAATCATTGCTGACTACAAAAGAGTCCGGCTCCCCAAAAACCCACCTAAAAAAAAAAATCCCTTTTGTAATCATATGATCAGATTTTCTCAACTAGTGCAAGCATGTTCGCCCTACCTCAAGGGCCGCGGGGGATACTAAGCCCCAAAATCATCTCAAGGTAACCTCCACTACTCGTTTGGGGGTAAGGGGGAGGTACCTGACTGTCAGTTGGCATCTCAACCCCAGTTCTAGACCACGGGTAGGCAACTATCTGATGACCTGGAAGAGGGAGAGAGGATCAAGGAGCTACCAGAGCTAACCCAGACAGAAATTGGCATTTGATTAGATTCAACTATGGTTTTCTGGTGTGGGGGGGGGAGAGCCCTTCATGGCTTCCTGATGCTAACTACCCATGGAAAAAGAAGAAAACATAGGAACCAACCAGGAAGGAGGAAACACTGCAGGAGTCAAGATGAAACAGAGACCCCTGTCAAGAGAGAACCCCCAGAAAAACGTTCCTTGGAACAAAGAACCAAGAAAAAGAGGATCAACCCACAAGGCTTCCACTGAAACAAAATTGGTAGCACGAAGGAAGCGGCAGAGAACCGCCACGTGACAGATCACACAATGCACCCTGTCCGAACCACTAAGCATCAAGGTCTAAAGAACACCTCTAGAAGCCAAATGACTTGTACCTCACCAGAAAAGGAGGAGCCAACTGCAAACGAACATAAAGCCCCCAGGACCAAAGGAACAAAAACCTCTGCCTCCAGAGGAGAGCAAGAAGTTCCATAACCCAACAACCAGATGAAGAGAAACCTTGCCTTGACTGTTTGTCCCATCACCTGTTAATAATTTTAATAGTTCCTCTATTGCAACCTGGCCTGGGACCCGATTGTATGCTCTGTCCATGGGTTTTGTGCCTAGGCTCCTCTGGTTAGGGGCCTCAGCCCCAGGGCTATTTATGCCCTTGCGGTGGGGGACCCCAAGTTGTGTGCCCATGTGTGCCAGACCTCCCAGGCTATGGGGCATTGTTCCTGGATGTGTTCCTAGGCTTTCATCCCTGTTTCTAAGCTGTTTTCCTTCGACTCCCAGACAGTATGTGCAGAAATTATAAAAATTTAAAATAGAATGGCATAGAACTTTAAGATGGGATGCCACAAATGTTCCCGGTAGCTCTCTTTCTGCAACTATAATTAAGAATTAGGTTCAGGTAATTACAATTTAGGTAATAATATTAACACACAAATATGCTACATAGCCTTCCGTCATAGGTGCTTTCTTTTGATAATCACTTAACACACAAATAGCAAATTTCATAGCTATCCCCCCCCTCACTACAACTCCAATCACTGACCTTATCTTGTCCCCTTTTATTTTTAGGATGTCAGAGTGATTTTGTCAGATGGCAGAAGTTTACAAGGACAAGTAGTTCATCAGACTCGGCCAAGCACATTAAATAAACAAAGTGGCCAAGGGAACCAGGATTGCAGTGTGTGGGATGTGGCCGTCGTCGTCACTACCAGCCCTCTGCCTTCTGCTCTCCCATTGGCTTCTGACTTGCCACCCAAAGGTAACAGCTTGCTTTAAAAGACAACCCACTTTTTGTTCTAATACTATTTTGCTAGTTTTCAACTGGAATTTCCACTTTTGGATAATAGGCTGTTTTATTAAAACATATATACTGTAATGTTTTAATAAAACATTAAAAACAATGAAATGTGACTGTCTTTCACCTTCACATTTGTTTTACATGCAGATTGTACTGAAATATCTTGATTCCGATACGATTATCGATTCCCATTCCAATTCTTTTAAAATATATAGTTGGATACTTATTTTTCTGAAAATTTGTGTATTTTACTCTGAACAAATTAATGATTTACATTATGAGCCTGGTAAATGCAAGCGATGAGTCACAATAACGTGGCTGAGGTATGTTGACCAATCCACACACTAGATAATGAAGGGACGACGACGTTTTGGTCCATCCTGGACCATTCTCAAGTCGATTGTTCTCAAGACCGAAACGTCGTCGTCCCTTCATTTCCTTGTAAATGTATTAATAATTTTATAGATTGATTTAAGAATAGGAAACAATTAGTAAATCCAGTGATGTCTTTGCTGCACTGGCAGTCCAACAATCATTAGTAAAGGATAAATGCGTAACACTGTTAATTTCCTTCAGTATCTTGTCTCTAACACTCACATATGCTGTGTTTCCTGCACAATATGTTCTTTTAAATATTTTCTGGAAGAAATGTGGTAATTTAGGCAGATATAGTTTGAGAGTCATTATATCCTAGACTAAGGGTCTCGGTAGCACAGTCGGGTTAGTTCTCGACACACAACCGAGAATTCCGGGTTCGAATCCTGGGCAGGAAAGAAATGGTTGGGCACATTTCCTTTCACCTAATGGCTCTGTTCACCTAGTGGTAAGTAGGTACTCAGGAGTTAGTCAGCTTGTTGTGGGGTTGTATTCTGGGCGGGGGGTCAGTACTTCGGCTTGGGGGGGGGGGGCTCGATAAAAGCCAAAATGTGTATTGTGACGGTAACGCGTTGGTGATCGGCTGTTCAAAAGCTAGGGCTATGGCCTCGTCACATATAGAAACAAAAAATAGAAAATCTGGAACTTCGTCTGTGGTAAGTAAATGAGAAGACACACAAAACACGAGTAAATTTAACAATGAGATTTTAATTACGTTAGAAAAGCAAAACATGAATAAAATGGACATACAAATTGGAACATAAAATCAATCAATCAAAATAATAAGAATAATCAAATGGCAAAATGAAAAGTTACGTTAAGACAAGTGAGTAATAACAAGTGTATAACAAACAATGTAAATATGGATGCAGGAATATTGGCTTTAAGCTGCCACCTCTCTTAGTACACGTAAGCCAGAGCTTAGTCTACCAACGAGACGTGTTAACTTGTTGAAAGCACTGGATATTCTGAGATCGGTAGGTCGTGTGGCCCCAGACATCAGGTAGTGTGGCGGGTGGAGGGCAGGTGCAACTGGACACGCAGCCAATCAGCGATGAGCAGGCGACAGACAGGTAGTTTGGTGGTTCGAGGTGGAGCAGGTGTTCCTGGCTGCATACGTTTGCGCTCTGGCAAACCTTGGTGTTGTATTTGTTGGATATTTCTTCCATATTAGTTGTATAGGGATGTATATAGCGACGAACTTGGGAGGGAAGAGCAGGCTCAATCTCTTGAAGGAGATTATCGTCACAACTCTCCCCCGAAGCCTGCGGTTCTGGAAGAAGTACGTCGTTATGTGGTGGAGTAATAGATGGAGTCGCTTCTACTTCATAAACTTTGGAGGGAGCATCGGCTAAGATGTTGTCGGAACCTTGGTATAGCGTGTCTCCAGGTTGAATTTCTGCAGTTATCAAGCCCATAGTAGAAGACATTGTGATGAGAAGTGGGCGTGCTGCAGGAGGTGTAGGGTGGTGTGGTCCGTGTTGATGGTAGACCGAGCACTTTTCAGGTGTGGAGTAAAGTGCTGGAGCTTCAGGATGATGAAGAGTAGCTCCTTGCCAATTGTTTCGTAGTTCCTTGTAGCAGTAGTCGCTGACAGGTGTGTTCTCCTCGCCTCGTTGCTGCATCACGACACCGCCAACGTCGGTACCACTGGCGTCGACATGGAGGATGAAGGGCTTATCTGACGAGGTGAGAGTGGTATTAGAATATGGCAAAGGAGCACTATTAGGGTCCTGAAAATGGTTGGAATTATCAATATGGATTTTTGAATGAGAAAGCGTGGACTCCTTGTCGGTGCTTTCGGGAGGAGAAGCTGGGAAGGTCTCACTGTGGATGTAGGGTTCTGTGAAGGTAGAATACTTGATCATGACAGTGGGAGGAGTACCATTATATTGCTTCAGGAGGTTGACGTGGCACAGCTGGGTCTTCCGCCGCTTATCTGGAGTCTTGATAACGTAGTTGTTGTTGTTTCTGCACTCCTTGACGCAGTAGGGTCCTGAAAACCTGTTTTGTAAAGGAGAACCTGGGATAGGAAAGTATGCAAGTACGAAGTCTCCCGGCTTAAATTTTCTTACTTTGCTGGTCTGGTCGTAATGAGTCTTCATCCTCTCCTGGGCTTTCAATAGATTATCATGGGCAAAACGGTGGACTCTCTCTAGAATGTGTTGAAGGTTTTGAAGAAACTGGGGCACATTCTGATGCTCACTGAAGGTGGCATCTCGGAGAGAGTCTTTGAAAGCCTTAAGGGGAGTACGGCACTTACGGCCGTAGAGCATCTCATAAGGAGATACTCCTAGGGACTCATTGGGAAGACTTCTGTAAATACACATTATAAGGTCGATTTGCTTATCCCAATCCTTAGAGGTTTCACTACAAAACTTTTTCAAGAGTGCTTTGATAGTCTGATGACTACGCTCAAGAGAACCCTGTGAAGCAGGATGATAGGGGCTGGACAATACCTGTTTGATGTTGAACTCCTCCAGTGTCCTTTTGAAGAGATCACTAGTGAAGTTGGTACCACAGTCGCTCTGAATCTCCCTGGGAAATCCGTATTGAGTGAAGATCTTCAATAGATGTTTTACAACCGTAGCAGCCGTGATGTTCTTCACTGGAACTGCTATGGGAAATCTGGTGGTAGGACACAGGATGGTTAAGATATAGGCGTTACCTGAACTGGTCCGAGGTAAAGGACCAACACAGTCTATTATAAGTGTGTGGAAAGGTTCCACAGGCACCTGTATGGGAATCAGTGGCGCTCTGGGAATGGAGATGTTCGGTTTGCCTGCCATCTGACATGTATGACACTGTTTTACGTACTGTTTGACGCTATTTACCATACCTGGCTAGTAGTAGTCTTGACGAATTCCATGGTAAGTCTTGTTGAAGCCGTAGTGGGAGAGTGCTCCGTGGGCCAGGTGTAGAATAGTGGGCCGCAGGCTGGTGGGAATCACAAGTTGTTCGATGTTGGCCCAATCGTCCTCCTCCTTCAGTTTACTGGGTCTATATCTGCGGTAGAGCAAGTCGTTCTCTAGGAAGAACCCAGGAATACTGTCGGGTTGAGTCTCAGCCTGGAAAAACAATGGTATTAAAGTAAGATCTTCCCTCTGCAACTTACGGAACTCCAACTTGGTCAGATTCGGGGGTAGTTTCTGAGGGTCTTGAGGGACAGCGGTAGCAGTAGAGTCAGCTGGCTGTGGACGTGCGGCTTGTGCACGGGTGGTCACGAGAACCGGAGGAGAAACTTCATCATTCTCTTGAACCTCTGCTGGAACATACGCTAGTATAGGGTTAATTGGCACAGAGGTACACACCTGGGGTTTGTCCATGACGATCAGGTTGGTCGGTTGCAGGTCTTCTGCCAAGTCGTTGCCTAGGAGAAGTTGCACTCCAGGCATGGGAAAAGGCTTTTCCCTGACGGCGACTTGGACTTCTCCGTTCACGTAGGGACAATCCAGGTGGACTCTGGCGAGAGGGTATGGAGTGGTAGCAGTGAGGTCAGTGATGAAGACAGTTTCTCCGGTGTAGGCGAGGTTGGGCACAGCCGACTTCAAGATGATCGATTGAAGAGCCGCTGTGTCCCTCAAGATCTTCAATTTGAAACGTCCCTCCGGATTTGAACCGTTGGCAGAGACAGTTCCAGTATACAGGTGGTTACTGAAAAGAGAAAGATCATTAACATTAACACCAACATTCATCACAGGCTTACCGGACTTAGGAGGAGTTGGTTTGGGTTTCTGTGTGTCAGTGGTTAATTTGTATTGAGACTTACCACACTTTATCTTGAGATTATCTTGAGATGATTTCGGGGCTTTAGTGTCCCCGCGGCCCGGTCTTCGACCAGGCCTCCACCCCCAGGAAGCAGCCCATGACAGCTGACTAACACCCAGGTACCTATTTACTGCTAGGTAACAGGGGCATAGGGTGAAAGAAACTCTGCCCAATGTTTCTCGCCGGCGCCTGGGATCGAACCCAGGACCACAGGATCACAAGTCCCGCGTGCTGTCCGCTCGGCCGACCGGCTCCATACAGCAGTACCAATTTCTACCATCTAATTGGTCATTATGTCTGTATTTATGATGGTCCACATAGTTACAAATCTTATAATCTAAACAGGAGGATGGGTTGGAATTTTAATTATGCCCGGTAACCATTTCATTAAAAATAGTAAAGGATTTAAGAAAAAAATGCCGACTTCTATTTTCAACATATTTTAAGCAACATAGAATGGTAGACACAAAGAATCCGTCTAAAGCCTAACAAACTGCATTTGTCAGAAGGTGCGCCGGTGGTATGGTATTTGGACACTTGGACATGGACACTTGTCTATGGTATGTCCATAGAGTCTACTTGCAGTACAATTGCGAGCCAGCTTGATCGGTGCTCACTTTCTCGTAACTGTACCACGACTTCTTACTGGAGGATGGTTCGGGTGTCAGCCGGTGGATGAGGCTGTAAGTGTCAGCCGACTTAGCACACTTCAGGTAGTCGGTTTCTTCTTTATCTGCTAAGTATAGACGGACAGGAGGCGGCACACACCTCAAGAATTCTTCAACTAGCATCAGGTTGACGAGTTCTGTAAAAGTAGAGACATGTGCTGCTTCCAGCCATTTCATAAAATATCTCCGTTTTGTGTTAGCAAACTCGAGGAAGGTAGTGGTACTTGCCTTCAGGTGGTCACGGAATTTCCTTCGATAACTTTCTGTGGAGAGGAGGTAGGCGTCCAACACTGCTTGTTTCAGAGTCTGGTAGTCATTCTCAGACGCTAAAGTACTGAGTGTGACTGCAGCTCTACCTGTAAGATGGACTCTGAGAAGTGTGGCCCATTGGTCGACAGGCCAACCGAGTTGATTAGCAAGGGTTTCAAAGGTGGTGAAAAACACATCAACTTCTGCTTCTACAAAGGATGGCATTAACTTACTTGCATGTGATATATTAAAACTGACGGGAAGATTGGCAGTAGCTTGCTGGCGTTGAGCGAGGTGTGAAGTTTCCAACGTGTATTCTCGTTGACGACACTCTAGAGCCAGAGTCGCTTGTTGCTGGTCATGTTCACGTTGCATCTCCAACTCGCATCGTTTTGTTTCCAGCTGTACTCGTTCCCGCTCCTGGAGCATTGCAACCTCACGTTCCTGGAGGGCGAGTTCACGTTCCTGTTCTTCTTTCTTCAAGGCACTTTCACGTTCCTTGAGGGCGAGTTCACGTTCCTTGAGGGCGATTTCTCGTTCGTGTTCTTCCTTTCGTATGGCAGCTGCTTCCCTTTGCTGCTCGAGGGCTTCCCTTTGCTGTTCACGTTCAATCTTGGCCAGCTCTAGTTTGAGTTTCATCGTGGCCAAATCAGTTTTATCTGCAATATAGTAAGTTTCATGAGTTTCAGAGTCTATCTTACCTTGCTCTAAGAAATGATCCAGTAACAGGTTGTGTATTTCACTCTTGTTGGCTTGGTAGGGAACTGTTAGTTGATACTCATGTGGAAGAGTTTGTAATTCAGCTCTCTTGGCATGACTTAAAGTCCCTATTGCACCTGCTGGATCTGCACGGAAATCTTGGAGACGAAACATGGTGAAATTAGCAAATAAATGTACAACGAATATACCGTTATAGTGAATGTCAGAAACAGGACAACGTGGCAACTGGTACCTATCCTGTGGGATCTTTAACAATTAAAGTTAAGTAAAAGATGTTAAATGATTAATTTAAATCAAAGGCGCAGGAAATCTTGTACCCGGTACTCATGTAAGAGGATAAGGGCAAGAAAATCCTACTAACAAATGAAACAGAGTTTCGAAAACAAATGAAACAGTTAATTGCCTCAAAAGTAAAATTGGTAGTCCAAGGATGTAGGCATACCTTGCCGAGTCTCTATAGGACATAAGCAAGTTTTTCCTACTGAAATTAATATGATACTTACAGAATTAGCGAACTTTTGTGCTCTGAAAAAGTAAGCTAATTCCCTACCGTTGTATGTATCATCATCTCTGACTGACGTGTAGGGGTGTGAGGTGTCAACTGGTGACGAGAACTGCTGCTGAGGTCCCAATTCAGCAACTGAAGTTCGAGCTAGAGGAACTATGGCCCTCTTTGTCCTCCTACTGTCAGATTGCAGAAGATTAGGTGCACTTGACCCGGGGCAGACCACAGTACCAGGGTACCAATATGATGATCTGTCAAAAATGAGAAATATCCAAGGGACAAAAGATGGTAAACACGAGTAATAACACGGAGGGGAGAGATGACCAATTAAGAGTATGACTGAGGCCTACAGTCACCACGTAATCCAAAGTTGTCTCACCTTCACCATATGCTACTCTCGTAATGCACAATACACACCGCACCATATAAAAAATGAAATTGAATATGAAAAATAGTAAAAGCTACGTTAACAAAGTTAAATACGCTTACCATTAATTACTACTTGGCACCAGTACCTGAGTGAAGCTCCTAGGACAGGCCCCCATTTAATATGTGACGGTAACGCATTGGTGTTCGGCTGTTCAAAAGCTAGGGGTATGGCCTCGTCACATATAGAAACAAAAAATAGAAAATCTGGAACTTCGTCTGTGGTAAGGTAATGAGAAGACACACAAAACACGAGTAAATTTAACAATGAGATTTTAATTACGTTAGAAAAGCAAAACATGAATAAAATGGACATACAAATTGGAACATAAAATCAATCAATCAAAATAATAAGAATAATCAAATGGCAAAATGAAAAGTTACGTTAAGACAAGTGAGTAATAACAAGTGTATAACAAACAATGTAAATATGGATGCAGGAATATTGGCTTTAAGCTGCCACCTCTCTTAGTACACGTAAGCCAGAGCTTAGTCTACCAACGAGACGTGTTAACTTGTTGAAAGCACTGGATATTCTGAGATCGGTAGGTCGTGTGGCCCCAGACATCAGGTAGTGTGGCAGGTGGAGGGCAGGTGCAACTGGACACGCAGCCAATCAGCGATGAGCAGGCGACAGACAGGTAGTTTGGTGGTTCGAGGTGGAGCAGGTGTTCCTGGCTGCATACTTTGCGCTCTGGCAAACCTTGGTTTTGTATTTGTTGGATATTTCTTCCATATTAGTTGTATAGGGATGTATATAGCGACGAACTTGGGAGGGAAGAGCAGGCTCAATCTCTTGAAGGAGATTATCGTCACAGTATGAATACATTCTGGCTTCCTGTCCCCTGACACAATGAATTATTATTATTATCAGTATTTTCATTTTAGGAGGATGGGGTGATAGAAAGTCATCCGATTCATATTTTTACATTTATAACTTTCATCCATTCCCGAGTGCACAACTGACACCTCATCCATTCCCGAGTGCACAACTGACACCTCATCCTTTCCCGACTGCACAACTGACACCTCATCCATTCCTCTCACCGTTTTTTTAAATTTTCCCCATTCTCCTATTTACCCTTGACTTATAGATGTGTCACACCAGACCCCATATATCTTTCCATTTATGAAATTTACTTCAAATTCTTCTCTCCTCCTCCTCCTCCTCCTCCTCCTCCTATGCCATTTTTTGTTAAACACGCACTCAATTCCTCATCCATTCAATTCCAAAGTCACCGCCCCTCTCTTTTGCCTGTTGCTCCTCCAAACACTTATATTTTACATTTACAAGAATAACCATTCATTTTTCTTTTGCCCAACCACTTGGGGTGGACGGTAGAGCGATGGTCTCGCTTCATGCAGGTCGGCATTCAATCCCCGACCGTCCAAGTGGTTGGGCACCATTCCTTCCCCCCATCCCACCCCAAATCCTTATCCTGACCCCTTCCCAGTGCAATAAAGTCCTAATGACTTGGTGCTTCTCCTGATAGTTCCCTTCCCTTCTTCCTACAATATTAAATATTTTAAATCTTCAGTGGTAAATACAGTACAGTATATACAATAATATTTTATCATCGCAGAAAATATTATCCACTTATTAAAACTTATTTGCAGGTTTGCCGGTTATTGTAGCTGGTTATGGAGTTTTCTCTCCCAATTGTCTGCCTACGCCAACCTTGTCTCAAGGTGTTGTATCAAAAGTGATCAGTTTTGCAGCCCATACACTTCACTGGCCCTCACACCCGGTCTCTAGAGAAGACAGTCAGTTGTGTATAAATACCATTGAGAAACATGGTAGTATTGTGGGTAGTAGCACTACTGATGTTTTGAAGCAGAGAGATGTTCTTATGAAGCAAAGTGTAGACTCAAGTTTAACATCTAGATGTGTAGATCATAAACTTACCGAGTCTGAAAGAAATACCGATGGCAGTATGTTTGTGACGAGTGATCCGAAGAGTATGGTGCCGGTGATAATGCAGACGACGTGTGCGGTCTATGCCGGCACAAGCGGTGGACCTGTTGTGTCAGTTCATCCTCAGCATGGTGAGTTAACCCACCACACTCAGTATTACTTTTAACATTGTTTTATTGATAATAATTGATTAGATTGATCTAATGCTGAGATGCTATGCACCTTTGTATATACTGTATGATTGATCTTATGCTGAGATGCTATGCACCTTTGTATATACTGTATGCAAAACTATACTAAATTAAATTAAAATGTGTACATTAGTTTCATAGTCTTGGTAACACTTATGAATTTATAGTGTTTACTTAGAGTACAGTATAAGGGAAAGTACATCACCATGTAGCTATTGTTATAGACAGGATTACAATTCTTGGACTGCCAAGTTACACAAAAATTTTGTAATCATAATTTATATCTATGCATGTACTTACCTAGTTTTGCTTGCTGGGGTTGAGCTTCGGCTCTTTGGTCCTGCCTCTCAACTGTCAGTCAACCGGTGTACAGAGTCCTGAGCCTGTTTGGCTCTATCATGCTTACATTTGTCAGGTATGGGGGCTTCACCATTGTGCAGTCCCTGTGGCGAAGTGGTAAGACACTCGCCTGGCATTTCGCGAGCGCTTTTGCCTGGGTTTGTATCCTGGCCGGGGGAGGATTTTTCTTGACGCCAATCCTTAACTGTAGCCTCTGTTCCCCCAGCAGTGAATGGGTACTTGATTGTTAAACGATTTGGTGGGTCGTGTTCTGGGGAAAATTAGAAATAAGGACTTGCCCGAAATGCTTTGCATGCTAGTGGCTGTACAAGAATATAAGAACTCTTATACTACAGTATATGTATACAGTATATACAAAAAACTAAATTTAAACTGTGTATGAATTCTGCCTCCACCACATTTCATTAGTTAGCTACCCTAACACTAAAAAAGTTCTTTCTAGTGTCTCTATGGCTCATTTGGATACTCAATTTTCACCTGTGTCCCTTAGTGTGTGTTCCCAGTTAGTAAGCTGTCTTTATCTACCCTATCAATTCCTCTGAGAATGTTGTATATGATCATGTCTTCCCTAACTCTTCTGTCTTCCATTAACGTGAGGCTAAGTTCCCGTAGTCTCTCCTCGTAGTTCATACCCCTCAGCTTGAGTACTAGTCTAAGGGCATACCTCAGAACCTTCTCCAATTTAGTCTTGTGCTTGATGACATATTTGTTTTCCGCTCAGGCTCCAATTTACCCCTTCTGCCTTGGCTGAGGTTAGGGTCAAGTAGCTTGCACATTGCATGCTAGGTTTAGGTTGCTGTAGCGAGCTCAGTTAGTCGCCCGCTCGAATGCCCCGGGGCTACCCAGTTTTGGTTTTCGGGGCCCGGACTTTGGGAAGTTGGTCGGTTCAACCTTGGTTCAGTCCGCTCCCCTTCGTCCTCCCCTTGTTGGTGTGGTTCACCGTTCTCCCCCCCCCCCCTCCCCCTGCTTCCGGCTCCCAAACGTCTGAGGGTTTCAGGGTGGGGGCAAGGTTTAGCTGGGGATGAAACTCGGGCGGCTCCGGGGGTCTCCCCCCATTCGAGGCAGGGACGGAAGCATTTGAGCTGGTTCCTCCCACCGAGGCTTCTAGGTCCTTTCCAGCAGGTCCATTTCTTGGATGCATTTCCCTTGGACTCTGCCTTTTCTTCAAGGGTGGAGGGCATTGAGGACTGGTCTGCCCCAGATCCTGGTTTGAAGGATTCCGGGGTTGGGTGGAAGGCAGCCTGGGGCGCTTGGGCTCCTTTCGATCCTGCCTAAGCTTTGGTGCCTTTGGGGCAGGGTCTTCTGTTGCAAGGTTCGGGTTTTTGTACCCCCTTTCATGGTACGAATTTGATATGGGGTCGGCTCATACTGGGTTCGTTTCCAGGTTCCTTTGGGTTCCCCAGTGGCGTCCTTCCAGAGGCTTTCTACCTCTTGAATTTCTCCTGCAGAGGTTTAGGTGGCCCTTGCTGCATACCTCTTGCTCAACCCAGATTTTGCCTCTGTGCTTGACCTGGCCTCCATTGACTTCGGGTGTTCTTCGCTGTATTGGATACATTACAAGGTACCAGCATCTTCCAGGCTTGCAGACTGCCCTTTCTTTTTGTTGGGGGCGTGGCATACGTTCTGTCATTCCCATACACTTGAGTGGAGAGAGCTCACTACAGTGTTGCAGGTGTTCTTAATACAACTGTATCATGTATTTGAGCATCTTAATGCGTGCTTGTATGCCCCTGTGCTCCTTCGCAACGTTGGTGTGCTCTAGGTGCACGTCCAGGTCCCTTCCCTTTCGGCTGCTTTGGCTGCAGAGGATCTTCGCGCTCGTGGGCATTTGGCCTTCGTTCTTCACTTCTTTTCCACGACCCCACCCCTCGCCCCTTCCTTTCCTCCCGGAGGAGGAAGGGTTGTCACAAACGAGCAGTGTGATGACGTGTTGCTTGTTTGCTTGTTTTTCTTTGGGGGAGTGTCTAGCCTTTGTTCAGTTTCAGGGTTGCAATATTTCTACCAGGAGGGGTCTGTTTTGAAGTGCCTACCTTTCTGGATACTCAACCCCGGTCAATGGCAGACATGAATACTTTCAGACATGTGAGTTTCGTAGACCATTGCTCCCCTCGCCTCTCGAGGGAACCATGTTCCGGTTAGTGGTCCCTGGTAGCCGTAACAACTCCATATGACTGAAGCCCCGTACTGTTCTAATATTAGCTAATATCAGTTCAAAAGCTCCAAGGAGCCTCCGGGACTCTACCCAGAAAATGGCGTTTCATTACATTCAGCGCTGGTTTTTTGAGTCATTTTTGTGTTTAATTTTTCCTATTAAAGCAGGATCAAGATCAAAGGCAGAAATTGTCTCCTTGCCATTGGCAATCAAATCCATGTGTGTGTGTGTGTGTGTGTCTAAAGTACAATTCAGAATTATTTCAAAGGTACGAAGATTGAGAAATGCTGGTCTAATGAATGAACTGTAAATTATTTTTCAGTTAACACTTTCGCCCGGGCATGACGCAGCATTGCGTCATCCGTTTACTGTCGGTAATGCCGGGGATGACACAGCATTGCATCATCGACTTTAAATAATCGCCAAAAATCAGGTTTTTATCCGATTTTTGGGGGACTGGTTTTAAAATGCGCGCCGATGTCTTCCCATTTTCTTTGTTGAGCCTTGTGGCCCTCAGGCGGCTTGGCACACGCCGTGGGCCCATTGTTTTCGCTCCACTGTTGTGACCAATGTCGCCTCCTCTCGCATCTCAAACGTGTGAACATTTCGGCTATTTTCCGTGGCTATATTTCTTACTGCGGCTTTAGAAACTATCTACGCTTACTCCACGATGGATAGTGATCATGAACAAGGCCCTTCCAGGAAGAAAATTGCGAAAGAAAGGCTTGAAAAGGGCGGGAATTGGGAGTGTAGCTGGAAGGCGTCTGAGCGCTCACTTGCGGCTAACGCGTGGCCCGTCTTCAACTCATCGGCGGTTGGAGCGTGACCAGGTTTTTTATTTTATATGCTAATGTTCCTCTAGAGAATTCTATTGCGAACCCATTGAGACCAAAATGAAAGACCTAGGACGAAAATTGAGGTGACCAGAGTGAAAATAGTGAAAACATTTTATCGCGTTTGCACGCTCCTGGGTAACTCGTTCGCACTTTCTCTGTTTGCTGTGGGTAATTAGCCAGGCTTTTGGAGTTTATATGCATTTAGTGCTGTAGAGAATTCTATTGCGAACACAATGATACCAAATTTAATCTCGTAGGACGAGAATTAAGGTGACAAAGTTGAAGAGAATATACACTTTTCAGAATTTACGTGCGCTCCCGTGACACCCTGGGTCCCATATCGCACAGTTGATGGGTGGCGCGCGGGGTACGCCAAAGTGTTAATAGTACGGTATATACATATACTGTATAACTAATTTTCTTTGAGAATAATTTGTTCATAGTGTAGTATTACGAAAAGCCATGTTGCCTTAGTTGGATCATTGGTTAGCTTTACTGGTGTTAATTATATTTTCAGGGTTGCAAGTGATTGGCATTGTTGTTTGCAACACAAAAGATACCGCCAACAAAGCCACTTTTCCGCACATTAACCTGGCAATTCCTGTCCCAGCCATCATTAAAATCATCGAGGCATTTATATCATCTGGGGGTAAGTGTTTAGTGTAAACATTCTCGCTCACTCTCTTGCCTCCCATTTTTACTGCCTCTCCTCTACCTGCTTCCCATTGTATGCCTTCTACCCCCCTGCCCCTCTCCCGTCTCGCTATCTGTCTTGTGCCTCCCATTGTATGCCTTCTACCCCCCTGCCCCTCTCCCGTCTCGCTATCTGTCTTGTGCCCTGAATACCCATCTCCTGCCCCAGTACCCTCTTCTTCTTCTCCCTATCCCTCTCCTACTCCATACACATCTCCTTTGCCTCTACCCCTCTCCTGCCCTAGCCTCATATATCTTCTGCCCTGATATCTTCCTGGGGTAGTATGGTAGGCTCTGATGTCTTCCCTGGGGTAGTATGGTAGACTAATATCTTCCTGGGGTAGTATGGTAGGCTCTGATATCTTCCCTAAGATAGTATGGTAGGCTCTGATATCTTCCTGGGGTAGTATGGTGGACTCTGATGTCTTCCTGGGGTAGTATGATGGGCTCTGATATCTTCCCTGGGGTAGTATGATGGGCTCTGATATCTTCCCTGGGGTAGTATGATGGGCTCTGATATCTTCCTAGGGTAGTATGGTAGGCTCTGATATCTTCCTGGGGTAGTATGGTAGGCTCTGATATCTTCCCAGAGCAGACTGGTAGGCCCTGATATCTTCCTGGGGTAGTATGGTAGGCTCTGATATCTTCCTAGGGTAGTAGGGTAGGCTCTGATATCTTCCTGGGGTAGTATTGTAGGCCCTGATATCTTCCTGGGGTAGTATGGTAGGCTCTGATATCTTCCTGGGGTAGTAGGGTAGGCTCTGATATCTTCCCTGGGTAGTATGGTGGGCTCTGGTATCTTCCTGGGGGTAGTATGGTAGACTGATATCTTCCTGGCATAATATGGTAGGTTCTGATATCTTTCTGGCATAGTATGGTAGACTGATATCTTTCCTGGGGTAGTATGGTAGGCTCTGATATCTTCCCTGGGGTAGTATTGTAGGCTCTGATATCTTTCTGGGGGTAGTATGGTAGGATTTAGTATCTTCCTGGGGTATTATTGTAGGCTTTAGTATCTTCCTGGGGTAGTATGGTAGGCTCTAATATCTTCCGCAGGTAATATATTAGGTGTGGTATCCATTTAGCTGTAAATTTTACCTTATATTTTTTTCAGCTACTGTAGAATGACGCTTCATCTATAGTGGAATCTTAAAGATGTTGGTCATTTGTCTTATTTTCCAACAGACAAGATGGTGTTGCGGTACCTGGATGCTGAGTGTGCTGCCGCATCGCAACTTTGGTCACTGGGAATCACACCTCAGTCACGCTTGTGAACGTGTCGATTCTTTCTTTATTAATTGAATTCTTTGGACGTATTTTTGGAATATAGTTCATTGTGTCAGGGGATAGGCAGTCAGTGTGTATATATATATATATATATATATATATATACATTTTAGGCCTATATTGAGGTTCGACCCTGGGGTTTAATTGGAGATTAAATGAATGCTTGGTAGTCGGTGTGATATTAACACAAGAATACAGCATCTCGTAAATGTTGTATTATGTAGAGTATGTAATTTAGCAGTGTGAGAGAGAGGATATGATAGGAGAAAAGGCAAAGTAGAAGGAATGTCATGGCCACTGAACATTCACTGGTGATGACACATAGCAAAAAACGACTAAATTAATGACTGAATTGTGCACAGTATTAGTGTTGCAGAATGAAGGTTGGGATAAATTCTAATAAGATGAAGATTATAAATCAATGTAACAAATGATTGTTATGAGAGGTTATCTTGACATGATTTTGAGGCTTAGCATCCCCGCGGCCTGGTCCTCGACCTGGCCTACTTTTTGTTAGACATCCCTAGGAAGCAGCCCGTAGCAGCTGTCTAACTCCCAGGTACTGTACCTATTTACTGCTAGGTAACAGTAAAAGGTGAAAGAAACTCTGCCCATTTGTCTCTGCCGGCGCCGGGAATCAAACCCGGGCCACAGGATTATGAGTCCTGTGTGCTGTCCACTCAGCTACTAGACCCATTGTGGTGGAGGGAGGAGAGAGAAGCAGTGTGGTGTGCTGTATCAATACAGACACAATATTTATGGATTTCAAAAACATGCTATATGGCAGCACTTAAATCACACTCAAACAGTCTGGATAACTATTATCTTCAGATTTAAATTACATAATCCAACATAGTTTACCTTCTATGTATTGGTATACTGTACCTCCATTCTGTGATGTATGATGTTAAAAAATGGACCAAGCTTACTGTTTCCCCAAGTGAAATTAAAGTGTAATGGATACTGTAATTAAAGGAATGTGATAGTAACAGTGCTGTATGCTGTATATAATAAAAATGTAAAATGCTTATCTTTTAAAATGATATTGGTAATTATACCAAGTGACTTTATGGTTTCCTCATTGTATAAGCATTGTATATTAGGTCACCAAGTAATATATGTTGTATACAGTACCTCTTTATATATATTTGTAATAAAGCTTCAGTAAGTCTGTATCACTATCATGTTATCTGTTATACTTTATTAGCTTTGTTACAGTTACCACTCTTATCCATGTCATTTTTCTTCAAATTTTCTCAACACTTCAAAATTGCACAATACACGAAAAATTTTAACGCAGATAATGAGTCACAATAATGTGGCTGAAATATGTTGACCAGACCACACTCTAGAAAATGAAGGGACGACGACGTTTCGGTCCGTCGTCGACCATTCTCAAGTCGACTTGAGAATGGTCCAGGACGGACCGAAACGTCGTCGTCCCTTCACCTTCTAGTGTGTGATCTGGTCAACAAAATTTAAACACTAGTCTGATATGATTGCTGATCCTAGAAGTAAATGTTCTTACTGGGTGGTGTTCTTAGTGTTCTTACTTCTTATATTATGTTGGGTTCTAGTGCCATAAGTACATGTATCATCTACACATTCTTTTGTGTACTGCATATGCATTCTTTGTATAAATAGTGTAATGCATTTATAGTTTTTCTTCTACATCCTAATACGTGCATAATTTGACACTCAAGTACATACATATGAAAATGTGTAGTTTTGAAAATCAGTATACTGTATATTTATATTTTTAATTTGGTTTCCATGCTATACAGAAAGAAATTTGTTTATCGGCTTAACTTTCCATTCTGATGGTGCCAGGAAGGCCCTTATTGCTTAATTGGTTCATGTAACTGCAATGATGGCAAATTCTATCATCATTTTAACACTTAATTTGTGATGTAGTGGGAATGAAATTGATGTTCTTAAAACAAACATAACTGTGGCAAATATTTTATGCCCGCACCCTATACCGCGGGATACTTCCAGTACATAGTTTTAAGTTGAAAAAATATAATAGAAAGTTTTTTCAAGAGTCAAGTGCCCTGAGGTCATTGATAACGAACACCCTTACTTGTGAACCCCCTATGAACATGATAAGGTTACTCTGTGTGGTTTGTCATAGAATTGTTCAGTCAGCTCCGTCCCAATCCGACTGCAAGTAGTGTAAATTCTATATAGAATTTTTATGAGAAAAAGACTATAATCGTGGCTTATAAGAAGAAATGTGTTGGTAGTGATACATTGGTGTCAAAATGTATCACATCTATACAATTAGAAATGAGAGTGGACATAACGAAGCATTCAGATAAAGGAGAAACAGCAGCACAGAGAAACCATATCTATAGAGCAAATCATTCATCACTTGGGAATACAATATTATAAAAAAATATACGAATTTTACAACATGCTAGATTCATCTCCAGTGCAAACCTAGAATAACAATTATGACATAAATGGAAAAACTGTACTTATCAACCAGGATGTGATTCATACATCAGGCTGCAAGCAGCCGTGTCCAACAGCCTAGTTGATGAGTCCAGCAATTAGGAGGCCTGGTTGAAGATCGGGCCTTTGGGATGTTGAGCCCTGAAATCATCGCAAGGTATGGTTCATGGTTTGCTATAGTTGGGGAGAGGAAGCCTGTTAGGCGTCTCAAGATCAACCATTGACCTTTCCCAAGATGCAACATACAACAGTTCCCTTCTCAGAACCTAATTACTGCTAGATGAATAGAGGCATCAGGTAAAAGGAAACATTGTTCAAATGCTTTTCCAATCAGGAGAATCAACGCTGGACCTTCTGCTGTACTTACCACTGCACCACACAACCCTATTATTGTGGATTGACGACCAGGATAATAGGATGCCTGTTACCAATATGCCTATACAGGAGAAGGCTCATAGTCTTTAACAAGAAATATATTTGGCAGTGCTAATGATGATGTTTGAATGTGAATTCACAATAAGACAAATAAGAAGCAAAATCAGAAATATTCAGGCACAGGCAGGAGTGGAGAGGAGAGGTATAATGTATGAGAGAAGTCAAACCATGCAACACTACATGTTTGTGAGTCAAAACACCCATTTCACTTATGGTAAAAGGAGAAATGCTTGGAGTGACTCTGTGTACATGTGGCTCAGGCTTGGGTACAAATATTACTGGGAATATGGGATAGGTGTTCATGATAATGACACGAAGTGTAAACTATGTGGTATGTTAAGGTCTCACACCCTTTCCCATTATGTTCTTGATTGTCCGTTGATTAATGTATATAGAAACACTGAGATAAGGACTGTTCCTGAACAAATAGCCTGGATGTGTCACAACGGAAAGGTTGATGATATTCTTGAGAGATACAAGAATTTTGCACCAAGACTGTAATCTTTTGTTGAATTATCTGCATGTCTCTTGCAAATCGTCTATACAGTATACTGTACCTAGGTCATAAAAGTATTTGTGTGTACGTCTGATACCATACTACTTGTGAAGGAGGAAATGTATATGTTTATCTCTCAGAATGTTGGGTAATATGTTTATTGCTTGTGATGTCTGTCTATGTATGTATTAACATGATGTACTGAACGGGGTGAGAATAGCTTGAGCTACCTCATCCCTTTGTGTATATTTTACCTCAATAAACTTATTTCAATTTCAATTTCAATGATGATGTATGTGTGGCAAGTTGTAGGAAGTTCAACAGGTTTAATACTTAGGGGCTAACTCACACAACACTGAACAGAGTAGGGAAGCTGAAAATACTGATGATACAACACAAAGTTAATTTGTTAATACATTTTCAGAAATAATTGAAGAGGGGGAACTTATGCATATCCCTGTCATCTCAAAATTTATTAGTAATACATAACTTTTATTTATTGCATAAATCTTAAAATCAAACCCATCCTCCTAAGGTTTCCCAATGTCAAGAAAACAGTCAATTTAAAGTGTCCTCCCCTAAGCAGAGGACAGTTTTTCCTGTCAGGTCCTCATAGTGTCCTCCCCTAACCTACCAGAGGACCAAAAACAGAAAACGGAACAATACGTCAGTTTCGCGAGCCGTTTCCATTTTCTAGTACAACAATTGTTGGCCTTATGTAATGCATACGATCAAAATGCGACGTTCTTTGTACGAGGACAGGTTGAATTTTCTGCAACCATTGGCATTTATGCCTGAGTCTATTTATACCCATCACATTCTCGGGACCTATCCATACTTAAATTAATAATTTAAATCATCTATCAGACTTGTGATGTAAAATGGGTATCATATTGATCTCATTCTATATTTCCCCCCTCACTTTTGTTTTTCACATTTTTATGTCCTCAAATGGAACATTTGTAATCAAATGCCACCTTTACCCTTTCAAGCTTTAACTTAATTACATAAGCACCTTATACAAGACGTCATCCACTGTCCCATACCACACTTCATTAAGAACATAAAAATTAAGGAAATAATGAACAATTTGTAAAATAATGACCCAGACAATTTCTTTAAAAGGTCAGATGTAACTCATACAAGATGCAACAGCTTCGAGTTCAACAAGCCACAATGTAGGACAGAAAACAGGAGATGCTTTTTTTACTCACAGGTTATAAACTCATGGAACTGCTTACCCATTGAAGCCGCAAATGCTAAAACATTGCTGTAATTCAAAATCCAGCTGGATAAAATGATATCAGCCCAACAGAATTCACTCACTTAAAACCAAAGCTGGAAATATTAGTGAAATACCAACTATGGTATATAAAGGTGCCACTCAGGCTCTGGCACCACCCATAGCTCTGCTATTCAACGAATCTCTAGTGTGTAATACTTTTAGCGATATCCTTAAAAAAAGCAAAAGTAACTCCAGTTCATAAAGGAGGCGAGACAGCTGACAAACAATTACAGACCAATATTAAACCTACAGATATGAAAAATATTTGAACAAATTATTTACAAACAGCTCGACTCCTACCTTGTAAAATTCAACATATTAAGTCCCTTCCAGTTTGGCTTTTGTTCACAAAAAGAGTACCAATGATGTCATTATTAACCTGCTTGATATAATCCACACAGCACTTGACAGCCCTGGCAGTGTGTACATTACCAGGTCCCCAGGCAGGGTTGGCAGCCCTGGCAGTGTGTACATTACCAGGTCCCCAGGCAGGGTTGGCAGCCCTGGCAGTGTGTACATTACCAGGTCCCCAGGCAGGGTTGGCAGCCCTGGCAGTGTGTACATTACCAGGTCCCCAGGCAGGGTTGGCAGCCCTGGCAGTGTGTACATTACCAGGTCCCCGGGCAGGTTGGCACCCCTGGCAGTGTGTACATTACCAGGTCCCCGGGCAGGGTTGGCACCCCTGGCAGTGTGTACATTAAAAGGTCCCCGGGCAGGGTTGGCACCGCTGGCAGTGTGTACATAACCAGGTCCCCAGGCCGGGTTGGCAGCCCTGGCAGTGTGTACATTACCAGGTCCCCGGGCCGGGTTGGCAGCCCTGGCAGTGTGTACATAACCAGGTCCCCGGGCAGGGTTGGCAGCCCTGGCAGTGTGTACATTACCAGGTCCCCGGGCAGGGTTGGCAGCCCTGGCAGTGTGTACATTACCAGGTACCCGGGCAGGGTTGGCACCCCTGGCAGTGTGTACATAACCAGGTCCCCGGGCAGGGTTGGTAGCCCTGGCAGTGTGGACATAACCAGGTCCCTGGGCAGGGTTGGCACCCCTGGCAGTGTGTACATAACCAGGTCCCCGGGCAGGGTTGGCAGCCCTGGCAGTGTGTACATTACCAGGTCCCCGGGCAGGGTTGGCAGCCCAGGCAGAGTGTACATTGCCAGGTCCCCGGGCAGGGTTGGCAGCCCTGGCAGTGTGTACATTACCAGGTCCCCGGGCAGGGTTGGCAGCCCTGGCAGTGTGTACATTACCAGGTCCCCGGGCAGGGTTGGCAGCCCTGGCAGTGTGTACATTACCAGGTCCCCGGGCCGGGTTGGCAGCCCTGGCAGTGTGTACATTACCAGGTCCCCGGGCAGGGTTGGCAGCCCTGGCAGTGTGTACATTACCAGGTCCCCGGGCAGGGTTGGCAGCCCTGGCAGTGTGTACATTACCAGGTCCCCGGGCAGGGTTGGCAGCCCTGGCAGTGTGTACATTACCAGGTCCCCGGGCAGGGTTGGCAGCCCTGGCAGTGTGTACATTACCAGGTCCCCGGGCAGGGTTGGCAGCCCTAGCAGTGTTTACATTACCAGGTCCCCGAGCCGGGTGGCCTCAGTAGTGCACAAGTCGTGGAAGGGTGAGGTGTTGCTCCTCTTCAGGGAAACCTCTCTCGCTGGACCACATTAAACAGGAAGAAATATTCCATCAACGTCTTCCAAGTCATCGTGAAGAACAGGAAGCACAATACTTTAGTGAACTGCAGCTTTAAATCAAATTAAACCTTCCTACAAGTAGCATTTTGAGACCAAAATAGGAATACTGACACACGTAGAGTTAAAGGAAGGTCGTGGAGTACACTGAGTGAGATTACTCACCAGAATGAGTACAATTTTTTTTTTTTTTTGTACAATGTTGCAGATGAGTGTAGTGAGTGGGAGCAGACCCAGCCACACTGCCTCTCTTATATTCCTGCACGGCTCAGGTGAGGCGTCTCGCCTGCTCCAGCCCTCTGAGATGTATATCCTTGTCTTAATATACATACTTGAGACGTCTCTCCTCCAGCCCTTTAAGATGTATATCCTTGTCTTAATATACATTCTTGAGACGTCTCTCCTCCAGCCCTTTAAGATGTATTTCCTTGTCTTAATATACATACTTGAGACGTCTCTCCTCCAACCCTTTAAGATGTATTTCCTTGTCTTAAGACTTTCGCGCTTTAGATTAGAGATAACTCGTCGCCGGTTTTTCTTACGATTCCGCATAACAGCCTACTTTTCTCGTCCATCGAAAAAATATTTCTATAAATTCCATTTTTTAACTGAAATGGATGGGGATACTTTTGTTTTGTAGAGAATTTATTTGCGAATTTTTTGGTACCAGAATGAATATTATATCACATAAACTTCTATGAGTAAAAAAAAAATACACAAAGTATGTTTGGGGGTGTGGCGAGCGTGTGGCAGTGAGTTCCCTTTAGCCGTTGATATATCCAACACGTGGGAAATATTTGTATGTGTTATGTATATGTCTGTGTAGGGAATTTTACTGTGATCACTGTCATACAAATTATAAAATGTTTCAACAAGTATAAACATGACAAACATCAAACGAACGAAAACAATGCGTTCGCTTCTGCCACGAACGCATACTGAGCGACGTGGTTCTATATTTGGCGCTTCTCTTACACATGCTTTGTACAAATGTTATACAGTTCATCTTATAGAAAATTTTATTGCGAACACATTGGTATAAAAAAGAAATACGTACATAGAAAAGTAGGGTCAGGAAACGTATACACTTTCCAAGCATGATTTCCCCCCTGTGTTTTCGCCAGTGCGCTCGCGGCTAACTACTCTCCACTTCACACACTCTTGCGGGTGGGCAATTACCTATATTAAACATTCATATGCATATGTCCGTGTAGAGAATTTTATTGTGATTCCAATGATACCAAAATTAGCGATGTAGGACAACTGTAGGCTTCGCAACCATTAAGAGAGTGGAAACATTTTGTTGCTGTTTGGCGCTCTCGGCGAGTGATCTGCATAGTTTTTTATTTGGTGTTGATACTCCTTATGCTTGGGCGGCATTTTATAGGTATGCTCTTATAGACAATTCCATTGCGAACACAGTGATACCAAATTTAAATACGTGCGCCTTCAATTATTGTCAGGACAGTCAAAAGAGTGTACACTTTTTCGGTCTTACCGCGTAGGCGCGCGAAGTGCCGAAAGCATCTGGGGTATTGTTTTTTTTTGAGCGCCGAAAGCGCGAAAGTGTTAATATACATACTTGAGACGTCTCTCCTCCAGCCCTTTAAGATGTATTTCCTTGTCTTAATATACATACTTGAGATGTCTCTCCTCCAGCCCTTTAAGATGTATTTCCTTGTCTTAATATACATACTTGAGATGTCTCTCCTCCAGCCCTTTAAGATGTATTTCCTTGTCTTAATATACATTCTTGAGATGTCTCTCCTCCAGCCCTTTAAGATGTATTTCCTTGTCTTAATATACATTCTTGAGACGTCTCTCCTCTCACCATCAGTCACAATTATCTTCACTGTAGTCTCACTATCATCTTAATGCTGCCTTATTTTGTGTTTATGTTCTTTTATTTATATACAAGACGGTACATTATGTTGTGACATAATATTGGTGTTCTTATGTTCTTGTAGATTCCTGCAGCTCCTTAAGCTACCTGATGAATGTTATTATTAGTGATTGAGTGTGTCGAGGTGACAGGCAGCCAGAGTGTATATCTATATATGTTAGGCTTATATTGTGGTTCCCCCCCCCTGTTCCAAGGGTCAAACTACTGACCCCCCCCCCAGGATGTAGCTCCACAACAAGCTGACTAACTCCTGGGTGCCTATTGACTGTTAGGTGAACAGATGCATTAGGTGATAGGCAATGTGTTCAACCATTTCTGGCCTATCTTGAGGTTGTCTTGTTAAGTTGTACTAAGGAAACGTAGCAGCTCTCAGATATCCATGTTTTCTGTGTTGTTAGGTAAGGCGAGTTTGTAAATTTTAGTACTGCTTATTTTGTATGTTGTGGTGAATCGAGAAAAGGGGCTGCTTGATACCTGCGTGGGCCGGTATGGTGTAATTACTCTTTACATAGAACATACACACAGTATATGGCTTACTGTTCCTACCCCTAAGTCATTACTCACAGTGTCCACAAAGTGTTGATGGCACTATACATCCTCATTGGATGGGGTTTTGGCATTGTTGTCTTGTCCAGTTTTCTTATGGCACATTCCTGCACATTTGCTTTTCCTTCCAGCTTTTTTCTTTCCTGTTGCTTTACTGCTAGAATCCACTCGATAAAACATCTAGATTATTAGGACCAATTAAAATTCTTAAATCTGTATTCTCAAGAGTGCAGGCAGGAGAGATAATTTACACGTGGAAAATATTAGAGGGGCTGGTCCCAAACCTGCACACAGAAATAACACCACATGAGACCAGAAGACATGGCAGGATGTGCAGAATACCCCCATTGAAGAGCAGAGGTGCAACAGGTACTCTGAGAGAGAACACTATCAACATCAGAGGCCCGAGACTGTTCAACACGCTTCCACTACACATAAGGGACATAACTGGCCGACCCCTCACAGTGTTCAAGAGAGAACTATCAACATCAGAGGCCCGAGACTGTTCAACACGCTTCCACTACACATAAGGGACATAACTGGCAGACCCCTCACAGTGTTCAAGAGAGAACTATCAACATCAGAGGCCCGAGACTGTTCAACACGCTTCCACTACACATAAGGGACATAACTGGCCGACCCCTCACAGTGTTCAAGAGAGAACTATCAACATCAGAGGCCCGAGACTGTTCAACACGCTTCCACTACACATAAGGGACATAACTGGCCAACCCCTCAGTGTTCAAGAGAGAGAGAACTCGATAAACACACCCAAAGGATACCTGTTCAACCAGGCTGTGATTAATATGTGAGCCTGTGGGCAGCTGCGTCCAACAGCCTTGTTGACCAGACCATCAACCAGGAGGCCTGGTCAGAGATCAGGCCGTGGGAATGTTGATCCCCAAAATCAACACAAGGTGTCAGTGGCAGTTGCATTAATGCACTTCACACACCTTGCCGGAACCCAGGATTTCATTTCTATGGTTTTGGCTGTTTTTTTCAGCTACAACCTTCCCTGTCATTTTTAGTTTGGGACAGTCATCCACCTCCCAGACGGATTCCTTTGATGTCCATCTCGGTGTACGTGATTCCCTATGTCTTGTGGCTGCAATTAGGTTTCCCCAGCCTGGGCAGGTGACATGGTTATGTCTGGGCTCCATGGACAATTGCCCATGTCTGGGAAATCAACATGGTGCCACTTCTCTTCCCTAAGTCTTTGCTTTCTGCCCCTTTCCCATGGGTAAGCCATTTTTTACCTGTCTGACCTTATGATTTTGTATTCCCTTTTAGCAATGCTGTTCTCTGTGGCACCATTATAAGCATGTACTGGGTAGCTACTGAGATGGCTAGTACAGAAAGACTATAGAGTGTAATGAAATGCCTCTCCTCCTGCGATTCCACAATAGCATTCCCACCCTGGTGGTCCCTCCATCCTTGTGGGGTTTAGGACAATACGGGTGGTGTGAGAGTGAGGGTCGAGACCCTGGATATCCTGGTCTACCATCGGGCTTTGGTCAGGCAAATTGGGACAAGGGTTGTTGAGCCATTGTGAGCTATGGTTTGTCTTGTTTTCCTACTTTCATATCTACCTCCAGAGCAGTGGGTTTTTTTTCACTTCCAACTTTCTGTGCAATTTCCATAGTTTTAGAACATTTGTTCCACTTGCTTTCCTTGTCTTGGAAACCAATTCTTATTTTTTTCTTTTTATGGTGCATAATCTTGGGAAATTTGTATGTTCTAAAGGCTCTGAGCAGCTACTGAAAAACCTACACAGAAAGCGGCATTTTATCAATACTTATATTGAACATTTTGTCTTTGATCATACAGTATCTGTAAATGCTGACTTGCTCTGTTAATGTGTAACTAACTATAAATCACTCGCCTCATATTCTTCTTTGTACAGGTGGCACTGGTCCTATGGCAAAAGAAGGAATAAAGATGATATATGGCAAAAACTTCATTTTTCCGCATATCCGCATCTTGTACCCAACTGCTCCGCTGATACCCTATACCCCATCGGCTGGTTGCCTACGGCACGTTTGGTTTAATAGGTAGTTCATTTTGGTTTGTTTGTTATTTTGAGAAGTTTCTATATATAGTGAGACTAATGAAAATTGTTAGATACAATTGAATTTTGTTTTCTGCATTTGTAGTAAAATTACAGTACTGTACTGTATAGTCCATGTGTATGGAGCACTTAGAGTAAGACAGAACAGTTAATAGTGTGGTTTGTTATAGTTACTCTTTAAAAACTCTTTACAATAGTCAGTACAGTACATAGGATTTTGCTAAAGCATTTGATAAGGTACCACATGAATTACAGGCCCATGGAATAAATGGTAAAATATTAAGATGGATAAAACAATGGTTGAAGGAAAGAAAACAAAGTGTCGTGCTAAACAGAAATGAATCTGAATGGAGAAATATGATAAGTGGGGTGCCACAAGGGTTCATTTTGGGGCCAACCTTTTTTGTCATATACATCAATATATATGTGAGAAAGCTGCATGAACGCACAAGCCATATATCACAAAGAACTCTTTGACCCGGCCAGGATTCGAACCCATGCCGTCCAGGATCACCCCTAAACGTACACAGTACCGTGACCACCGCAACAATGATCGTCTATCATTGACAATCCAAGACGATCATTGGTGTGGTGGTCACGGTACTGTGAACGTTTAGGGGTGATCCTGGACGGCATGGGTTCGAATCCTGGCCGGGTCAAAGAGTTCTTAGTGATCAATATATAAATATATATATATATATATATATATATATATATATATATATATATATATATATATATATATATATATATATATATATATATATATATATATATTATTAAATATGACCGAAAAAGTAAGATTAATAATTCTAACACGAATTTTCTCAATCTTTCGTACATTACGCTTCACTGTTGGAGGTAAATCAAAAATCACTTCTCCAAAATTCATTTTTATTTCTAGTCTGACGCGACACGGGCGCGTTTCGTAAAACTTATTACATTTTCAAAGACTTCACAAATACACAACTGATTAGAACTTACGTATCTCTGAGTTTATATCTACATTTGAGTGAGGTGGGAAGGGTGATGTGGCATTAGAACAAGATGGGATATTAATAGGGTATTAAAAGTATCAACACAAGACAGAACAGAAACAATGGGTATTGAATAGAAGTGTTTGTAGAAAGCCTATTGGTCCATATTTCTTGATGCTTCTATATTGGAGTGGAGTCTTGAGGTGGGTAGAATATAGTTGTGCAATAATTGGCTGTTGATTGCTGGTGTTGACTTCTTGATGTGTAGTGCCTCGCAAACGTCAAGCCGCCTGCTATCGCTGTATCTATCGATGATTTCTGTGTTGTTTACTAGGATTTCTCTGGCGATGGTTTGGTTATGGGAAGAGATTATATGTTCCTTAATGGAGCCCTGTTGCTTATGCATCGTTAAACGCCTAGAAAGAGATGTTGTTGTCTTGCCTATATACTGGGTTTTTTGGAGCTTACAGTCCCCAAGTGGGCATTTGAAGGCATAGACGACGTTAGTCTCTTTTAAAGCGTTCTGTTTTGTGTCTGGAGAGTTTCTCATGAGTAGGCTGGCCGTTTTTCTGGTTTTATAGTAAATCGTCAGTTGTATCCTCTGATTTGTCTAGATGTAACAATCATGGAAAAGGGCGGAGGTTTCCACACTGCAGTCTACACTAAGGAAACAAACATAGGAATGTGCCTAAATGCCAACAGCGACTGCCCTGACAGGTACAAGAGGAGTGTTGTTAACGCATACGTCGACCGTGCTCTCAGCCACAGCTCAGAATGGAAGCAAGTCGACGAAGAACTCTGTAGGGTAAGGCAGGTCCTAGTCAATAACGGCTTCTCCAATGGTTTCATCGAAGACATCATAAGAAGGAAAGTGAAAAGTCATGCAACCTCTGAAGAGACAACTAACACAACACCTATACCCCCTATTAGACTATTTTACAGGAACTTCTTTTCCACAGCTCATAAAACGGAGGAAAGGGTCCTGAAAGATATTGTTAATAGAAACGTTATCCCTACAGACAAAAATCAGAGGATACAACTGACGATTTACTATAAAACCAGAAAAACGGCCAGCCTACTCATGAGAAACTCTCCAGACACAAAACAGAACGCTTTAAAAGAGACTAACGTCGTCTATGCCTTCAAATGCCCACTTGGGGACTGTAAGCTCCAAAAAACCCAGTATATAGGCAAGACAACAACATCTCTTTCTAGGCGTTTAACGATGCATAAGCAACAGGGCTCCATTAAGGAACATATAATCTCTTCCCATAACCAAACCATCGCCAGAGAAATCCTAGTAAACAACACAGAAATCATCGATAGATACAGCAATAGCAGGCGGCTTGACGTTTGCGAGGCACTACACATCAAGAAGTCAACACCAGCAATCAACAGCCAATTATTGCACAACTATATTCTACCCACCTCAAGACTCCACTCCAATATAGAAGCATCAAGAAATATGGACCAATAGGCTTTCTACAAACACTTCTATTCAATACCCATTGTTTCTGTTCTGTCTTGTGTTGATACTTTTAATACCCTATTAATATCCCATCTTGTTCTAATGCCACATCACCCTTCCCACCTCACTCAAATGTAGATATAAACTCAGAGATACGTAAGTTCTAATCAGTTGTGTATTTGTGAAGTCTTTGAAAATGTAATAAGTTTTACGAAACGCGCCCGTGTCGCGTCAGACTAGAAATAAAAATGAATTTTGGAGAAGTGATTTTTGATTTACCTCCAACAGTGAAGCGTAATGTACGAAAGATTGAGAAAATTCGTGTTAGAATTATTAATCTTACTTTTTCGGTCATATTTAATAATATATGTCTACAGGAAAGACTGCTACCAAAATAATACTAACCTACCTAACCTAACCTAACCTAGCTTTTTTTGGCTACCTAACCTAATATATAACTCCAATAAAAAAAATTGACCTATACATATGAAAAGGGTAGCTTTATATATATATAGTATATATATCAGGAAAACTTGGCTTATAGGCAAAATATATATATATATATATATATATATATATATATATATATATATATATATATATATATATATATATATATATATATATATATATATATATATATATATATATATATATATATATATATATATATATATATATATATATATATATATATATATATATACATATACATCCATCCATCCATCCATCCATCCATGATACAGATGAGAATATTTTCAACCCACATCATCAAATTTGTAGACAACACAAAGATTTATGGTAAAGTGGGAAGTGATAATGATATTGAAGCCTTACAAAGAGACCTACGTGAACTCCACAAATGGTCAGAAGACTGGCAAATGCTTTTTAATATCGCCAAATGCAAGACCATGCATGTGGGACGTAACAACCCATGCCACGACTACCAAATTAATAGCATTACATTACAGCAGATTGATGAAAAAAAGGGACCTAGGAGTCAAAATCCACCACTCATTAAAAGTTGTTCAACAGGTGGATGCAGCAGTCAGAAAAGCTAACCAAACTCTTTGGATAATCAAGCGTACTTTTGACTATAACGGAAGGTGATGGTTCAGATATATTAATCTCTGGTGCGCCTCCATTTGGATTACTATATGCAGGCATGGAAACCTCATCTTCAGAAGGACATAGCTGCTTTGGAGAAAGTTCAATACCGGGCAACAAAAGTCATTCTAGAGTCGAGTAATCTCCCATATTAGGAACGCTTGAGGCCACATGGCTAACATCACTGCAAACCAGGCATGACAGGGCGGATCTCATTGAAACTTTTAAATACTGAACAAGTTACAGGATGTTGATCTGGATATTTTCTTCAGGTCAGATGTAACACAAATAAGGAGCAATGGTTTCAAGCTCGGCAAGCCACAAGGTAGGACTAAGAACCAGTCTCCATGGTGTAGTGGTAAGACACTCGCCTGACGTTCCGTGAGCGCTTTGTCATGGGTTCATATCCTGGCCGGGAAGGATTTACTGAGCGCAAATCCTTAACTGTAGCCTCTGTTTAACTGAACAGTAAAATGGGTACTTGGTTGTAAAAACGATTCTTCATGGCGGGGATTGTATTCCAGGGACCTGCCCAAAACGCTACGCGTACTAGTGGCTGTGCAAGAATGTAACAACTCTTATATATATCTCAAAACAAACAAACAAAAAAAAAAAAAAGAGAGAGAGAGAGAGAGAGAGAGAACAGGAGATGCTTTTTCACCCATAAGATTGTTAACCCATGGAATTGCCTACCCGCCGAAGCTGTAACTGCCAAAACTGTGTTATTTTAAAATATACAGTACTGTACTTAGCAAAGATCAAAGTAAATGGGTGGGGGGACCTTCGACAAGTTGCTGGCTTCCTGTCCAGAAGGTTGTCACCTTGTCCAGATCCAGGCATCATGGCATCAGCCGATATATGCAAGACCCCCCTTGTATATTCTGTATTTTTCCACGTTTTCATTTCCTTGTGAGAAATGCATCATTTTTCTATAGAAAATTGTAGTTTTCCTCGTCAAGGCACCAAAGGGAGGAAGCCCTCCAGGAAGCTATTGGAGCCGCCCCCAATATACAGTATTTCCTAATGTAATGAAGCATCACTATCTTTGAGGCATATCTGTTGCTCCCCGTTCCTTCCCTGTCTTTCCATTCTTCCTCCTGTATGGTTTATTACATGTGCTAGAGTGTGATGAGGTTTGGCCAGTCTTTACCTGGTTGGAGTGTGGCATTTGGGTGATTTCCAAAAATTGCTCAGAGCAAATTTGAGTGTTTTGTGATATCCTTTCATTTTTACAGGTACAGTAGCTTACATTTGTAATGGGTTGGTCACTTCCGATGTCTTCCCTTCTCCTATGAGTTAAGTCATTATGGAATGATGGACGGCGATGATCACGGGATGTTGACGTAGTGTCATAAGTAGAGGTGTGGGATTTGTTTCACTTGACACTAATTTTGTTTTGCTTTTTACTTTGGTTTGAAGGTATGGAATAAATACAATCATAATCAAAGTTTAAATCTAAAAAATTATTTTTATTTAATTGGCAGACACAGTATATCACTTGCTGCTCCAGAAGACCTAACAACTATTGAACCAATTGCTGAGGAAATTAACAAACTCATTGACAAAGAAGTTAAAGAAGGAATTGATGTCAAGAGAATTATTTTGGGTGAGTATTTTTTAGTGATTTGATATACAAGTTAAAACGGTTTAAGTTCTTGGTAAAATATACAATTATTGTATATTTCTTTTCATTATCTCAAGACGTAAGTGTTTTGGTCCGTAGTATCAACTTCTGGTTGTGATATACTCTGTTTCTACATGATTTAGTTTCAACTGGTTGGGCAACTATGGTTGAATTACTGTACAGTATATGTACTTTAAGAAAGGTATACAGTAGAGTACATATATTACCATCACTGGAAATAATTAAATAATTTTATACAATGTTTCCGAGCAGAAGGCATTTTATTTAAAACGTAGAGCTACAAAAATAGCATTGGAATATATTGCAACATCAGTTTTAGTTCATTGAGAAGAAACCTTAAGTAAGATTACCAGTAATGGCATGTTCTGTTGTTCCTTGCAGGTATTCTGTAATGTAATTTCTATAATTTCATAAATCTTTCACATGCAGGAGGATTTTCTATGGGGTCAAGTTTGGCAATGCAGATGGGATATCGGTTCCGCAGAGATATTGGAGGCGTGTTTGTGTTGTCGTCATTTTTGAACCAGTATTCCAAGGTGTATGAGGTTAGGACATATTTCCAAACTTAAATCTTATATATGATAACTATGGCCTGTGCTATTGAGATGAAGTACAGTATACAATTACAAATTAAATATTTCAAGACCATACTATACTGTAGTTCAGTAAATTGTTGCTTACCTAGCTAGAACATAGTGTGGTGTAACCTTGTGTAGCTTTAAGGGGACCTGAATCATTGCCATCGGTGAAAAATATTGAAAACCCTGAAATACAGTAAAACATGTTTTAAGAAAAATATTCATAAAATGTGGTAACGCGTTGCTGCATAAAATGACTTTATCTTGAGGTTATCTTAAGATGATTTCGGGGCTTAGCGTCCCCGCGGCCCTGTCCTTGACCAGGCCTCCTTTTTGTTACACACCCCCAGGAAGCAGCCCGTAGCAGCTGTCTAACTCCCAGGTACCTATTTATTGCTAGGTAACAGGGGCATCAGGGTGAAAGAAACATTTTTGCCTATTTGTCTTCGCCTCCATCGGGAATCGAACCCGGAACCTCAGGACTACGAATCCGAAGCGCTGTCCACCCAGCTGTCAGGTGCCCATAATGACCTTATGATGGTTATCTCCGTATATCCATCCATATGTACCATACATATAGTATATTATGCCTTTTATCCTGTTTCCTTCCTGGCTTTGTGCCCTGGAGAGGTCACTCCAGACCGACAACCAGAGCGCAACTCCAAAGTCTCCAATGACTGATGGATGCCTACTTATCCTGTTTCTCTATTGGGCTGACTGCCCCAGACAGCTCATGTGGTCCACGTGCACTAGAACATCTTGTGTTATATAGAGTAATTATTCTATATATGAATATATATATATATACACAGTACAGCACTTGTTCTGTACTCATTTGGCAGCTCTTAACACGTTGGCAGCTCTCAATTGGTGGGAGATATCGGTGACTCATGAATCATTGGATAGAGTAAATCTGCACTATGTCTTTCAGCAACAATATACACTAAATCACCCATTTTACACCTGTGGTAATATTGTTTTTACCTGAATGTAATTGCATGCAATGTCACCATTGTACATATGGCAGATTCTTCACAAAATTATTGGAATCCAGCAAAATATGAGAGCAAGTATGCAGGGCCTGGGTGCACAGTCGAGTAAGAGTCCTGAGGTTGGTCTCCTCTGGCTTAGTTCACCCGGGTCCTGATTCACATTGATTGTGGGAATCTTCTCAATGCAAGTGAAACATTTTTAATGGACTCCTTGGGTCCATCACATTTGTTGTGACTAATATGCTGTTTGGTGATGAAGACACCAGGGCTGAAGGCTCGAGTGTGAGCAGTGGTAGTATTTAGAAGTGGTTTAACGAAATGCAGCATAAAGCTTAACAGTAGTTTTTTTTATACAGCTTAACCATTAATACAATGGATGCTTGATTTACTCTAGATTGATGTCAGCAAGGCTGTTATCTCATTAGAGAGACCTGGGACATCTCGGTAATTGATCTTAGTCCCTTGTGGACAAAACGTAACTAAAGTGGTCGACAACCAATCACTATCTTGGCTTTCCTGACAATGCCAGTGTGCAAAGGGACACAGGAGACCACTTTACCCACACCACGAACAATGGCTCTGTGCTAACTGGTGGCTTTTGGTATTAACAAGTTCAAAGTAGTTTTGAGTGAACCACCTTTTCTGACTGAATTGCTTGGAGTCATTTCGATGCATCGTTTTCTGTGAGCTTGCAGTTGTCTGGGAAGCTTCGCTGACTTTCTGAATGCTTTCCCAGGAAGAGTGATGGTAACAGTTGCCTACTCTGTGCCTCTGTGAGGGGAAAGGGGTGTGCAGGTTCTGCCTCTGGTCTCTGGTAGGGCCAGATAAGAATACTATGACTTGACCCAGTAGTGGGGAAGCCATCTCGGTAAGATAGCTTCAGGGAACCGCCAAGACTCGACCAGGAGGAAATGTTTCATTAGATTCAACGCTAGTTTTATAGATGTTATGTCTCTTCAAATTGCTGCAGACTACTTGATTTTTTGCTGTTTTTTATTGTATGATAAAATCATTCTACAACAGGTTCATTGCATCTCTTGTGATAATGCAATGTATAAATTTGTGTAATTACCCAAGTGTAGTTACAGGATGAGAGCTACGCTTGTGGTGTCCCGTCTTCTCAGTCCTCTTTGTCATATAACGCTTTGAAACTACTGACAGTTTTGGCCTCTATTGCCTTCTCACTTAGCTTGTTCCAACCATCTACCACTCTGTTTGCAAAAGATAACTATCTAATATTATTTTTGGCACCTTTGTTTCCTAGGCTTGAATCTGTTTTCTTGATGATGACCAGACCACACTAGAAGGTGAAGGGACGACAACGTTTCGGTCCGTCCTGGACCATTCTCAAGTCGATTGTGACTTGACTTATTGTGACTTAAGTCACAATCGACTTGAGAATGGTCCAGGACGGACCGAAATGTCGTCGTCCCTTCACCTTCTAGTGTGTGGTCTGGTCAATATACTTTAGCCACGTTATTGTGACTCATCGCCTGCCTATGTTTTCTTGTTCTTGAAGTTGCTGGTTTCAGGAACTCTTCATCAATTTGGTCAATTCCTATTATTATGTACTGTATACAGTGTTAATTGCCTGTGCTCAGACGAATACATGGATCATAACTTGCATGACAACATGAAGTGACTGCCAGTTCTGCTGCTTTACAGACGGTATATAATGAAACTTTAAACCAGATGACTTGTCACAATTGTTGACATTCCACAATACAGCAGACTGACAAATACAAAAATTTTATACATGTCTGTCTAGTACATACAGTAGTTTGGTTAGTTTACGGAGGTAAATAATTTTTTTTTTTTTTTTTTTGAGATATATACAAGAGTTGTTACATACTTGTACAGCCACTAGTACGCGTAGCGTTTCGGGCAGGTCCCTGGAATACGATCCCCTGCCGCGAAGAATCGTTTTTTCATCCAAGTACACATTTTACTGTTGCGTTAAACAGAGGCTACAGTTAAGGATTTGCGCCCAGTAAATCCTCCCCGGCCAGGATACGAACCCATGACATAGCGCTCGCGGAACGCCAGGCGAGTGTCTTACCACTACACCACGGAGACCGTTAATTCACTGTAAACTTAAGAGAACGTCCTAAACACAACATAATGTGAATGTCTGATTCAGCCAATGAGTCACAATAATGTGGATGAAGATATGATGAAAAAAGGAGGCCTGGTCGAGGACCGGGCTGCGGGGACGCTAAGCCCCAAAATCATCTCAAGATAACCATCTCAAGGTGATGATCAAGTCACACATCAGAAGATGAGAAAAACAACATTTTGGTCCATCGTGGACCATTATCAAGTCTTGTGTGCAACTTGATAATGGTCTGAATGTCTGTATGACTTGAACATCTGACAATGAGAATAAAATTTAAATGACTAATATAAACTAATCATTCAATGACTTCATACCGTAAATTTTCACATCCTCAACATTCAATCAACAGATTCTGTTGATTGAGAAATATTCAGAGAGGACAATACTCCATTTCACAGCTAATTTTCATATAGCTGCTTGCTTTTATTATTTTTATGGACCTTGGTTAGACACAATTATCTACCGGTAATCACTTATTTATTGGCAGTGCCTTCTTCCTTGACGCTACCATGCACACAACCCAACCACTTGGGCTGAATGGTAGAATGACGGTCTCATGCAGGTCGACGTTCCATCCCCGACCATCCAAGTGGTTGGGCACCATTCCTTTCCCCCGTCCCATCCCAAATCCTTATCCTGACCCCTTCCCAGTGCTGTATACAGTAGTCATAATGGCTGGGCACTTTCTCCCTGATAGTTCCCTTCCCTACCATGCACACAATCTTTGTTTCATCACGGCTTTATATGTGTGTGTCATTTTAAGCTCTTTTGCTTAAATCTTCTTTGTAGCAGTTAAATTTGGAGATAAGTGATTGTGGAAAATTGTTAGGCTGAATTGTGCATTTAATTGGGAAATGCTTTGTCACCTATATATTAATGTGTTTTCTGAAATTCATTTTCTCTTTACATAGGTCCTGGATTCTTCGTTAGATAGTGATCATCCCCCGTTGTTCATGTGTCATGGAGAAAAGGATGATGTTGTGCCTTACACTTGGGGTGAACGCACCTTCGAAGAACTACGGAAGCGAGGAGTAAAAGGAGAATTTCATTCATTCTCCAATTTGTACCATAATATAAGCAAAGAAGAATTGGTCATGTTAAAAGAGTGGATTCTCAAACAACTTCCGGATGATTAAAAATATTAAGACAAAATTTGTGGATAATTTATGCCTAACAGCCCTTATTTCCTTAATATTTTTTTTTATTTATACATATTGGCATTAATTATATCCAGATACTGGGTACTGTATGTTTTTTTTTGTTTTTTTTAAATACAGTACTGTACATTCAAGTCAAGGTAAATGATGCAGAGAGAAAGAAGAAAGTGCAGAGAGAAAGTGCGTCTTATTGACGCAAGAAAACTTCTTGCGTCAATACACAAAATGCAGGTAATTATACAAGTGTAGTTACAGGATGAGAGCTATGCTCATGGTGTCCCATCATCCCAGTACTGCCATAGGACACTTGGAAACTACTGTAGTGTAGTGTAGTTACAGGATGAGAGCTAGGCTCGTGGTGTCCCATCATCCCAGTACTGCCATAGGACACTTAGAAACTACTGTAGTGTAGTGTAGTTACAGGATGAGAGCTATGCTCATGGTGTCCCATCATCCCAGTACTGCCATAGGACACTTAGAAACTACTGTAGTGTAGTGTAGTTACAGGATGAGAGCTAGGCTCGTGGTGTCCCATCATCCCAGTACTGCCATAGGACACTTAGAAACTACTGTAGTGTAGTGTAGTTACAGGATGAGAGCTATGCTCGTGGTGTCCCATCATCCCAGTACTGCCATAGGACACTTATAAACTACTGTAGTGTAGTTACAGGATGAGAGCTATGCTCGTGGTGTCCCATCATCCCAGTACTGCCATAGGACACTTAGAAACTACTGTAGTGTAGTGTAGTGTAGTTACAGGATGAGAGCTATGCTCGTGGTGTCCCATCATCCCAGTACTGCCATAGGACACATAAACTACTGTAGTGTAGTGTAGTTGCAGGATGAGAGCTATGCTCGTGGTGTCCCATCATCCCAGTACTGTCATTGAACAAGTAGAAACTACTGTACTGTAGTGGACTGACAATTCTGACCACCACCTCACTTCTTCCAACCATCTACCACGTTTGCAAAAATGAACTTTCTAATGCATTTTGGCAGCTTTGTTTTCTTGGTTTGAATCTGTGTCCTCTTGTTCTTGAAGTGGATTTTCAAAAATTCTTTGGTCAATTTTAAAGATTCCTGTTACTATTTTGCATGTACAGTAATGATTATATCACCTTTTTTGGGGGGGGCCTTCTAGCTTTAGTATACAGTATCTAGCACCTCTAACCTCTCTTCGTAGCTCTTGTCTTTAAGTTTCGGAAGCCATTAAGTTGTATTTCTTTACACCTTTTCCAGTTCATTGATGTGTTTCTAGAGATATGGGCATCATACAACCACGGCTTATTCCAATTTTTGTCTCGCAAACGTCATGGACAATTTATTTAGAATTTCACAATCCATGTAGAGTGTATTTTAAAAGTGAATCTAAAGCTGGAAAGTTTAGCATACATTCCTCACTGTTTTTAGTGGTCCTCTGGTGACAGTTTTCTGTTCAGAACCAACTCTACCTCTTTATCAGAATTCTGTAAAGTTTGTTTCACATTTGTAGGTTGTGTGGGGACTGTTTTCTCTTATTCCACATTCCATAAAATGATATTTATTCACATTAAATTCCATATGCAAAGTGTTGCTCCAAACACTTTTGTCCAGGTCTTCTTGATGACAATCTGTATCTTCTCCAGTAGTTTGGTATCATCAACAAACATGTTCATATAATTGTGTTTCTTCTGGTAGACCGTTTATATGGACGTTGAATGTTACCGGCACGACTCTGTCATCTTGACGCAGTTTTGTGTCTTCTGAATTTATTTCCCGCTCAATTTCTGGAGAGGTCGAACGGTGGCTTCCTGAAGCTGGCTCGTAGGGATAGCTTCCCTCTACTGAATCACATCAGCCTTAGGAGTACTGTATAGCTTAATAGGGAGCCAGAACCTGGCCCCTTCAGTGGCACGGGGAGCAAGGGATTGTTATGATCATCCTCACCGAGAAAACGTCCAGAAAGTAAGTTTTTTTATTTATATATACAAGAGTTCTTACATTCTTGCACAGCCATTAGCATGCATAGCGTTTCGGGTAAGTTCTTAATCCTAATTTTCACATATACACAGATCCCCAGGAAGCAGCCCGTAGCAGCTGTCTAACTCCCACGTACCTATTTACTAATAGGTGAACAGGGGTATCAGTGTAAGAAACTGCCCATTTGTTTCCACCTCCGCCAGGTATCGAACCCGGACCCTTATGACTACGAACACAGAGCGCTGGCCACTCAACCGTCAGGCCCTCAAGTGAAGTGAAGTAATACAGATAACTGCAAAGTTCAAAGAAAGCAAAACACTGAAACGGTCAAATGAGAGTGCAAACAATTCAGTTAGACCTAACTAGTTATGGCTGGTCACCAGTGGGAGCTCCCAGCTCAAGCAGTGGGAGCTCCCAGCTCAACCTGTTCTTACAAATTACGTTGGAATTTGGCCGTATGGCCGAAAATGTACGTAATTTCAAAATGAAATAACAAAAATTAAATAAATTTGGGATTTTTTTTTTTCAAAACCGTAAGTTAGGGGTCCTCTGGTATGTTAGGAGGGCAGGAAATTCTCCAAAAGTTTCAAAACGTCATGAAAAACATTAATTAAAAGTTTCCTCTCCTAACTTAACCAAGTAAGCCGGAGGACACACAGAAAACGGGACAGTACATCCCTTTGTGAGCTAATTTCATTTCAAATTACTGTACTTCCATTTATAGCCATAGTGCGCATACGAGCGAAAAGCGACGTTATTTTTTTAAGAGGACGGGTTGCCCAGCTTCCATGACATCTTTGCCTCAGTGCTGTTGCCAATTTCTGTGAATGATGATCTCTCCTGGATGCGTACAATGGCGTGTCCTGTTTCTTCTAAGATATTGTGACCCACCCCTTGGATTATACTTTTGGGTGGGGGCCATTTGCTTTCTGAACAATTTTTCAATATTTCATTTGAAGTTTGGACTTGGTCTTCACTTTGAGCTGCATAGTTTAGGGCAGCGCTTCTGTAAACGTTTGTTTTAGCATTGCCTTGACGGTGACCTCTGTGCTCGTTTTGGGAGTTTGTCCCCTGAGAGGTTGTACTATTTTCGATGTTTACCTGAATTTACCTGAGAGGCCACTACTACTCTAGTGGCCTTGATGAGGACAGAAGCCGGTGGCTTGTCAAAGGTCCCCTGATTTGTCTTAATTTATTTATTTATTTATTTTTCAAGCTGGATTTTTAGGTTCTGTGGAGATTTGGTATTTACGGCTTCGGCAGGTAGGCGGTTCCATGGGTAAAAAAAAAGCATTTCCTGTTTTCGGTCCTACACTGTGGCTTTTTGAGCCTGAAACCATTGTTCCTTTGCGTTACACCTGACCTTTTGAAGAACTGATCAACATCCTCCAAATTATTCAGTATTTTGAACATTTCGATGAGATCAGCCCTGTCATCAGCAGTCCCCGTGGTGTAGTGGTGAAGCACTTCGACCAGAGTTCGTATCCTGGCCGGGGAGGATTGACGGGCGCCAATCCTTAACTGTTCTGATCCCCGGGGAGGATTGACAGGGCGCCAATCCTTAACTGTTCTGATCCCCGGGGAGGATTGACAGGGCGCCAATCCTTAACTGTTCTGATCCCCGGGGAGGATTGACAGGGCGCCAATCCTTAACTGTTCTGATCCCCGGGGAGGATTGACAGGGCGCTAATCCTTAACTGTTCTGATCCCCGGGGAGGATTGACGGGCGCCAATCCTTAACTGTTCTGATCCCCGGGGAGGATTGACAGGGCGCCAATCCTTAACTGTTCTGATCCCCGGGGAGGATTGACAGGGCGCCAATCCTTAACTGTTCTGATCCCCGGGGAGGATTGACAGGGCGCTAATCCTTAACTGTTCTGATCCCCGGGGAGGATTGACAGAGCGCCAATCCTTAACTGTTCTGATCCCCGGGGAGGGTTGACAGGGCGCCAATCCTTAACTGTTCTGATCCCCGGGGAGGATTGACAGGGCGCCAATCCTTAACTGTTCTGATCCCCGGGGAGGGTTGACAGGGCGCCAATCCTTAACTGTTGTGATCCCCGGGGAGGATTGACCGGGTGCCAATCCCCGGGGAGGATTGACCTGGTGCCAATCCCCGGGGAGGATTGACCGGGCGCCAATCCCCGGGGAGGATTGACAGGGCACCAATCCTTAACTGTTCTGATCCCCAGGGCACTAATCCTTAACTGTTCTGATCCCCGGGGAGGATTGACAGGGCGCCAATCTTTAACTGTTCTGATCCTCGGGGAGGATTGACAGGGCGCCAATCCCCGAGGAGGATTGACCGGGCGCCAATCCCCGAGGAGGATTAACCGGGCGCCAATCCCCGGGTAGGATTGACAGGGCGCCAATCCCCGAGGAGGATTGACCGGGCGCCAATCCTTAAGTGTTATGATCCAGTGAGGGTCGCGACCAAACTGGGTTCTCACTCTTCGACTGTTAGCTCCGGCTCTCATCTTCCTCCTCCTTTCCTTACTCGTAACTTTCTTTCCTCACTTTACTTTCTTGAATCTTCTCCGTTAGATTGTTGCACTTCTCTTCGTCCTTTCTATAGCGTTCCTTTGTCTCTCTTTAGAACTCCAGTCTGCCCTGGCCTTGTGCGGGTCTACGGCGGCGGGCTCCGATGATATTCAAAATAAAAATAAAAAATATTTACTGTATTCAGGTAAAAGTACATACACAGAATATGAGTTACAAACATACTGTTGGATTTATAGATAGAGCTAGTACATACAATACTTAAAGCCACTAATACTCAGCCTTTAGGGCAAGGTGTGGGGGGAAAAACACTTGGACTACAGCATTATGAGATGCTTCGCCATCTTCCTCTATGTACGTATCAGTAGTTACTGAGTCTGGGAGTCGTCGTCAGTCCCTGAGGACTTGCTTGAGGCGATTGACCAGACCACACACTAGAAGGTGAAGGGACGACGACGTTTCGGTCCGTCCTAGCTGGACCATTCTCAGGTCGATTGTGAGACCGGCATCCTGTCTACAGGACGGCCTTGATTTCTACTGTCTTCGCTACATTGTTCGGACCCTTCAACACCCTTACTCTCGTTTATGTCGTATTTTGACCATTACCCCTCCTGTGGGCTCTGTTTCCTTTCACCGCCTTCCCCTTTCTGTACGGTTGCAAAGGCTATTGACCAGACCACACACTAGAAGGTGAAGGGACGACGACGTCCCTTCACCGTCCTGGACCATTCTCAAGTCGATTGAGGCGTTTGCATGTCGTCCCTCTCTCTCGGTTCGTGTTGTGAATGTTTCTCCTCGTGTCATTCCGTCCTTGCTCCCCATGGAGGGTCCCTCTTCCTAAGTTTTGTAGAACCTTGACCTGCATGATTAAGGCTTTTACTCCTCCTACAGTTATAAGGCTCCTTTTCCTTGCTCACTTTTCTTCACACTGCCACTTCATCTCCGTCTTCACAGATGGGTCTAAGTCTGCTGACGGTGTAGGTTACAAGGTTGTGTTTCCTGACTGCACCTATACGTCGCCTGCCTTCTGAGACTAGCATCTTCACGGCAGAACTTTATGCTATTCTATATGCTCTTCCTCAAATGTTTTCTTGCCGTAATTCTTCCTTTGTTGTTGTTGTTGATTCTCGCAGTGCCATCATGGCTCTGGAGTCCTTTAATCCTGTCCATCCTGTAGTTGTCGAAATTCAATATTGGCTGTTTCTTGATTGATTGATGAAGATTAAGCCACCCAAAAGGTGGCACGGGCATGAATAGCCCGTAAATGGTGGCCCTTTTGACCCATTACCAGTATCAATAGAGGATACTGGAGATCTGTGGAAGTGCGACTGCACCCTGCGTGACGGGAGATGTCTGCCGAGTGGATGTTTCTTATCTCCAGCAGATTTAAGACAGTAGAGTTTTGCTGGGTTCCCAGCAATATTTTTGCTTCCTTAAATGAGCATGCGGACGCTGCCGCTGAGGAAGCTATCCGCTCTTGTCCTATCTCCCGTAAAGGTATTCCTTATGTAATTTACTTCTACCCAGTTATTCATTCCTCAATCATTGCCCGTTGACAGGGTCGTTGGTCTTTTGTTACTAGTAACAATCTGCGTGCTCTTAAGGGTACTGTGTCGCCATGCCCTTCCTCCTTCCACGTAACCGGCGGTGGGAAACGGCTTAGGCGAGGTTACGTGTTGACCATACACGCTTAACTCATGGACACTTAATGGAGCGCCGCCCTGCTCCTTATTGTCTGAATTGCATTGTCCCTCTTACGGTCATGCGTATCCTTGTTGAATGTCCTGACTTACAGGATGTGCGTGCATCTTGCTTCCCAACTGTCCCTCGATGTTATCTTTGGTGAATCGGATGCCTTTGATGTTCGCCTTATGCGCTCTTGTTCTCGTATTGGCATCCTTAGTGATATTTAGCGCCATTTGAATATCCCGCACTTTTTACGGTGCTACATAAGTTTGGTGCCTTCTTTTGATAATTACTTACTTATATATACACAAGAGTTCTCACATTCTTGTACAGCCACTAGCACGCATAGCGTTTCGGGCAAGTCCTTAATCCTAATTTTTCCCAAATTCATGGATTCAATTTTCCCAAATTTGGATTCAATTTTCCCCTTAATCCAAAATCCTTTATGCATGATGCGAGACTAAAAGTCTGTAATAACCAGGATTTTGGGATTTCGGTGTGAAGATAATTATTGGTTGCTTAATTCCCGTTGTCTGTGACAGGACGGGATCTTCCCTAAGCTGCAAAACAGACAGCATAACAGCTGTCTATTTACTGCCAGGTGAACAGATATACCAGGTGAAAGGAAACGGGCCGAACCATTCTGTCCCCGCCCTCCCCCAGGCATTCTTGATTGTGAGTCGAGAACGTAGACCATTGCTGTGCAGGTCCGAGTTCTATCACAGCAGTTAAGCACCATTGACCAGTAAAGCATATAATGGGCCTGACGGCTGAGTGGACAGCGCTCGGTGTTTGTAGTCCTAAGGGTCCGGGTTAGATCCCTGGCCAAAGACGGAAACAAATGGAGTTTCTTTCATCCTGATGATCCTGTTTACCTAGCAGTAAATAGGTACCTGGGAGTTACACAGCTGCTACGGGCCATAGTCATACCCAGATGTTCCCGGATTGACAGAAGCGTTTGGGCAAGGATTCCTTTCACCTGCCGGCCTCTGCTCGCTTAGCCAAAAAATACGCACCTGGGAGTTTATTATAATAAATAACAACGCTAGAGAAGGTCATTAATTAACCCTAAGGGCCTAGATGACCCCATACAAGCTTACTATTCTCAATTATGACAGCCATATGGCGAACAATACCTTAAAATATAGCAAAACCTACCCAAATAAAGACTATACAATATATTGCTTATGCGAAGCCATATCGCACCATCTGTTGACATTACAAAATTAGTCCTTAAGGTGAATATGTGAATTGAAATTGTTAAATAAACTAATTTATTGATTTATTTTTTACTAGGGGCAAAAGAGCCTGGTAAGACAACATTCCTTCAGACGGGCTACGCAAGCAATAACTACAAAGAACATGCTAGTGCTTGCATGATCATTGCAATATGAAGCTTAATAGACAAGTTGAATCATTGAGGGACACGTGCCACCCATAATGGAAGCCGCATGACCCTACAATAATGCGTAAATCAAGATAGTATTGATGTTCCTTTTAACCCCCCCGTAAAAAAAAAGGACAAAAAAAAGGATTGGTGGTGGAAAACAAATAGACGCCGATGAGGCCTTATAAGTAAAAGGTTAAGCGACGGGGAGGAGGATCGGGGCGCCGCCGAGGCGGTGCGGGATCCCTTTATAGAAAGATCTGATCCTCTATCCGCACCCCGATGCTCACCTCGCGGCCCGCCGACGCTACCGTCACCCATTTGTTTTTGTGACGTCTATTGACGTCAATGTGAAAATGGCGTCCAATGATGAAGACTTGTGTACAAGTCACGCAGATTTTGCTGTAATATGCTCCTTTATCGACAAATTTGGAGAGAAGCTAGGGTTAACTCTCCCCAACATAGGCGAGCTTCAAAGTTCATTAGAAGACACAGACAACGGTAAGCTGTTAAGCTACAGAGGAGGATAACTTTGGTCGCTCTGAGAAGCTCTTGCGCCTTAACTTGTTCCTCGCCCCTCCGTCTTAAGACCTCCACGTAATAGTGTCTTATAAGACGGGACAGGAAGACAGTGGCGCTCTTGACACGAGCTATATGCATACATTAGTTGACTAAGTAGATATTTCCATTAATGTGTCTTGAACTAATAACTACACAACATTCATTCTCAATTTCTCCCTTTTGTTGTGTAGGAAGAAAAGGGCCTCAGGGGGCATTATAACTAATGTATCAAATACATTTCATTGTATTCCTTATATTATACAGTGGCTGAACGTGACACAGGTCTTAAATATATATATAGTTGTGAGAGAGTAATGTATTGTGAAAGGTGGGCTGGGTCCAGGCTTTAAATGCTTCACAAACATCTAAATACACTTTTCGCTACGAGTTTATAAATGAAATTATCACTAAAAGACTGACAATTAATCTATTAACGTAGATACAAATAATTTATACATTTAGGTCAAGATTTTAATCGATTATAAAATAATTACTTGCATATCACCTATTTTCCCAAATTACAATTGTGCATATAAATAATTGTGAAATTCATATAAATTATTAGTGTACTGTATGTGTATATAAACTGTATTTTTAACAGTAACATACAGTAGTGTATTTTTCAAGACTAATACAATTACAACATTTTTTTTGTCATTTCTAAACCAACTGTAATATAAAAAGTCTAATTACAGTATTTCCTAAAGAAGAAAATCTACATAAAAGTCTATATCATATTTAGTATTTTTATTACATATTTTAACATTTTTTTTAAGTTTTTCCTTTCATAAATTAATGTAATATTTGGCACATGATTTATGACCTTGAACTGTATAAGTACATGTGTTGACAGGTGTGTACTGTATATTAGATTGTCAGGTGTGTACTGTACACTAAATTGTCAGGTGTGTACTGTACATTAAATTGACAGGTGTGTACTGTACATTAGATAGACAGGTGTGTACTGTACACTAAATTGTCAGGTGTGTACTGTACATTAAATTGACAGGTGTGTACTGTACATTAGATAGACAGGTGTGTACTGTACATTAAATTGTCAGGTGTGTACTGTACATTAAATTGACAGTTGTATACTGTACATTAAATTGACAGGTGTGTACTGTATATTAAATTGACAGGTGTGTACTGTATATTAAATTGTCAGGTGTGTACTGTACATTAGATTGACAGTTGTGTACTGTACACTAAATTGACAGGTGTGTACTGTACATTAGATAGACAGGTGTGTACTGTACATTAAATTGTCAGGTGTGTACTGTACATTAGATAGACAGGTGTGTACTGTACATTAGATAGACAGGTGTGTACTGTACATTAAATTGTCAGGTGTGTACTGTACATTAGATAGACAGGTGTGTACTGTACATTAAATTGTCAGGTGTGTACTGTACATTAAATTGACAGGTGTGTACTGTACATTAAATTGACAGGTGTGTACTGTACATTAAATTGTCAGGTGTGTACTGTACATTAAATTGACAGTTGTGTACTGTACACTAAATTGACAGGTGTGTACTGTACATTAAATTGTCAGGTGTGTACTGTACATTAGATAGACAGGTGTGTACTGTACATTAAATTGTCAGGTGTGTACTGTACATTAAATTGACAGGTGTGTACTGTACATTAAATTGTCAGGTGTGTACTGTACATTAAATTGACAGTTGTGTACTGTACATTAAATTGACAGTTGTGTACTGAACATTAAATTGACAGTTGTGTACTGTACATTAAATTGTCAGGTGTGTACTATACATTAAATTGTCAGGTGTGTACTGTACATTAAATTGACAGGTGTGTACTGTACATTAAATTGACAGTTGTGTACTGTACATTAAATTGACAGTTGTGTACTGTACATTAAATTGACAGGTGTATACTGTACATTAAATTGTCAGGTGTGTACTGTACATTAAATTGTCAGGTGTGTACTGTACATTAAATTGTCAGGTGTGTACTATACATTAAATTGACAGGTGTGTACTGTACATTAAATTGACAGGTGTGTACTGTACATTAAATTGACAGGTGTGTGCTGTACATTAAATTGACAGGTGTGTAGTCCATTAAATTGACAGGTGTGTACTGGACATTAAATTGACAGGTGTGTACTGTCCATTAAATTGACAGGTGTGTACTGTACATTAAATTGACAGGTGTGTACTGTCCATTAAATTGATAGGTGTGTACTGTCCATTAAATTGACAGGTGTGTACTGTCCATTAAATTGACAGGTGTGTACTGGACATTAAATTGACAGGTGTGTACTGGACATTAAATTGACAGGTGTGTACTGTATGCTAAATTACCAAGTTTTGTGTATACTGCTTAATTGAAAAGCATTCATTTTTAAGTTGTGATATTTAAGCAGTCCCCGTGGCACAGTGGTAAGGCACTCAACCCGCTCGTCGCGAGCGTTTTTGCCTGGGTTCGTATCCTGGCCCGGGGAGGATTGACTGGGCACTAGTCCTTAACTGTAGCCTCTGTTCTCCCAACAGTAAAATTGGTACCTGGTTGTTAAACGATTCGGAAGGTCGTATTTCGGGTGGAAATTAGGATTAAGGACGTGCCCGAAATGCTATGCGTGCTAGTGGCTGTACAAGAATGTAACAACTCTTGTATGCAAAAAATTATATAGGCAGGTATTATGTCGTAAATTTATTTGTTACGTCTTTGATAAGACCTTTATGTAAGTAATACCTATATTATATTCAATTATCAGGTATTTGTATACCTTATAATATTTGGTATTTATATAACATATTTTTATCCAGTTATATATTGAATTGTCAGATATCTATACAACCTTAGTTATAGTAATATAAATGAACTTTTTTATTTATTTATTTAAATGAATTTGATAAATATCCTTTAAATATTAAATTTACAGGTATAAAAATAGTGTAATTATTTTAAATTTTAACCATTAAATGAACACATTAAAGTATTACAAAAAAGAAGCCAGAGTTAGGTGTATAATACTGTAGTTGTACAGGGTTTTGGTAATCCCTCAGAGGGTGTGGTTGCTCGTTTGGGATTACACTATTGTGTAATCCATTGGAAGGTTTGTCATATTATTTAGTGTTAGGTTTTTCTTGTATTCATGATAAATGAAGATTTAATACTGTGTGAAAAGTACTAGTACATGTATTATCCAAAGGTTATCTTGAGATGATTTCGGGGCTTAGCGTTCGCGCAGCCCGGTCCTTGACCAGGCCTCCTTTTTGTTACACATCCCCCAGGAAGCAGCCCGTAGCAACTGTCTAATTCCCAGCTAGACAGGTTATCATCTTGAGGTAAACTTGAGATGATTTCGGGGCTTTTAGTGTCCCCGCGGCCCGCTCCTCGACCAGGCCTCCACCCCCAAGAAGCAGCCCGTGACAGCTGACTAATGCCCAGGTACCTATTTTACTGCTAGGTAACAGGGGCATAGGGCCAAAGAAACTCTGCCCATTGTTTCTCGCTGGCGCCCGGGATCGAACCAGGGACCACAGGATCACAAGTCCGGCGTGCTGTCCGCTCGGCCGACCGGCTCCCAGGTGAGCAGGACCAAGTTTCAAAAGGCCCGAATTGCTAAAACTCGGTCTATTGTGAGGACTGTGACTTGGAAACAGTGGGTCCTTTTTCCAGGCACGACCAAAATGCGGACCAACGGTCAATTTTAAAGCAAATCCATATAGCCCGGTGTTCCTATTTTTTTTTTATATCCTTTAGAAAAATTTAAAAGGCTTGTATTCACCTAGTTGTGCTTGCAGGGGTTTAGCTCTGTTCTTTTGGCCTTGTATATTAGGGTGTGTTATTTACAAATACAAAAGTTTGTATTTCTAATTTGATGTAGGAATAAATTATGCACCGAATAGTTATTTTATATCAGTGTTAGTTGTGTGCAATCTCGGCAGAAAAACATCATCGAGTGTGCCAGGGGGGCCTCCAATATTATAATAATAATAATAATAATATTATTATTATTATTATTATTATTATTATTATTATTATTATTTTTGTGTGTGTGTGATGGTCATACTTTCTAAAATACTGTAGCGGAGCATTGCAATGTTTGGCAACTCATCATAAAATAGTTTAGTAATAGCCTGCATGGCTGGCAGACCTGTTTTGGTTATGCCATATTATAGCCACTGTGCTTGGCTAGTTTGTCTTAACGTCTCTGTTAGGAAACCTAAGAGGCATTTGTATTTAAGGTAGGGCAAGTCAATTGTTAGCCATATTAAATGTGCAGGATGTTCCCACGGATGGCTGTGATAGGTCCCAGACATAGGGACATACTGTACCATACATACCATACCATACCATACAATACCATACATTCACCATACTGTACCATACCATACGGTATGGTTCAATATCATACTGTACCATACATACATACCAAACCATACATAGGGACACAGGGGCTTAGGGATATACTGTACAGGCTTGATTAAATATCACCTATATTCCCAAATCTATTTACTATATCAGATAGAACAAATAAAGGAAAGAAAATATTAAAATTGAATAAAGCTTTAGGCTTCCTTTGCATCATATTGTAACTAGAGAAACTCAAAAATAAATTTATAATTTATATTTTCTTTGTGGACAGAGACCTTTCTCATGCTTGGCAGGGAATACGTAGGTGTTTTCTCTCTGGTGATATTTACACGTAGGGTATTTTATAGTCATCCCTGTCAATATTGTAGGGAGCCGGTCGGCCGAGCGGACAGCACGCTGGACGCGTGATCCTGTGGTCCTGGGTTCGATCCCAGGCGCCGGCGAGAAACAATGGGCAGAGTTTCTTTCACCCTATGCCCCCTGTTACCTAGCAGTAAAATAGGTACCTGGGTGTTAGTCAGCTGTCACGGGCTGCTTCCTGGGGGTGGAGGCCTGGTCGAGGACCGGGCTGCGGGGACACTGAAAGCCCCGAAATCATCTCAAGATAACGTATATGGACAATAAATTTTTATATTTTTATTTACTTTTTATTTATTTATATATGCAAGAGTTCATACATTCTTGTACAGCCACTAGCACGCATAGCATTTCGGGCAGGTCCTTAATCCTTATTTTCACACCTTCTTTCGCTCGCCTTAAGACATTTCTTACAATTAGCCCTTTAAATATTAAGAGTAAAGTTTCTTAAGAAAGTTTCCTTCATTTGGATGCTTCTTCATATCTCCAATTGTAGATAAGACATTTTTTATAGTTTAATACGATATTTCTATTGATATCTTTTGTCAATACCTTACCGTACCTTGAGGTTACGTTGAGATGATGTCAGGGTTTAGCGTCCCCGCGTCCCGGTCGTTGATAGTCATTACATGTACAGTATTTGAATAAATTTGTGTTCATTAATTATATGTAAAAATATTGTATTAATAAAAGTAAATGATAGAAGGGTTGTGACAACTGATCAGTCTCCTACTACTGTACTACGGTACTTAAATTCTTTTCCTCTAAAGAAAAAAGTATAAAGTGTAATTTACATGAGATAAACATACCAATGTCTTACATTCTTTACTTTAAAGTTTCACTGTAATTTTTGCTGCAATACTGGTGTTTCATATTCATAATATTAAGGCTTGTATTAGACATGGTAGAAATTAGATGAGAGGTGCACAAACATACACTACAATAGTCACAATAGTGCCTCACTAATTTGGTTTGAAAGTACTCACCTAGTTGTACTCACCTAGCTGTACTCACACAAGGAGGCCAGGGTATGCCAGGAGGCCAGGGGACGCAAGGAGGCCAGGGTATGCCAGGAGGCCAGGGGACGCAAGGAGGCCAGGGTCGCAAGGAGGCCAGGGGACGCAAGGAGGCCAGGGACGCAAGGAGGCCAGGGGACGCAAGGAGGCCAGGGACGCAAGGAGGCCAGGGACGCAAGGAGGCCAGGGACGCAAGGAGGCCAGGGACGCAAGGAGGCCAGGGACGCAAGGAGGCCAGGGACGCAAGGAGGCCAGGGGACGCAAGGAGGCCAGGGACGCAAGGAGGCCAGGGGTCGCAAGGAGGCCAGGAAGATATTGAAGCAAGCTGTCACTGGCAAACATTACAGCTCGCTGAATAAATTTGATCTTTGATGGTTTCTGATTTAGCTTAATGTGGAATATGGGAACTGCCACAGTATTCCTTCTAGAGGCCACAGAGTCACCTGGATTCTCATATTCAGTTGCAGTAGTTTTGAACGAGCGTCGACAATCTCATTGGGCTCATAAGAACTATATCGCAGACTCAATTTTGCCTGGAGTATACTTTTGGCTGTCTTTGGTCGCAAAGGTAGAGCAGGCTCCTTTATTTGTCCCTTTCTAGTAGAGGGATCATGTGGTGTACTCTCCACTGGTCTTGAGGAATCTGTTTCCTTTGAAAGTTACTGAATTTCAAAGCTTTTAGGAGCTTGATTCAGTGGTTACCTTCCCAGTTGTCTCGGAATTTTAAGCCTCCCATTAGGGTTACTTTGTTACTAGTCTCCGGCATGCGGGTCAGGGACGGTGACCTCCAGCTCTGGTTCCTACCCACATTTCATTGTTTGGTAGATTAGTTGGTGGGGGTTCTTTAGATCCTTAGGTGCAGGGCTCTCTCACAGGTTTGGCAGTCACTCTCCATTTGGATAATACATCAGTATTCCATTAAGGCAGCAGAGGGAAAATCGGTTTTCTCTCTCTCTCTCCCCCACTTTGAGAATGGTCTCTAGCCATAGCCACTTATCTGGCTTCTCAGTATTTAGTCCTCTCAGTAGTCCGCATTAGAGGAGTGTCGAACATGTTGGCTTTTATGTTTTCTATGAACACCTTTTATGTTTCCATTCAGTTTAAACAAATGTCAGATGGATGAGGCCTTCTTTCTTTAAATATGCAACATGTTCAGCCTTTCACAAGTGAATTTCCTCCCATTTTCTTGGAACCATATGTTGCTTGTCTATCTGGTTCCTGTCTGATTGTGATGTGCTAGTGGTGAGGGGTTTACATCATGATTGAAACCAATCGGAGGTCTATCTTTCCCTTCTATCAAGATGCTGCATCTACAGTATGCCTTAGTTTAGGAGAATGTTATGTTTGAGATGTTGGATGAGAACTCAAGTTGGTTTCTCTTTCACCCCATCTGTAGTTTGCTTGCAGGCTTTTCTCTACTTGTGTCTCTCCTCATTTGCGGTCTTATCTTGCCCCCATTGAGCATCCCACTTGTTGAATTTTGTAAAGTCCTAACTAATACAATGAAGGCTTATTCCTTACCCGTCATGAAATGCCCTTTCATCGAACCTTTTCACCACGGCTCTGTTTACGAATGAGCTGCTGCTTACTCGTTACTTTTCTGATCAAATCTTTATGTGCTATCTTTTTGTACAGACCAGTACTGGGTCTCAGGAGCTGCCTCGTATGGGCCAGTAGGCCTTCTGTAGTTACCTTTATTCTTATGTCTCTACAGCAGAGCTTTATGCAGTTTTATATGCTATGAAGACAGTTAATAGCTTGTTATTGTGGTTGAATCTTGCAGTCCCGTCATAACCCTGGAATGTTTTAGCCCCCTCTTCCAACTCATGGTGATTGACATTCAGCACTGACTGTTCCTCATCTTTAGTAGACTCAAGACAAGTTCGATTTGACAAGTTCAATATTGGTGTTGTCTATAAGACCTTGTAGCCACTACTGGTAAAGCTATTCTTTCCTCTCATCTCCCAGGATCAGGTTCCTTACTCAAATTTGCTCCCTGTCATCCATAACACAATCTACAACCATTTTAGGGATGTTGCAAGCAACAAACTGCTTACTGTTAAATATGACCTATCCCCATGCTTTCTTCCTACCACCAAAACTGGAGGTGGGAAGCTGCTATGGCTAGGCTACGTATGCACTTTTTTTGGGGGGGCAGGCTGGCCTATGCCTGTGTGACTGACTAGATATTGTCCTGCTCTTGATTGTGGGAATTGTTAGACCACTGCTGAGTAATGTGTGTGTGTGTGCCCTGTCTTGCCAGCAGTGGGAGGTGTTGTCTTTTTCCTGTTATTTATGTTATTCATTTTTTTAGGCTCAATTTCATGGTGACCTAAACTTCCCTCATTCTGGCTATTCCTGGTTGCTTTGGTTGTGGGCTTTGTCTCCTGCTCTCTACACTCTGGGACTCACCTTGGGGGGGTTCTTCCTTCACTGTGCTGGGACGTGTGGTGGCCTTGAAGGCACTTTTGTGCATATGTTGCCTATGGTACTTTCTCCATTGTCTTTCAGGGTGCTCCAGTGTTATTTTGATGCCTTTCCTGAGGAAAATTCAGTTGGTTTCTTTCCCTGTTGGGCTGATCTCTAAGGGTAGTCTCACATTTGGCTTGGTGGACTTTTTTACTCGGTTCTATTTCTCATTGGGATGTATTTGCCATTCTTGTAGGAGGGGGGTCTATTCTGTCTTTTTATAAAGTGAGAGGCAAACAGGGCCTCTTTATTTGTCTTTATTTTGGCTTTGTGTGCTACAGTATTTATGTTGGTTGGTTTGCCTTTGCATAATTTCAACAGCATTCAGTCTTTGAGGAGCCATTTCTGTTTTCATAGATCTTGCAGTGTGTTGTTTCTGATCTGAGGGGTGATGGGCTTCGCTTTCCGTTTTCCTGACCTGGCCGCTTCCTCCTGTGTAGACTGGATTGGTGCTCTCTGAAGCCACATGTATCTGTGGGCTTCAGGTGGTTTGTTCAGTCTTAATTTCTGTTCCTTCTTGGCTATTGTCCCTATTGTTTTCCTCCCCAAGGTTCAGTGGTCATCCTAGGCTCAACAGTTTGCAGCTCCCTGTGTGATCTTTGTGTACTCTAGAGATTGTTTTTATATATACAGTTAGAAACAAAGATCTTAATGAACAAATCCACAAAGGCCGTGATGAGGGTTCGAACCTACGTCAGAGAGGATCCCGGAAGTAATGAAGTAAGGGCGAAGAGGTAGAACAGCTTATTGATAGAGCTCGAGTGCATGGGGGGAATTGTGTAAAACCCTGGTTTGTGTCTCGGAGAGGCTGCAGGATCAAAGTAAGCTCAGTAGAACTTCTGGTTGCAATTCTTTTGACCATGTCGTGGCTCAGTCGATTCAGGCAGCGTCTGGGATCCTCTTGGACGTAGGTTCGAACCCTTGTCACGGCCTTTGTGGATTTGTTCATTTGATGCATCACGCTATTGTGATTTCTGTGTGCAAAGATCTTATTGATTGAAATAAGACAATATTTGTTTCATTACTTAGTTCAAATATCCCCCTGAATTATGGCTTTCCCAAGTTTGGGTATGTTCTTGAGGTGAAGATTAGGTCCATTCAAATGAATGTAGCTCTTAAACTAAGAGAATATCTGAGACAATTTGTTATATACTAATGTGCGTACGTATTTATATCAATTAATCGTTTGAGTTTGAAAAAGTCTGGGTTGACTTTCTATGGCCAAAGGTTAAATTTAAGGTCAACTTTTTTATTTGAACATTAGTTTAAAATATGCATAGAATGTAAACATATATTTTAAGTACAGTATATTTTTTATGTAATTGGTGCGTATGTACATAATTTTATTAAATTGTGTGAGAGAGATATGCAGCATTTTCTAAGAATGTATTTACCCATAAGATTGACTAATACAGTTTATCTTATATAGTACATTATTTATTTAAAGTTTCTTGTCTTTCTCCGCAGTAAACCCCCTTGTATCACAATGTGTTAGTCAATTATTGAGACGTATCAACAAATCGGTGAAGTTAGACCGATGGGAGAGGGGACTCCAGCGTTTTGCACACAGTTATTCTCACCAAGATGGCTGGGAACTCGAACGTTTTGGCTTCAAGAAAGCCAAACTGGAAGTTAAAATTCGTGTCCTTAAGGTAAGTTCCTCTTGGCCTTAATGCTTTGTATCGTTGATTTTGCAACACAGCGCCACTTGTCTGTCTTGGCTGTGCCCCTATTATAGCTGACATCCCTCCAATGTGCCAGAAATCATTTCTAATTTTGTTAAAATACATTCTCTGATCATGGGAAAAATATTACAAAAATTGTACTGTACTTACTTTGACCATGTCTGGAAGTCTGGTGATGATATAATGATTCCCGAGTGTTCATCAAGCAATCGCCCCGGGGTGGTTGCTCGAAGCCAGGCATTTCTTATCTTGAAGTTATCTTGAGATGGTTTCGGGGCTTAGCGTCCCTGTGGCCCAGTCCTTGGCCAGACATCCTTTTGTTACACACACCCCAGGAAGCAGCCCATAGCAGCTGTCTAACTCCCAGGTACAGTACCTATTTACTGCTAGGTGAACAAGGGTATCAGGCTGAAAGAAACTCTGCCCATGTGTTTCCGCCTCCACTAGGGATCGAACTCAAAACCTTAACACCACAAATCGTGAGCGCTGTCCACTTGCCCGTCAGACATGAGGCGAGAGTTGCAGGAGAGATATTTCTACATACAGCATTTATTCCAATGTCTCTGATTTTTTTGTTTTTTTTTTTAGTAATAATATTCAGTAGTGTGTGTTTTGAGAAATTTATATAATGAAATGTGGAACATCAGAATGCTCTTAATATATTTATGTTACTAAGATGCACAATTAGGATTTGCTTAGAACAATGAATCTATTGACCAAACCACACACTAGAAAGTGAAGGGACGACGACGTTTCGTCGTCGACTTGAGAACATTCAACATTCTCAACATTGTTGACATTCTCAAGTCGACACAATCCACTTGAGAATGATCCAGGACGGACGGAAACGTCGTCGTCCCTTCACTTTCTAGCGTGTGGTCTGGTCAACATATTTCAGCCATGTTATTGCGACTCCTCGTCTGCAATGAATATTTTTAATGTTATTACATTGTAAACACGAATTATATATAACTATATTGTCTGTGGGGAGCCCCATCGGCTCCCTGAAACTTATCATCACCACCACTGATTAAGTGCCATACTACCTAGTGTCATCAGTTGTGGAGTTCTTTTTACCTACCGAGGACCACGAGCCAGAACCTGGTCCCCCTTCAGAGAGGTGCCGGGAGCGACAGCCTGTGATCACTTCGTTTAAAGGATATCATCTTTGCAATCACCCGGGAAGGTACCCCAGAAAGATAGGCAATTCATAACAAGCCTCTTCACGTCATGCAATGGGACCACTTGTTGATTTATAAAATGAATAAATGTGAAAAATTATTCATATTCTGGATTTAGTGAAGAGGATCATGACCAAAGTAACCTATACCTGTATACAATTTTTTGGGTTTAGTTTCCTGTGATCAAAGAGTGCATTTTATCAATATTTGAAGAAAAACATTAAATTAAAAAAAAAATGGTGCATAACAGTAGAGTTACATGTGCTGGGGTTAATGTATTTATTCTCAGTAATATGCAGGAATTATTGTATAAATGTAATATTTGATCATATACAGTATTAAAAATAAATATTTTCTTACTACGGTATTTATGAAACGGTAATATATCCGTGTTACATAGTGACAAAGTGTGCATTTTTCTTGAGGAAGGAGTCCCTCGGTGACTTTGCGAGTTTTGGTACTTCAAACCTTAGCTTAACACACCTGGCCTCCAGGACTAGTCTATCACCTACCGCCAGCTAAGGCCAGAGTCTTCCTCACTTTACGAGGGATGCTAACAAAAATGCTAGAATAAAATATAATCTTTTTAGGTCTATTTAGACCCAAGGAAAGTGGTGTATTGGAGTTGAAAGAGAAGTGCCACAGAGAAACTGTATAATGTCCCCTCTCACTATCATGTTAATCAAATTCAAATTCAAAAATTCAAATTCAAATGTTTATTCAGGTAAAGTAAATACATACAAGGGGTGATACAAATATTGATGAATTTATAGATAGAGCTAGTACATACAATGCCTAAAGCCACTATTATGCAAAGCGTTTCAGGCAGGAAAAACACTAAAGACTAAAACTTAATACTAATTGAGATTAAAGTATAAAATGTGTTGAGAAAATATACAAATAAAAAAGGGGAAACATGGCAAGAAAAACAGCAAAAATACAATTTGGTCGACAAACAGCATTGTTTAAAAATAATAAACATGGGTTGACATTATAGGGGTAAGGTAGGTTACAGGGAGTTAATTAGGTAGTGCTTAGTTTTTATCTTGAAAAAGATAATGTATTATTTTAAAAGAGTCCAAAGTACTTTTAAGTGTTAATGATGAAAGTATATGCTCATATATCTCCAAGTTTAGGTAATGTATTATTTCCTGTTGTTTATAGAACCTGCTTGAAGCACAGTTTGATTTGTACAAGAGCTTCAAAGATAAAGTGAATTTGTTGGGTGCAAATGAGCTCCGACTTCAACCATGTGGCCGTGACAAGAAAGGTGTGTCGTACTGGTGTCAGTTGGACGAGTGCGCTAACCTGCGTGTCTACAGTGATGACCAAGATGATGAGACGTGGACACTTGTGGCCAGGTGAGACGTTTGAAGATAGTTCAAGATGTGACGTTTATTTTAGAGGGTCTTGTGGTGCAGGTCTTGAGGTGGAAGTTCTTGTGGTGGAGGCTCTTGTGATGGAGGTCTTGTGGTAGAGGCTCTTGTGATGGAGGTCTTGTGGTGGAGGTTCTTGTGGTGGAGGTTCTTGTGGTGGAGGTCTTGTGGTAGAGGTCTTGAGGTGGAGGTCTTGTGGTGGAGGTCTTGTGGTGGAGGCTCTTGTGATGGAGGTCTTGTGGTGGAGGTTCTTGTGGTGGAGGTTCTTGTGGTGGAGGTCTTGTGGTAGAGGTCTTGAGGTGGAGGTCTTGTGATGGAGGTCTTGAGGTGGAGGTGGTACAGGCCTGGATTATTTGGTATGGCTGATAAAGATAGTTTATACTTCAAAGCAAATTAAATTGTTTCAAATTTTGCAGTTTCCATATAATACCTGGAGAGTACAGCTTGAAACATTTAGGACTTATGTTGACCAAACCACACACTAGAAAGTGAAGCGACGACGACGACGTTTCGGTCCGTCCTGGACCATTCTCAAGTTTTTTAAGATTTATGTATGGTGCTGCAAGAAAGATCCCTGTTCTTGTTGGATCATGTTCATACTTGGTAGGAGATTTTTAAATAAATTTAATACATATCAGGGTGACTGTGAGTGATATTTTGACAATCTTTAATTATAATTTTGTCAAATTTTCTAAACCTACTGGTGCCAGGGATGAATTACAGTAGTCTGTTACAAACGGTACACTAGGAAGTATAGTAATTTATGTCAAGCATATATTGCAATAACAAATATATATTTCAATCAGATTCAGAAGTGTCTTGTAGCCGTACCATATGGACTACAGTACTGTAGTTAAAATATCATAACTGAAGTCCTGTTAACTTGAAAGATGCAATTTCATATTACTTAGTGCAATGAGAAAAATGGACTTTATTGTCAAATTAATCAGATTTATTTTCAGCCCTCGGTCCAAATTATGATTAGTGTCCAAATTAGGCGTAGATAGCTAACTTGGGAAGTGTGGTAGTGGCAGTGGCAACTTTCCCACCCCTTTTCCCTCAAGATGACATTTCTTGAGATACGTCCGTGTCCTTGTCATATGTCCTGGTCAGATTACCATCAGAGTGCCGGCAGGAGGATGGGGAATTAGCCTCGGCTACCATTCTCTTTTGTCATGTGTTCTCTTGTCATCGTTCTTCTGTGGGTGTGATATACCTAGTAGTGATTTCATAATTACTAATGTTTATGAACAAATCCACAAGGGCCGTGACGAGGATTCGGACCTGCGTCCGGGAGCATCCCAGACACTGTCTAAATCGACTGAGCTACGACAGGGTTAAAAGGGTTGAAACCGAAGTTCTACTGAACTTACTGGATCCCGTAGCCTCTCCGAGGCACAAACCAGGCTTTTACACAACCCCCCCCCCCTGCACCCGAGCTATGTCAATAGTCCGTTCTCCCTCTTCGCCCTTACATTATCATCACACAGAGATCACACTAACGTGATGCATCAAATGAACAAATTGTTCATTTGATGCATCACGTTAGTGTGATCTCTGTGTACAAATGTTTATTTTATATGGATATTTGTCTAGATTTCCTCAGAATAATTTGTTTATATTTTATAGTTCCTGTTGCTGTGTATAGACATTGATACTACTTCAAATATCATGATTAAAATAGACTTGAGTCTACAACACTGTGGGAATGTGTTGAGAAATTGCCATGTAGTGTGAATCATGTAAACTAAGTTTGCTATTTTAGAAAATGGAAGTTGGGTTCAGTACCCCTTCAGGTACTCTTTTCTAAGACACAGTTTTTGTCTTGGAAAAGGGTAAGTTTTGGAAAAAGTCTAAACACTAAAATAACAGTGGATTACCCGTTGTTGTAAACCACATTCTTGTAAAATTACAGTTAATTAAGGGAAACTGAACTAGGAATATCTAGAAGTAATTTTGGGCATTTAGAAAATGTTTAGACTACAGTAATTGGAGTGTTTTAACAAAACGTCTGCGTGTCTTTTTTGGATATTTGGGCCTGGCACAGGTTGCCCTCAGTTTGTGCAGGAATGTGACAGTCTTGCAAACCCTGTAAAGACAAAAACTATCACACTTCAGGTAGACAAGAAACACAATTTTTTTGTTTTTTTCAAACATTATTATTTAATATTTCCTGTCATAAATGTTGAATATAATATTGAAGTTGAGATATGCATGATATGCAGTGTTGCAAGAAGATAAACTGATGAAAATGTGTCAACTTGCACATCATCTGCTCAATAATCATTCATAATCATGAAATTAAGCTGCAATCCTTGAAATGGTATAAAATTGTTTATTAGCACACTGCACAAGATATGTTCTCCTATACTTTGTGAATGGAGGGTTGCTTGAATGAATTAATATTCACACACTCCAGCCATCCAATATCATTACCTGTTTCCCAGTTATAATTTGTGGGAGGCATCAGCCTGTAGAAAAATTGTGAATAATATAGTGAGAGCAACGTACAGTACTGTATATTAATATATGTCACTAGGGCATTCCTTATGGCATTCTTGCTACAGACATTAGACAATTATTTCTAATGTCTCTGTGGGTCGTTTGGGTACTCGGTTTTCACCCGTGTCCCCTTGTTTGTGTTCCACCTGTGCTAAATAGTTTCTTTGTCCACCCTGCCAGTTCTTCTGAAACTTTTGTAAGTGGTGATCATGTCTCCCCTAACTCTTCTGTCTTCCAGGGAAGTATGGTTAAGTTCCCTTAGCCTTTCCTTGTAACTCATACTTCTCGGTTCTGGACTAGTCTTGTGGCATATCTCTGAATCTTCTCTAACTTTGTCTTGTATTTAACTAGGTATGGACTCCAGGCTGGAGCTGCATACTCCATGATTGGTCTGATGTAAGTGGTATACAAGGCTCTGAATGATTCCTTACACAAGTTTCTAAAGGCAGTTCTTATGTTGGCCAACTTGAGTTGGGCCAGGCTTATCTCTGCTGGCTGGTCCTCCCCTCTGCTGTGTGTACCGGAAACAGTGATGCATTCTTCTCGCTGTCCTGCAGTGGGATGGTGGCTTCTGGGAAGGTGTCCCACCTCTGGTTCTATGTAGTGACAGTGGGGTTCTAAAAATAAGAACCACTAAAAATAGCACTATCTTGTTCCTCTTTTCTTTTCCTTGTTGTTCTTCAGTGTCTGGGTGTGGTTACTAGGGTGGTTTTTCCTGCCTATCTGTTCTTGGTTGGTACCTTCTCCTGCTTCCTGTAGCCTCATGTTACGCAGCGTTGGTGGAGGTGCTGTGGGTTGTGTTTGGGGGTTAGTAGTTGATTGATCAGTCCAGCAACCAGGATGCCTGGTCGACGACCGGGCCGTGGGGACGCTAAGCCCCGAAAGCACCTCAAGGTAAGGTAGTGTGGTCTTGGCCCAGTTTTGCTCCCAGTCTTGCCTGCCCCTGGCCTGCTCTTCTGGCATTTCCTTTTCTTGGCCTTCCAGTGTTCCCTTCAGTCCATGGTTGTTCAACATAGTGAGTATAAGAAATATTGCTGGAACAAATGTGGACATATTCAAGAGAAAACTAGATAGTTTTCTTCAAGAAGTGCTGGACTAACCGGGCTGTGGTGGATATGTGGGCCTGCAGGCCGTTCCAAGCAACAGCTTGTTGGACCAAGCTCTCACAAGTCAATCCTGGCCTTGGGCCGGGCTTGGGCAGTAGAAGAACTCCCAGAACCCCATCAAGCAGGTATATGTGGGCCTGCGGGCCGCTCCAAACAACAGCCTGGTGGACCAAGCTCTCACAAGTCAATCCTGGCCGGGCTTGAGGAGTAGAACAACTCCCAAAACCCCATCCAGGTTGGTCCAGTTGTGCTTCTGGTTATCCTGGTGGGCAAGCATCTTGCTCTCTGACACTGGGAGGGGGTTTGTTTTTTCAGCACCTGGTGGGCATTTTGTCGTCGCTGCTGGCGCCTTCTTTTCTGTCGGAGTTTGAGTTGGTTGCCTTCCGAAGGGGTCTCCTGTGCTTTACCTCATTTGTTTGGCTGGAGGATGCATTTTGTGTGGTGTTTGGTGGCGGCCTTGTTACCTCCTTTCTGACACCAATTCTGTCTCCGTGAGCACTTTGTGTTGTGGTTTGGTCACTTTACCTTACCTCGTTGGTTGTCCAGTGTCGTTCTTGCAGTCTTCCCTTGTGCCTTGGCTGTTCGTCTTGGCTGGCTTTGCGGATAGGTTGTTGGCTCCTGTTTGGGCGCAGAGGTTGGGACTTGCAATAGGTGCTTGGGCCTGGCCTCTTCTTGCCGTGCCTTGGTTCTGGCCTCTTCTTGCCGTGCCTTGGTCCTGGCACACTGGTATGGCCTTCTTGCAGGTTGTGCTGGGTCAGTTGTTGGTCAGCTGGAGTTTTTTTTTTTTTTTTTTTTTTTTTTTTTTTTTTAGAGGTAGTTCTCCATAGGCACTTTCTTGTGCTCAACTGGTTTCCTTACCTTTGGGATGTATAGCTATGTTGTCTTGTTTCAATGGCCTGGGTTACTTGCACAAATTATTCATGCCGTTCTTCCAGGTTAGGTGTTTACGGCTCGCCTCGCACCATCCCAACCCGCCCCAGAATTCTCAACTTTTGACACCATCCTGTCTTATTAAACTGACCTTATAAAGGTCAATTAAATTAGCACTGTGCACTTTTTTGTACACTTTGCCGTAACTTTGATGCACTCAGTTTTAGGGTAAAATAATGAGAGCTTTCCATGCTGCTGCTGCTGCTGCTGCTGCTTTGTCGTAAATTTAGGTCAGTCCACCAACACTCCTCACGCAGCAGCAGCAGCAGCAGCAGCAGCAGCAGCTGTCTGGTTTATATATGTCTCGGTGTTCCTTCAAACTTCAAAACTTTCTGATATTGTGTGTGTGAAGTTTGCGTCACTGAATAATTTTTCTAATGATAAGCTATTGTTTGATAGACGCCTCTTGTAATATTGCTCTACATGGTGGAAACTACACGAACTAAACAGCCGTTTCAGATTTTGGCTTTTTCTTTTCAGTAATAACAATAATAATAATAATAACATACAGCATATTTACCCCAAAATTTTTTTTTTTACAAATATTTTCTGAATGTATAAGAAGTGTAAAATACATTTTCATGTAAAACTTGTTATACTGTATTTGCTGAAATAAATTATTGATATTGCTGGGTTTATTACTATTGATATTACTGATACAGTATTTTAAAAGGACAAAATGATCTATATATACATTGTTAATTGTAGAAAAGAAAGTGGTTTGAATTTATAAGCAATGTGTATAAATTAAACAAAATAATGTGTATACACATTGACACACTAAATCCGCTTTTCCAACTCCTTCTTATGCTGCATATCTTATACATACACACATACATACTTTGCATACAATGACAGTGATTTTGTATAACACTTTAATTGTAACTTTATAGCACAAGAGAAGAACTGGTGGCACTGATAGCCGAACTGGATTCGGAGTCGCCGCCAGGAGCCAGCCGAGAAATGTCGGTGGACGGAAGTCACAGTGGTACCGCTACCCCCATGGGGCTGAGTGAAGCCCCCACTCCGGTGGACAGTAAAGCGCCAACACCCGTTGCTAGTGGACGAACTTCCCCAGTTATAGACACTGGACAAGACGGTGAGAAAAAAGATAAACCGGAGGAAAGTAAAGAAATGGAAGCTAAGGTGGAGGTAGAAAAAGTGAAAGAAAAATTGGAAAGTGGAGATGATGTGCAAAAATTGAAGGAAGAGAGCGATGTAAAGTTGGAAGTTGGTGACAAAATGAAGGAAATTTTTGAAATTGGGGAAAAAGTGAAAGAAAAATTGGGAATTGCTGAAAAGGTAAAAGAAAAGTTGGAAGTTGGTGAAAAAGTCAAAGAAAAGCTGGAAAGAGAAGCTTTCAGAGACAAGGAAAGAGATGAAGGAAGACAAAGAACTGAAGATGATGACACACCAAAAATGTCAAATATAGAAATAAAAGAACAAGCCAAAGTTGAAACAAAAGTTAAGGAAAATGTAACGTCAATACAAAATCCTCAAGACAGCAAGGAGAGTCGTGTAGATATTAAGGCTAAGACAGATGACATGGCCAACGACAAGTCTAGCAGCAAAGCAGAAAATGAAAAGGATGTTGCCAAGGTTGAAGTGAAAGAAGAGATTTGCGATAAAGTTGAAGAAAATGTAAAGACTAAGAAAGCGGGTGACTCGAAAGAGGTTGCAAAGCAAGATCTTGAAGAAAAGGAAACGATCAAGCTGGAAGAAAATAAGAATCTTAGTAGGAGTGATGAAGACAAAAATAAGCCCGTAGTCAAGGTTGAAGAAAGGGGCGAGAGTTCCCGAAAGGCTGACGAGAAAGGGAAAGTGTGTAGTAAACTGGATAAGAGCGAGAAGCCCTCGATCAGAGACGAAGACAAGGGAAAGACTTGTCTTAAAGCGGAGACAAAGGAAGCATCTTCAACTAGAGTTGAAGATGCTTCTTCAACTACAGTTAAAGCGGAAGAAAAAGAGAAGATTCAAGAAGCCGTACTGGAAGAAGAGAGTGTTTACGATAAGTTAAAGACTAGAGGGATAACTATAGCAAAGAATGATGACAAGCAAACGGTGTCGGCTACAGAGAGGGAGAGGGCAAAAGTTGTCGTTAAAGCAGAGGAAAAGGACAAAATAAGCCCTAAAAGTCCAGTAGAAGACAGACATAAACTTGTAGTGAAAGAAGAAGCAAAAGAACTCGATAGAGTAAAAGTAGATGTAAAAGATAAAACTGGAGTGAAAGCAGATGTAAAAGATAAACCTGGAGTGAAAACAGATGCAAAAGATAAACCTGGAGTGAAAGCAGTAGAAGAAAAAGTTGGAATTAAAGTAGAGAGAAGAGAAACAGTTATAGTTAAAGAGGAGGAGAGAGAGAAAACTACAGCAACAGCAGGTGCAAGAGAAAAAACTGAGGCAAAAGCAGATGTAAGTGAAAAAGTGGAAGATAAAGCAGAAGAAAAACAATTACCTTCAGTTAAAGTAGAGGAAAAGCAGCAACCTACAGTCAGAGTAGAGGAAAAGCAGCAACCTACAGTCAAAGTACAGGAAAAGCAACTACCTACAGTCAAAGTAGAGGAAAAGCCTCAAACTACAGTCAAAGTAGAGGAAAAGCAGCAACCTACAGTCAAAGTAGAGGAAAAGCAATTGCCTACAGTCAAAGTAGAGGAAAAGCAGCAACCTACAGTCAAAGTAGAGGAAAAGCAATTACCTACAGTCAAAGTAGAGGAAAAGCAGCAACCTACAGTCAAAGTAGAAGAAAAACAACTATCTTCAGTCAAAGTACAGGACAAGCCTCAAACTACAGTCAAAGTAGAGGAAAAGCAACTATCTTTAGTCAAAGTTGAAGAAAAGCAGCAACCTACAGTCAAAGTTGATGAAAGAGGAAAACGTGAAGTTGAGGAAGACAAAAATAAAATTAGGGAGGAAAAAGAAAAGATTGTAGACAAATTGGAAAAATTAGAAAATGGTAGTAAAACTGAGGTAAAAGAAAAGGCTGGAAATGCAGGAGAGAACAAAAAGGACAGAATATTGGATAGACCCGTAATGGAGGCGGCTGGAAGTGGAAAACTGGAGGTAGCTGGAAATGAGGCGCAGAAGGTACCATCAAAGGGGCTGGAGGAAGGCTCGACGGAGCCGGTAACTACCGACGAGAAAAGAGAGACAACGGGAAAAGCTCCTCAACCTCCTAAACCAGTTCCTCTCAAGTTATCCGAAGCTGTGAAAAAGGATACTGTGGTATCTGCTCCGAGTACTGATAAGACGCAAGAAGGTGTTATAAAGGTTATTCAGCCTGATGCCACCACCAAAGCTATATGTGAAGACATAGCAGCAAAGAAAGATATGGTTCATGAAATTAAAGATAGATTAAAGTTAGCTAGCTCAGAAAAATTAGAAGTGAAAAGAAAGGAGAGTGTGTGGGATAAACTTAACAAGATGAAAGAGAAAGGAGAAGCAAGTGCACTAGAAAAAGAATGTACATACAAAGGGAAGGACAGAAGAATGGGAGAAATAGAAAAGAAGGATGAAATGTATAAAAAATATAGTATTATTAGAGAGAGCTCTAGTAACCCTCAACAGCTAACTAGTACAAAAATTGGGCACGAAACAGCAAAGGTAGCTGCCGAAGTTAGTAAAGTAGGGGTTAAGGATGAGAAAGACAGTGTTATCAACAAAGAACCTCAAGACAAGAAATTAGTTCAACAAGATGGGAAGCCTGCGCATGCCATCTTAGGAAGCCAACCCAATCTAGATGAAGAGAAGTTAAATGTTAAGGTTAGTGATTCTGCACAAAGATTGCAGGAGGAGAAAAAGGAAAAGCCAGCGTTATTAACTGGTGTAGAATTGACAACAGTGCGGGAACCAGTAAAAGAGCCATCAAAGTTGATGAGCGTTACTTCCTTGGCAACGTCGTCAACTGGCAAGTCAAATACCGAGTCAGTCGTCAAGTCGTCACCTCTTGCCTCTGCTAAGATGACTATCTGTGCTCCTACATCGGCTATAAAAGATGCCGATACTGCTGAGCCTCCACAAAAGAAGTTCAAAATTATGGATGTTTTATCAGAATCTCAAAAAGAACTTGCTAAGATAGAGCATAAAGGTCCTGTAAACCCATTGCATCAAAAGCAAGATGCTGAAATTCCAAAACCTATTGAAAAAAATCCAGATTTTAAGACTAAATTAGCAGAGATGAGTGGAGAGTCACATAAAGATCATAATGTGAAAGTCTCAGAATTGCAGAAAACTGAACATGGTCCATCAGTTACCAAAGTAGAGACAATACAAAAAGAATCCATTGCCGAAACAAAAACAAAGGATGAGAAGTTGTCAAATAATGGAACCACAACTTGTGTGCTAAAGGAAGAAACAAGAACTCAGACAGTGCTGGCAAGTAACTCGAAAACTCCCAAAGAAAAACAGCATGACGAAAGTGCGGAATCGTCGGGTGTGGGAATGGTTGTAAATGAAGAAGCTTCCAGTCATAAAACAAATTCTTCAGTTGAGACAAAAAGGGAAGCACATGGTGCTATAGATATAAGTAAGGATACAGCTCTTGAAAATAAGTTGCTAGTTACAGACAAGAAAGAAGAAAAAATGGATTTAAAATTGAACACAAGCAAGGAGTGTGCTCAGTCAGAGGCACCCATTAAAGAGGACACGAAGGTCTCGCTAACAGAGACATCTAAAAAGGAACTTGAAAAGAGTATTTTACCTGATAAAGAAGTGCCTAGAATTTGTGAAAGAATTTCAGAAACACCAGTCCAGTGCTCATCTAAAAATTTAGGAACGGATGATGATTCCAAAAATGATGTTAAAGACCCAGTTGTAAAGAATGTTTCACAGGTAGAAAGTGAAGAAACCAACACGACTACAGGTAGAGATGATCCCAAATCATCCAAGACAGAACAGGGCGTAGGGGAAGCCATTGAAGAACCAGTGATGATTGTAAAAGGTGACGGGGAGGGTGCATCGTGCGAGGCGGGAAATCCTCTTTATGAGAGAAGTAACGACGAATCCAGTTGTCAAACTTTAAGACCTTGGTGGGAATGTTTTCATGAAAATGATAATACAAGAAGAAACCAAGTTGAAGAAGCAGTGGTGGAAGATGTGATGTACTTTTGGGGGGAGGGAAACGGTGCGGACTGTGATGCCGGAAACAACGGCGATGAAACGGACACTTCTACCGAGACAAAACCGGCAGAAAGTGGTGGGAGCGGAAGTGCCGTCACCGGCGACAAACAGGGAAATACGGCGTCGGGCGATTGTAAACCACAGAAAGAAGTTGAAGGTCTAAGAACAGAGAGTGACGTTAAAGAGGTTGACGGGGTTTCCGAGGGGGATGAAGCTAAAGTGAACGGCCTAAGAACTATAGAATCTGTTGAAAAATCTGATAAGTCTTTGTCGTGGCAAGTCAAGCCAGAATGTCTTTCCGATGCTATTCACTCAAGTGTTAATGGAAAGAAAGCCGGGGAAGAAAACAGTGTGTGCAATGATAAAGGGGAAACTAAATCACTTGAGGTACATGAAAAAGATAGTGATACACTGGAAGAAAAAAGAAAACATTCTAAACCTCACAATAAAGGGAACAAAGAACAAATAATAAATAATACTGACTTTAAAGGGAATGAGGGAAAGGGGCAGGTTAGTGATTCGGAAGATAAGCCTTCAAGTGACAAAATAGGACTCAGAAAAACAAGAAAAGAACAGCATAGTGATACAGAAGATAAGCCTTCAGGTGACCTTAGAAAAACGAGAAAAGAACAGCACAGCGATTCGGAAGATAAGCCTTCAGGTGACAAAATAGGACTCAGAAAAACAAGAAAAGAACAAGTGTGTGATTCTGAAGATAAGCCTTCAAGTGATAAAATAGGACTTAGAAAAACGAGAAAAGAACACACTGAGGTGGCCAATGAAGAGAATTTAATAGAGCTTAAAAAAGGAAAAGATAATTCTAGTAAGGTGAATACTAGAAACAGATCGGAAAGTAAAAGAAAAAGACAGAGAAATGCTAGTAGTAATAACGACAAAGATGAAAGGAATGCGGAGAGCGGTAAGGAGGAAGAGACTATTCCGAGAAGAAGAGGACTGAGACGGCCACTAGATCAGCCGAGAAGCACCGAAAAGGAAAAAAGTCGACCGCAGAAGCGATCAGCAGAACAGTGTCAGGGCAGTGGTGGCGAGGAGGAGAATGAGATAGACCACGATGAAGATAATGAGGAGGAAGGTGCAGGGGAGGATGAAGATAAGAACACGGCACCCACTCCCAGCAAAAAACGAAGGCAGCGAGGCAAGGGGAGTACTGCCAGACCCTTGCCAGATGGTAAGACAATTTTGTTTAGTAAAAGATATTGATTTTTAGCAGATTCTTTACATGTTTGTGTTAGGATCATTTTTGCTTGTAGTTTCAAATTATTGCTCTTTTTATCAGTTATTCTTGCCAATTTTATTTAAGGAAATCCTCTACAATTCAAATTCACATTTCACTCAGAATTTTTAGAAAGCTGCTGCTTTGAATTTTATAATGAATGTACCCTTAGCTGCTAAAGACATCTATCATTTGAATATAAATTATATTGGAATTTAATATACCTAAAAGATACATTTTTTATTAATTAATGTAAACCTACACTGCATTATAATGTTAACATATAGGCAGACTGAACAATGCACAGTTTGTGTTTAGCCTTCTCTTCATGTTGACTTATATTTACACATATAATTAAAATCTACTTTATGGACAATACCAAGTTTTTCCGAATAGCATCTAGCATAGCGTTTCTCAACCGGGGCTCCAAGGAACTCCAATGTAACTAGGGGTTCTGCAAGAAACAGTGATAATTCTAGTGCAATTTGCCTGCATTAGAATTAGAACAGCCTAATTCTAATGCAGGCGATGAGTCACAATAACGTGGCTAAAGTATGTTGACCAGACTACACACTAGAAGGTGAAGGGACGACGACGTTTCAGTCCATCCTGGACCATTCTCAAGTCGTCGTCCCTTCACCTTCTAGTGTGTGGTCTGGTCATCAGCCTAATTCTAATCATATCCAAATGTATTTAACCATTATCAAAATCGAAGACAGAAATCATCTGCTCTCAGTTGACAATGAAATCTGTGCGTGTTTGTATCTAAAGTTTAACCCGGAATTATTTCAAAGAACAATACACAGGTAGCAACCAGAGTATCAGGGGGACCAACCAGAGTATCAAACCAGAGTATCAGGGAGACCAACCAGAGTATCAGGGAGACCAACCAGAGTATCAGGGAGACCAACCAGAGTATCAGTAGACCAACCAGAGTATCAGGGTGACCAACCAGAGTATCAGGGAGACCAACCAGAGTATCAGGGGGACCAACCAGAGTATCAGGGGGACCAACCAGAGTATCAGGGAGACCAACCAGAGTATCAGGGGAGACCAACCAGAGTATCAGTAGACCAACCAGAGTATCTGGGAGACCAACCAGAGTATCTGGGAGACCAACCAGAGTATCAGGGAGACCAACCAGAGTATCAGTAGACCAACCAGAGTATCAGGGGAGACCAACCAGAGTATCAGGGAGACCAACCAGAGTATCAGTAGACCAACCAGAGTATCAGGGAGACCAACCAGAGTATCAGGGAGACCAACCAGAGTATCAGGGAGACCAACCAGAGTATCAGTAGACCAACCAGAGTATCAGTAGGCCAACCAGAGTATCAGGGGAGACCAACCAGAGTATCAGGGAGACCAACCAGAGTATCAGGGAGACCAACCAGAGTATCAGTAGACCAACCAGAGTATCAGTAGACCAACCAGAGTATCAGGGGAGACCAACCAGAGTATCAGGGAGACCAACCAGAGTATCAGTAGACCAACCAGAGTATCAGTAGACCAACCAGAGTATCAGGGTGACCAACCAGAGTATCAGTAGACCAACCAGAGTATCAGGGAGACCAACCAGAGTATCAGGGAGACCAACCAGAGTATCAGGGGGACCAACCAGAGTATCAGGGAGACCAACCAGAGTATCAAGGTGACCAACCAGAGTATCAGGGTGACCAACCAGAGTATCAGGGGGACCAACCAGAGTATCAGTAGACCAACCAGAGTATCAGTAGGCCAACCAGAGTATCAGGGAGACCAACCAGAGTATCAGTAGGCCAACCAGAGTATCAGGGGAGACCAACCAGAGTATCAGGGGGACCAACCAGAGTATCAGTAGGCCAACCAGAGTATCAGGGAGACCAACCAGGGTATCAGGGAGACCAACCAGAGTATCAGGGAGACCAACCAGAGTATCAGTAGACCAACCAGAGTATCAGGGGAGACCAACCAGAGTATCAGGGAGACCAACCAGAGTATCAGTAGACCAACCAGAGTATCAGGGAGACCAACCAGAGTATCAGTAGACCAACCAGAGTATCAGGGAGACCAACCAGAGTATCAGGGAGACCAACCAGAGTATCAGGGGAGACCAACCAGAGTATCAGGGAGACCAACCTGAGTATCAGGGAGACCAACCTGAGTATCAGGGAGACCAACCAGAGTATCAGGGAGACCAACCAGAGTATCAGGGAGACCAACCAGAGTATCAGGGAGACCAACCAGAGTATCAGGGAGACCAACCAGAGTATCAGTAGACCAACCAGAGTATCAGTAGACCAACCAGAGTATCAGGGGGACCAACCAGAGTATCAGGGGAGACCAACCAGAGTATCAGGGGGACCAACCAGAGTATCAGGGAGACCAACCAGAGTATCAGGGAGACCAACCAGAGTATCAGGGAGACCAACCAGAGTATCAGGGAGACCAACCAGAGTATCATTAGACCAACCAGAGTATCAGGGAGACTAACCAGAGTATCAGGGGGACCAACCAGAATATCAGGGAGACCAACCAGAGTATCAGTAGACCAACCAGAGTATCAGTAGACCAACCAGAGTATCAGGGTGACCAACCAGAGTATCAGGGAGACCAACCAGAGTATCAGGGAGACCATCCAGAGTATCAGGGTGACCAACCAGAGTATCAGTAGACCAACCAGAGTATCAGGGAGACCAACCAGAGTATCAGGGAGACCAACCAGAGTATCAGGGTGACCAACCAGAGTATCAGTAGACCAACCAGAGTATCAGGGAGACCATCCAGAGTATCAGGGTGACCAACCAGAGTATCAGTAGACCAACCAGAGTATCAAGGAGACCAACCAGAGTATCAGGGGGACCAACCAGAGTATCAGGGAGACCAACCAGAGTATCAGTAGACCAACCAGAGTATCAGGGGGACCAACCAGAGTATCAGTAGACCAACCAGAGTATCAGGGAGACCAACCAGAGTATCAGGGGGACCAACCAGAGTATCAGGGAGACCAACCAGAGTATCAGTAGACCAACCAGAGTATCAGGGAGACCAACCAGAGTATCAGGGGGACCAACCAGAGTATCAGGGAGACCAACCAGAGTATCAGGGAGACCAACCAGAGTATCAGTAGACCAACCAGAGTATCAGGGGGACCAACCAGAGTATCAGGAAGACCAACCAGAGTATCAGTAGACCAACCAGAGTATCAGGGTGACCAACCAGAGTATCAGGGAGACCAACCAGAGTATCAGTAGACCAACCAGAGTATCAGTAGACCAACCAGAGTATCAGTAGACCAACCAGAGTATCAGTAGACCAACCAGAGTATCAGGGAGACCAACCAGAGTATCAGGGAGACCAACCAGAGTATCAGTAGACCAACCAGAGTATCAGGGGGACCAGCCAGAGTATCAGGAAGACCAACCAGAGTATCAGTAGACCAACCAGAGTATCAGGGTGACCAACCAGAGTATCAGGGGGACCAACCAGAGTATCAGGAAGACCAACCAGAGTATCAGTAGACCAACCAGAGTATCAGGGTGACCAACCAGAGTATCAGGAAGACCAACCAGAGTATCAGTAGACCAACCAGAGTATCAGTAGACCAACCAGAGTATCAGTAGACCAACCAGAGTATCAGGGAGACCAACCAGAGTATCAGGGAGACCAACCAGAGTATCAGGGGGACCAACCAGAGTATCAGGGAGACCAACCAGAGTATCAAGGTGACCAACCAGAGTATCAGGGTGACCAACCAGAGTATCAGTAGACCAACTAGAGTATCAGGGAGACCAACCAGAGTATCAGGGAGACCAACCAGAGTATCAGTAGACCAACCAGAGTATCAGGAAGACCAACCAGAGTATCAGGGGGACCAACCAGAGTATCAGGGAGACCAACCAGAGTATCAGGGAGACCAACCAGAGTATCAGTAGACCAACCAGAGTATCAGGGAGACCAACCAGAGTATCAGGGGGACCAACCAGAGTATCAGGGAGACCAACCAGAGTATCAGGGAGACCAACCAGAGTATCAGTAGACCAACCAGAGTATCAGGGGGACCAACCAGAGTATCAGTAGACCAACCAGAGTATCAGTAGACCAACCAGAGTATCAGGGTGACCAACCAGAGTATCAGTAGACCAACCAGAGTATCAGGGGGACCAACCAGAGTATCAGGGGGACCAACCAGAGTATCAGGGAGACCAACCAGAGTATCAGAGAGACCATCCAGAGTATCAGGGGGACCAACCAGAGTATCAGTAGACCAACCAGAGTATCAGGGAGACCAACCAGAGTATCAGGGGGACCAACCAGAGTATCAGGGAGACCAACCAGAGTATCAGTAGACCAACCCGAGTATCAGGGTGACCAACCAGAGTATCAGTAGACCAACCAGAGTATCAGGGAGACCAACCAGAGTATCAGGGGGACCAACCAGAGTATCAGGGAGACCAACCAGAGTATCAGTAGACCAACCAGAGTATCAGTAGACCAACCAGAGTATCTGGGAGACCAACCAGAGTATCAGGGAGACCAACCAGAGTATCAGTAGACGAACCTGAGTATCAGTAGACCAACCTGACAATAATTACTAGCCCCTGTGTATGATCTCTCTGCAAATTACCTGATGGAACAGTAAGGAAGTTATGAGTATTTTCTGTTTACGTCTGTATTGACTGATCATGTGTGCACATTTCCATATTTTTTTCTTTTATTTATAGTGACAAATAATTGGGGAATTTTGGAAAGTTTGTAAATAATTTGTATGTGCTTGTCGTCATGTATAACCTATTATCAATATTTTTCATTTATGCTTCAGAATGTTCATTTGTCATAATTTTGACACCAAATTTTCAGTTACAGCCACGAAATAATATGAAATACTGTATATTAAAAAGAGTTTTTAAGAGTATTAAGCTTTGTTGAACATATTCCCAAGAGACCCGGTACATTTACATTTGGGCTTGCATTGAGGGGGGAGGGGGCTGGAATGCCAAAGTGTTATTACAGTGTCAGCAAATTATATATCCTTAGAAAATTAGTTCATTTGTACTAAGCACCATATACCTGGTTGATGGGGTTCTGGGAGTTCTTCTACTGCCCAAGCCCGGCCCGAGGCCAGGCTTGACTTGTGAGAGTTTGGTCCACCAGGCTGTTGCTTGGAGCGGCCCGCAGGCCCACATATACCTGGTTGATGGGGTTCTGGGAGTTCTTCTACTGCCCAAGCCCGGCCCGATGCCAGGCTTGACTTGTGAGAGTTTGGTCCACCAGGCTGTTGCTTGGAGCGGCCCGCAGGCCCACATATACCTGCTTGATGGGGTTCTGGGAGTTCTTCTACTGCCCAAGCCCGGCCCGAGGCCAGGCTTGACTTGTGAGAGTTTGGTCCACCAGGCTGTTGCTGGGAGCGGCCCGCAGGCCCACATATACCTGCTTGATGGGGTTCTGGGAGTTCTTCTACTGCCCAAGCCCGGCCCGAGGCCAGGCTTGACTTGTGAGAGTTTGGTCCACCAGGCTGTTGCTTGAAGCGGCCCGCAGGCCCACATATACCTGGTTGATGGGGTTCTGGGAGTTCTTCTACTGCCCAAGCCCGGCCTGAGGCCAGGCTTGACTTGTGAGAGTTTGGTCCACCAGGCTGTTGCTGGGAGCGGCCCGCAGGCCCACATATACCTGCTTGATGGGGTTCTGGGAGTTCTGCTACTCCCCAAGCCCGGCCCAAGGCCCGGCTTGACAAATATATCTTGCATCCATTCCAAATGTTCAGTATTGCAACTTTGGTGCCATCATAATTGCTAATAAATTGATTTCATCTTCTGTAGTTCTTTTTCTAGCTAGTATATACTACAATATACTGAAATTCAGAGAGATTTCTAGGGCCTCAATCCCTGAAATTTCAGTCCTTTGTACTACAGTTCATATTACAACCTCTTTTTTGTGAGTTACTACGAGTTCATGGCCCTATGCTCGAGTCAGTCGTATAGTTTCAGTTTGCTAGGTTGTCATGCGAGACAGACCCCCCCCCCCTCCCCCTCAAAACCATCTTTGTGTTCGGTTTACATTCATGAGTTCATAGTTTTAGGTTTTGTAGACGTTGACCAAACCGCACTAGAAAGTGAAGGGATGACAACGTTTCGGTCCGTCCTGGACCATTCTCAAGTCGATTGTGTATGTTGTAGATGCCTTTCTTGTGCTTATTTATAATTCTAAAATGAACATTTTATATGTATTTAAATTTTCATTCAGTTCCAAGACAGAGATCTGCCCGCATTGCAAAGATACGGGAGAAGGAAGAGGAGGAACGCAGGAATCTTGAAGCAATGCGGTTGAAACAGCTAGCTGAAGAAAACCGTCTTAGAGAGCTCAAAAAGAAGGCCAGAGAGGAGAGAAGGGTAAGAGCAATAATTTTGGTTTCAAATTACCCAATAAATGTTCAGTTATGCCCTGGTACCTTTGCTAGATATCCAAACCACACATCTGAAAATGAAGAAACAATGATGTTTCAGCTTGTTGTTTGTAAACTTCCTGGACCCAGATTCACAAAAGCACTTATGCAAGCAATTACAAACGTGTACATCTTTCCTCAATCTTTGACAGCTTTGGTTACATTTATTTAACGGTTACAAGCAGGAAAACTTGCCAATCAACTGTTGTTATTGTTATAAACAGCCTCCTGGTGCTTCGGAGCTCATTAACTGTTTAATAATTGGAAACAAAGCCGCCAAAGATTGAGAAAAGATATACAGGTTCGAAAGTGCTTGTGTAAGTGCTTTCGTGAATCTGGCCCCAGATGTGAGAGTTGGGTATCAGTTCTTCAGCCACATTAGGGTGATTAATCATCTGCAAATTCTAAGCCTCCTAACCAAAATCGAGGGCCATGCGCTTGGGACCATTAATTACCTAAGGGTAGTTATAGGATGAGTGTTATATTTGTCGTTTCCTTTCTTTATGGTTACCTAGCGATGATTTCGGGGCTCAACATCCCCGCGGCCTTGTCGACCAGGCCCCCCTCGTTGCTGGACTGGTTTTAGTCTACCTATCCTAGACAACCTAATCAGCCAACCAACCATAATACTGGTCAACCAAGCTGTTGGATGTGGCTGCTTGCAGCATGACATCTGAATCACAGGCTGGTTGATCAGGTTCTATAGTTGATCTTCCCTATAATTGTCAGACAACATTTTGAAACTTAAAATGATTTTGGCATACAGTATACTACCCCTCTATATTTATTCTATGCATTTACCTCTGCTGACCAATGAATATAATAATGTTTCTTTCACACCTTTGTTCTTGGCTTGAAATTTATGCACTTGTTTCTGATTTTGAGGATTTAAAATATTTTCTCCTTACTATTTGGTCATCTTTAACAATTTTGTAGGTAGGATCATATCATATCACCTTTTGTTCCAGTTACTAGTTTGACCATTGTAATGCTTCAAGTTTTTCCTTATTGTTCATGGTGTTGAAGGTTCAGGAGCCATTTAGTAACATGTTCTTGGGGGTTATCTTGAGATTATCTTGAGATGATTTTGGGGCTTTTTAGTGTCCCCGCGGCCCGGTCCTCGACCAGGTTTCCACCCCCAGGAAGCAGCCCGTGACAGCTGACTAACACCCAGGAACCTATTTACTGCTAGGTAACAGGGGCATAGGGTGAAAGAAACTTTGCCCATTGTTTCTCGCTGGCGCCTGGGGTCGAACCCGGGACCACAGGATCACAAGTCCAGCGTGCTGTCCGCTCGGCTGACCGGCTCCCGGGGTACAGACACTGTCCACCTCCTGCGTACAATTGAGAAACTGTGTACAAAAATACTTGAAATATATTCCATACAGGAAACACACTACAGGAAATATGAATGAAATTCCACAAATAAATAAATGCCTTATCATATATACAGAATAGAGAGTATATATATAGAGGAAATATGATGATTAAATAAAATCCTTGATTTGCTATGTTGGACTAAATGATGTACATTAGCAGTACTATGCAGACGATGAGTCACAATAACGTGGCTAAAGTAAGTTGACCAGACCACACACTAGAACGTGAAGGGGGGACGACGTTTCGGTCCGTCCTGGACCATTCTCAAGTCAATTGAGAATGGTCCAGGACGGACCGAAACGTCGTCGTCCCTTCACCTTGTAGTGTGTGGTCTGGTCAACTTAGCAATACTAAATGGTTTTGTAGCAACTAATGTAAACAAAATGGGTTCTATATGTAGGTAATATTTATCTTTTTTTTCCTCACTGCTGTGACTCCAAAGTTGATATACACATCCATTTGCATAGCTTTTTATAAACATAAATATATACAGTAAAGGCATCTCTACAGATAAAATTATTTATCTGTAGACAATAAATAATTATCCTTTACAGATAGTCCTTATCCTGTAATTTTAGTAGAAATCTGGTTGTATGACAATATCGAAGTCTATGGTGGTACAGTGGTAGAGTATGTGGCTTGCAGTGCCTGGGTCACGGGTTCACCTCAGAGTGAACTAGCGGTGGTACAGTGGTAGAGTATGTGGCTGGCAGTGTCTAGGTCGCATGTTCACCTCACAGTAAACCAGTGGTGGTACAGTGGTAGAGTATGCAGCTGGCAGTGTCTAGGTCGCAGGTTCACCTCAGAGTGAACCAGTGGAGTTTCTCATTATATATATTAGGTTAGTATGATTATCAGTGTCTAGATCCAATTATTGTTAAAGCGTTGCCTCATTATATCCTTATTTTGCAGTCACAGAGAGAAATGAAGAAAGGAAGAAGAGAGAGGAAAGAAAAAAAGGTAAGAAGGATCTAATTTAAAGTTTTACATTTAATTTTATCTTTTTTTGGTGCCCAATCACTTGGACTGGACGGTAGAGCGACGGTCTGGGGTCATGCAGGTCAGCGTTCAATCCCCGACCGTCCACAAGTGGTTGGGGCACCATTCCTTCCCTCCGTCCTATCCCAAATCCTTATCCTGACCCCTTCCCAGTGCTATATAGTCGTTGTGGCTTGGTGCTTTCCCCCAGATAATTACCTTCTCTCTTTTTTTTCTATGCATAATCATTATCCTGGTTCACACTTTCATGGGATGGGGAGGCATCAACTCAAAGAAAATAGGTGAATAATTAAAAAAAAAATGTTTTAGATATTAAATCAATTTAATATGACTTGCACATTGATAATGTAATTCACAATATAAGACATCTTGGATTAACTCTCCCCTACACACACACACACTGCTATTACAAGACTATGTATACAGTGTGCTTTGTGAACTCCATTCCATGCACCTGGGCTGTAGGAGACTTGAACCGCAGACCCCACGCGTGTGAGGTCTGCGATCTTAATGTTGATTTCCACGGAAGTGTGGATGACAATTTATACTTTGTGAATTGTCTTATACAGTACAGTATTTTTAAATATATTAAATTTCTTTTCTATAAACTCCTCCTTGAAATCTTGAGGTAGTCTTGAATTGATTTCGGGGCTTAGCGTCCCTGCGGCCCGGTCCTCGACCAGGCCTCCTTTTTGTTACACATCCCCAGGAAGCAACCCGTAGCAACTGTTTAACTCCCAGGTACCTATTTACTGCTAGGTGAACAGGAGCATCAGGGTGAAAGAAACTCTGCCCATTTGTTTCCGCCTCCGCTGGGGATTGAACCCAGAGCCTCAGGACTACGAATTCAAAGCGCTGTCCACTCAGCTGTCGCCTTCAAAATATGTGCAAAATTTAGACGCAAAAATGTATAATATGCAAAGTTATGGGTTTATAATTAAACACTTTGATGATACCTTAGAACTTAGAACTTTGCACGTAATATGTAAAAATGGTGAGAATCGGTCAGAAATTGGATTTTAGAAGTAGACTTTTCGATGATGCTAAAATTCTGTCAATACTGTGACAGCAAACCTTCCGATAATGCTAAAACACATTATCAATACTGCAACAGTAAACCTCCTGATGATGCTAAAGTACATTATCAATTCTGCGACAGTAAACCTTCCAATGATGCTAACACACAATTATCAATACCGCGATAGTAAACCAGCCGATGATACTAAAGCACACTATGAATACTGTGACAATAAATTATCTGATGATGCTAAAACACAGTCCTGTATCAATTCTTCAACAGTAAACCATCCAATGATGCTAAAACACAGTCCTGTATCAATTCTTCAACAGTAAACCATCCAATGATGCTAAAACACAGTCCTGTATCAATTCTTCAACAGTAAACCATCCAATGATGCTAAAACACATTATAAATACTGTGACAGTAAACCTTCCGATGATATTAAAAAATTCATTCATCTCAAATTTCCCAAAAACCACTTTTTTATTTTTTTCTGGAGCATAATGTGTGTGTGTGTGTGTGTGTAGCTTATCAGGATACCAACCCTAAGCATCAAAGAACCATCCTGAGATCACCTCGGCTAACAAATGTCTCACTAAAGACGAAAATTATTATGCATGTGATTATTTTCACATTGCCTTGCAAATTATTTGTCGGAAAAGTATGGAAGGTATGTTTGTTTACTTTTTGCAGCAATATAGACCAATCATGTGCATATATTTCCATATTTTAAATTGTTATATACAATGTTAAAAAATAAAAGAGGAATGTTGAATAATAGGTGAGAAATGTGAAATGTTTGTAAACAATCGTTTATTCAGTACCATAACACAATCTATCTTCAAAACATTATGTTTTGCATCTATACGCTAGCAAATTCATTTACAAGCATTTTGCATCAAATTTAAAATTATTGGCCAAAACCTATCTTGCGAAAATGTAAATAGTACTGTTTTAAGTATTGCTTAGTGGGACCTTAAGATGCTCAGAATGTTTATGGTAGGGAATCTTATCTCTCAAGATAAGAAGAAGGGTATGCATCGACTAATCAGAATGTTTAGTGTTAATAGGCATATCCAAACCTCCCAGAAATGATGAAAATGGAAATACCTTTATATTTGTCACCGTTCAATGCTTTAAAGTAAAAAAACTAAGTAAGTTCCATTTGGAAATTACCTCCTAATAATGTGTAGTAGAATGCACAAACTCATATTAGAGATTGCTTGCATCGCAAAAGCTGGATATAAAAAATTATTTATACTGGTAAAAGGTCAGACAAAATAGTATGTTTGTATATTAATAATTATGATTTTATTCATAGCATGCATACTGAGAACACAAGTTAATGAAACAATTATGATGACGGGGGTTACACACAAATATAAAGCCACTAACTACTATGCAAAACATTTCAGGCAAAAGAGGAATGCGTATGCACAGAACTTTTGAATTTTACAATTACTCAACCACTATGACGAAAAGGACAAATATTTGAAGAAAATCAAAATGCAGATGTTGTATACAAAGAATAGAAATGCATTTAATAAATGAGACCATGAAGTGATTACCCACAAAATGAGGCCCAAAGGAATCACAAGCAGTGGTTCGATGAATATTTAATTTTTCTCACAAGCCGATTGCGATGAGTACAGTGGAACCTCTATTAACGAGTTTAATCCGTTCTGACACCGAGCTCGTTACCTGGAAAACTCGTCTTAAGAAACAAATTTCCCCATTTGAAATAAAGGAAATAAATTTAATCCGTTCCTCTCCCAAAAACTTCCATACTTGTATGACTTTTTTTTATGTAAATATAATACTGCACATATAAATATAAATGTTTTGTTGTAGTGTTTTAATGTTACTTTACCTTATGAAGAGTAGTTGCTGGCTTGAGGGAGACGATGGAGAGGTGGAAAGGAGGAGAGGGGTTATGGTGTGGAAGGAGAATCCACCTCTGAGTCAGGCGGACTCTCTCTTCTTGGGAATTTCACCCAAATTACATTTCAAATGTCACACAAGGATGCGTTAGACCAGCACCAAATAAAAAACTACGTCGATTACACTTGTTGTGTCAACAATATAATGGTCTTACCACGAAGAAACAATACAATGCCGTTCTCCCAAATAGGCAATGTGGTTATTAGGGAAAACGGAAATTTCATGGCAAACATGTATACACTCCCCAAGTCGATCGGATAAGAATTGGAACTTATAGAAATATTTGCTCAAATGACGCTTGAGCGCGGTGTTTGGGTGCATTCAAGAGAAAAAAGTGTGTCACGTTCAAGTGACATACACCTGTGAAAGTGATAACACTTTCACAAAGTGTTATCACAAAGTGATAAATTAATTAAACATTTTCACACACCGGGTTGTCACTGCTTTATCAGGGCAGCTTTTCCAAGAATGCGTTAACCTTTTCAAACATTCCAAACACTTCCCTGATCTCAGTGGAAGAGGCAGCATCCTCCCTTACCTCCTTATTCCCTTACTAATGGTGTAAATTGTTGATGAGGACCTGCCATACTCCCTTGTGAGATCAGTCACACAGACACCACACTCATGCTTTGCTATAATTTCCTTCTTTAAATCCACAGTAATTGTGTCTTTCTTCCTCTTGACAACACTATCTTTAGCAAGCAGCTTCTTTGGAGACATCGTGTGTTACAATTTGTAGTCGCAAAACCACTAAAAACCCAAAGAAAAGCTCAAATAAATCCAGAGGGATGCTTGTCGTGTGCGATACAACAACAACACTGGCGTCGGAGGCGTCCGAGAATTTGCGAGAACCCGTGAGATGCTAGGAAGCACCATGTGGTTTTGCTCGTTAATAGAGGTGAGCTCGTCAATAGAGACAAATTTGCTGCGAGTGACTTGCTCGTTACTGGAAAAACTCGATAATAGAGCCACTCGTTAATGGAGGTTCCACTGTACCTGTAAAATCAAACCAAATCTAGTCCGAGCACAGTGAAAAGCTTTACTGGATATCACAAAGCACGGTTCTTGCACCACAATAATTTCCCATCCTCATTAGGCAAAAAATACAGCTCATGGCATTGTGTCATCCTTTTCAAATGATGCTAAAAATCATCATTAATGTTATCTTGGGAGAAGATAATGAAAACCACAAGTAAACATTAATAAAAGTCTTCCATTTGGCCAAATAAAATAAAGATTTTCAAAAGCAGTACGTTTCAGATACTGTACTATGGGAAAAATTATGACAAATTTCAAATGCTGTGTTAACACTTTGGCACCCCGATGATGCTCTCGTCATCATAAAACCAAAACTCGCAGAGTGGGTGATGACGCTCTTGGGATCGTGCATTAATTTTTGGTTATTCTTAAGTATAAACATTATAAGTGAAAGAGTTTAACGTTGGGTTGTGTGCTCACTGGCAGTGCCTGGCCTACCTTACGGTGCGATGCGAGTTGTCCGCTGGGCACGCCAAAATGTTAAGAAATAGCAAAAATTAAGAAATTAAATGGGATACAGGATAAAAGTTGTAATTGGATCTTCTCATAAAATGAAAACTCCGTGGATAAATCCACTCCAACATAAATACCATTGGAATACCCAACATTTAGTAAATATAGCCAAACTAACATAGAAAATGTTAACACTTTCGCGCTCTCAGCGCTCAAAAAAAAACAATACCCCAGATGCTTTCGGCACTTCGCGCGCCTACGCGGTAAGACCGAAAAAGTGTACACTCTTTTGACTGTCCTGACAATAATTGAAGGCGCACGTATTTAAATTTGGTATCACTGTGTTCGCAATGAAATTGTCTATAAGAGCATACCTATAAAATGCCGCCCAAGCATAAGGAGTATCAACACCAAATAAAAAACTATGCAGATCACTCGCCGAGAGCGCCAAACAGCAACAAAATGTTTCCACTCTCTTAATGGTTGCGAAGCCTACAGTTGTCCTACATCGCTAATTTTGGTATCATTGGAATCGCAATAAAATTCTCTACACGGACATATGCATATGAATGTTTAATATAGGTAATTGCCCACCCGCAAGAGTGTGTGAAGTGGAGAGTAGTTAGCCGCGAGCGCACTGGCGAAAACACAGGTGGGAAATCATGCTTGGAAAGTTTATACGTTTCCTGACCCTACTTTTCTATGTACGTATTTCTTTTTTATACCAATGTGTTCGCAATAAAATTTTCTATAAGATGAACTGTATAACATTTGTACAAAGCATGTGTAAGAGAAGCGCCAAATATAGAACCACGTCGCTCAGTATGCGTTCGTGGCAGAAGCGAACGCATTGTTTTCGTTCGTTTGATGTTTGTCATGTTTATACTTGTTGAAACATTTTATAATTTGTATGACAGTGATCGCAGTAAAATTCCCTACACAGACATATACATAACACATACAAATATTTCCCACGTGTTGGATATATCAACGGCTAAAGGGAACCCACTACCACACGCTCGCCACACCCCCAAACATACTTTGTGTATTTTTTTTTTACTCATAGAAGTTTGTGATATAATATTCATTCTGGTACCAAAAAATTCGCAAATAAATTCTCTACAAAACAAAAGTATCCCCATCCATTTCGGTTAAAAAATGGAATTTATAGAAATATTTTTTCGATGGACGAGAAAAGTAGGCTGTTATGCGGAATCGTAAGAAAAACCGGCGACGAGTTATCTCTAATCTAAAGCGCGAAAGTGTTAACAAACTAACTAATTTGTTAGCAAACTAACATAGAAACTAACTAGAAAATGATAGTGGATTATGAGAACGTTTGGAAATCAATGGTACTTTCCTGCCTTGAATACTACACGGTAAATGCCTCTCTGTTCAAGCTTCGTCCCTCTTATAGTTCTTGAAAGTGCTGTCCTCCTTTTCACTAATATTAGATGTTCAATTTTACAGGAAAGGGACAGAAGAAAAAGGAAAAAGAAGAAGCGAGGAAAGAGAAGGAGAACAAATCCAAATGATCCATGGGCCCACTCTTCTACATCTTCAAGGTACAGTAATTACATTTTTCTTTGCAGTGTGTGGAAATGTTGAGTATTTATGTAAGGTATTACAAATAAAGGTCATTTAGTGTAACAACACTAATAACAATAAAGGTCATTGGTGGCAGATTTTAAGCCATTTTAACAGGTTGATGCGAGGTTATTCTCGTCAGATAAAGGGTTTGGACCTGCCTGCTATGTGAATAGAGTAAATGAAAAGGTTGGTGACCAGATCACACACTAGAAGGTGAAGGGATGACGACGTTTCTGTCTGTCCTGGACCATTCTCAAGTCGATTGTCTTGGCAATCAACTTGAGAATAGTCCAGGACGGACCAAAACATCATCGTCCCTTCACCTTCTAGTGTATGGTCTGGTCAACATACTTCAGCCATGTTATTGTGACTCATTGCCTGAAAAGGTTGTAATAGATGAAACATTTTAAGGAGGCAATGTTTAATGTGCTGACTTTATGTGAAGCAAAGCTTTTGAGAAATTGAGAGTGAAGAGTAGATGTGGAAAAAATTGTAACAGCGGAAGTAAAAGAAAATGAAAGGATTGAGGAGGTTGTGGGTCATTTAACTCTTTGATGTACCATAACATTTTTGAGATCCCTTTCCTTGGTCAATTAAAAAAAATTATATGAGAGTACTGGAGTACAATATGAAAAATGTTCGTAATGGATTTGCTGCATTGATTTGATTCCATATGGTTCAAATTTATTTAATTGTTATATATAATATGAATGATTTCTTTCATTTAAGACTATTTACTTTGCAAACAAGCACATCTGTTCTTGTTGTTTGCAAGAATTCATTAATAGAATTATAATTTTGTAATAATACTGGTGCCGTCTGAAACATTAAGCCTGCCTTGGGCATCACAATACATGTGGGTAATAACATTTGATTCACTTGGGCCATAGGAGCCTCGAACCTCTGACCCCCAGAGCAGGCGATGGTAGCTCTGTTAACCACGCTATGAGCAGCCACAAAAAGGAAGGATTCCAAAAGCAACAAACCGCTGCCCAACTGGAACTTTAAGCTACTGTTTCCCACTCTGGGGGTTAGAAGTACCAGGGGCCAGATTCACAAAGCAGTTATCTAAGCACCTATATACCTGGGGCCAGTTTCACGAATCAGTTACGCAAGCACTTACAAACGTGTACATCTTTCCTCAATCTTTGACAGCTTTGTTTACATTTATTAAACAGTTTACAAGCAGGAAAACTTGCCAATCAACTGTTGTTATTGTTATAAACAGCCTCCTGGTGCTTCGGAGCTCATTAACTGTTTAATAATTGTAAACAAAGCCGCCAAAGATTGAGAAAAGATGGACAGGTTCGTAAGTGCTTGCATAACTGCTTCATGAATCTGGCCCCAGGTTCGTAAGTGCTTGCGTAACTGCTTCATGAATCTGGCCCCAGGTTCGTAAGTGCTTCCATAACTGCTTCATGAATCTGGCCCCAGGTTCGTAAGTGCTTGCATAACTGCTTCGTAAATCTGGCCCCTGGTACTTCTAACCCCCAGAGTGGGAAACAGTAGCTCAAAGTTCCAGTTGGGCAGCAGTTTGTTGCTTCTGGAATCCTTCCTTTTTGTGGCTGCTTTTGTGGCAATTGGCTACGGCCCAATTGAAAGAAATATATACGTACAAAATACTAAGGGACTTGTATTAAGTGGACATGGATAGAGCCTTATATTAATCAAATGTAGGGCATGGGTAGAGGTTGGAAACCCAAATGAGCCAGAAAAAATGACATACACTTCAGTGCTGTTGTTTTAGATTCATCTGCTGGGAACAAACGTTCCTAGTAGCACGGGCTATGGTGAACCCATAGTGGACTTGCTTCACTTGTCTGCATTGAGAACAGTCAACCAGTGGAATGCACTGATAGTGGTTTGTAATGGTGGAAGCCACGTTTACAGCTTCAAATGGTAAATATGTCTAAGAATTGAAATGGCAAAAAAATAAAAACAATACTAGGTGCCAAGAGCTAGGAAGGGAAGGGAATTATAGGGAGAAAGTACCAAGCCTCCTCGACTATATAGCACAGGGAAGGGGTCAGGATAAGGACTTGGGATCATCTTGACCTAGAAAAACTAGGTCAAATGGAGGAGTAGGTCTGTATATTAAAGAAGACCTGGTATGCACAGAACTACTAAACTCAACTAATGAGGTGGTAGAGGTACTAGGAATTAAGGTAGAGAAACTAAACCTAATTATTATTTTAATATATAAACCGCCAGATACAACGGTTGAGGAATTCACAGAGCAGATGCACAAAATAGAGAACATACTTGACAACCTAGCAAACCCAGCTCCAGATATTATCTTCCTTGGAGATTTCAATTTACCGAGTCTAAGATGGAGAATGGCAAACACAAATATCATAGCAGGGAATGACCCGGGAAATAACCAACCACAGGTCAGAGAACTTTTGAGATTCTGTGACAAATTCTCGCTCAATCAACAGATTACAGAACCAACTAGGAACGAAAACACACTAGACTTGTTATTCACAAACAATGATGAACTAATCAGAGACATTACAATCTCAGATACTTCATACTCAGACCATAAGCTCATTGAAGTGCGAACTAGCATAAATAACGGTAGTAGGTCTAAGAGACCCAACAAGCGAGAAGGAATATTCAATCAATTCAATTTCAACAATAAGAGGATTGACTGGGAAAAAATAAATGTAGACCTTGCAACCATTCAATGGGAGACGGTCTTAAGCGACAAAACTCCCACACAGGGAATAGCTCAACTGACAGCTGAAGCTTACAAGGTCTGCTTGAAGCACGTGCCTGTGAGGAGGGGCAGAAAGAGGATCACTCTAGAAAGAGAACGCAGACGACTGTACAGGAGAAGGAAAAAAATAACGGAAATGCTTCGGCAGACACAACTATCACAAGTAAGGAAAACAAGCCTAAGCAGGGAGATCGAAGAAATAGAACAAACATTGAAGCAATCATATGAGTCGGAGGAAATGGAATTGGAACAGAAAGCTATACAAGAGATAAGGAAAAATCCGAAATATTTTTTCACATATGCAAAATCAAAATCCAAAACCTCGACCAGTATTGGACCGTTAATTACAAGTGAAGGTACGTACACAGAGGACAACAAAGAGATTAGTGAAATTCTAAGAAGCCAGTATGAGGCTATGTTTAGCACACCAATAAACAACATGAAAGTTGATGACCCAGACAGCTTCTTTATGAATGACATTCAAGCTGCAGATAATATAACGGATATTACCACAAACTCGGAAGACTTTGAAAGAGAAATTGACAATATGCCTATGCACTCAGCCCCTGGGCCTGACTCATGGAATTCAATATTCATAAAGAAATGTAAAGTACCAGTAGCGAGAGCACTCAGCGTAATATGGAGAAAGAGCCTGGATACAGGGGAGATACCAGCAGCACTTAAATCTGCAGATATAGCTCCGTTGCACAAGGGGGGGAGTAAAGCCTTGGCAAAAAATTATAGGCCAGTTGCACTAACATCACACATAATAAAAGTGTTTAAAAGAGAAATTAGGAATCAAATTTCTAGTTTTATGGAAAACAATGAATTACACAATCCAGGACAACATGGATTTAGAGCTGGAAGATCATGTCTGTCACAGTTACTCAACCACTATGACAAAATCACAGAAGCCCTAGAAGAAAAGCAAAATGCAGATGTTGTATACACAGACTTTGCAAAGGCGTTCGACAAATGTGACCATGGGGTGATAGCTCACAAAATGAGGTCAATGGGAATAACTGGAAAAGTAGGACGCTGGATACTCAATTTCCTGTTGAACAGAACACAAAGAGTAACAGTCAATCAGATAAAATCGAGTCCAAGCAATGTTAAAAGCTCTGTACCTCAAGGTACAGTCCTTGCACCGCTACTGTTCCTTATTCTCATATCTGATATTGACAAAAATACACGTCACAGCTTCGTGTCGTCCTTTGCAAACGACACAAAAATCAGCATGAAAATTACCTCTGCTGAAGACATTGAAAAACTACAAGCAGATGTCAACAAAGTTTTCGAATGGGCAACAGAAAATAACATGATGTTTAACAGTGATAAATTTCAGGTACTCAGGTACGGCAAAAATGAGGATCTGAAACATAATACAGGGTACAAAACACAATCGAATCTTCCCAAAGTAGAAAAACATCATGTCAAGGATTTGGGAATAATGATGTCCGACGATCTAACATTTAGGGAGCATAACCAAGCAAATATCGCGTCAGCCAGAAAAATGATCGGATGGATTACGAGAACTTTCAATTCCAGGGATCCCATCACAATGGTTGTACTCTTCAAGTCACTTGTGTTGTTCCGTCTCGAGTACTGCTCAGTACTCACTTCCCCCTTTAGAGCAGGTGAGATTGCTGAAATAGAGGGAATACAGAAAACATATACGGCACGCATAGACGAGATAAAACACCTAAATTATTGGGATCGTCTCAAAGCTCTCCAAATGTATTCTCTAGAAAGGAGACAAGAGAGATACCAAATAATATACACATGGAAAATACTGGAAGGTCAGGTCCCAAATCTACACAGTAAAATAACAACGTACTGGAGTGAACGATATGGAAGAAAATGCAAGATTGAACCAGTGAAGAGCAGAGGTGCCATAGGCACAATCAGAGAGCACTGTATAAACATCAGGGGTCCGCGGTTGTTCAACGTCCTCCCAGCGACTATAAGAAATATTGCCGGAACAACCGTGGACATCTTCAAGAGAAAACTAGAAAACTCTCAAGTCAAGCCTGGCCTCAGGCCGGGCTTGGGGAGTAGAAGAACTCCCAGAACCCCATCAACCAGGTAACCAGGTATCAACCAGGGATGGGACGGAGGAAAGGAATGGTGCCCAACCACTTGGACGATCGGGAATTGAACCCCGACCTGCATGAAGCGAGACCGTCGCTCTACCCTCCAGCCCAAGTGGTTGGGACAAACAGCCAGGAGACATTGCTCATTACCCCTTTTAATACCCCAGCTTGGATTGTTATGCTCCCTGTACTCGTGTTTTGTGTAGTCATTATAGCAACTACCCATTGCAGCTCCATTTACTCCTTACACCATTACAGGTAAGGAGTAAACACCCTTCCACCCCCTCAGGTAACTTACCGGAGGGTAACTAACTCTGGTAACAATAACCTGTGTTAGGTTACCACAGGTAACTTGAAAGAAGATACAGTGTGCAGACGAGGAGTCACAATAACCTGGCTGAAATATGTTGACCAAACCACACACTAGAATGTGAAGGGACGACAATGTTTCGGTCCGTCCTGGACCATTCTCGATCGACTTGAGAATGGTCCAGGACGGACCCAAACGTCGTCGTCCCTTCACTTTCTAGTGTGTGGTTTGGTCAACAAGATACAGTATTGAGCCTCATCCTGTATACACACATTAGCAAAGTTTCTGGTGACTTGGTTTGCTGTTTGCTCTCCAGTTATTTAAGTGTAGAATACCATATAGCATGTATATAACACTAGATTCACAAATGGAATGTAACTGCACTCTATTAGTAAAATACAGTTGTCCATTTTTTAATTTTCAAAATAAAATTTGGGAAGGAACTTGTACCTAAATTTGCACATGTGCTGATTTTTGGTTTCAGTTCTAGCTCTGAGGAGGAGGAGGAAGAGGAAGATTTAGATGACGAAGAAGAAGAGAATTTAATATTTAAAAGTGATCACGAGTTCTCGCCCGAGTCAGATATCGAGGAAGCTGACGCTCAGCCAATTAAGAGAGCCCGCACTGCTAAGAAGGGTAAGCTATGTTTGTTTTTCTCTTAGTAAGTACAGTATGGAACACTGCAACTTCAAAATCACCAAACTTGAAATACTGGAAACCTTAAAATAGTTGGGTAGTTCAACAACATCAGAAAGAGAAGATTCAAATTCCGAAACACAGTCAGTTGCGGAACCGATCAACAACATTATTTCCAGATCATATTTTGATACGGATGTATATTTTGTATTCTTTTCATTTAATAGTTTATTATTATTTTGCTGTTGCTGTAAGAGATGTTTTTCTGTATTCTATACTTCTAGTGTAATAAAAATTATACAAGAGAGTTTGTGGGGCGTGGCCGCGTAGTATTACTGAGGCAGGATGTTTCCTGTGTCCTTGTGGGGCGTGTTAGCTCAGTGTTACCTCTCTTTACAAGTGTGTGTGGCCTAGTACTACAGAGGCAGGATGTTTCCTGTGTCCTTGTGACCCGTGTTAGCTCAGTGTTACCTCTCTTTACAAGTGTGTGTGGCCTAGTACTACAGATGCTGGGTGTTTCCTGTGTTCTTGTGACCCATGTTAGCTCAGTGTTACCTCTCTTTACAAGTGTGTGTGGCCTAGTACTACAGATGCTGGGTGTTTCCTGTGTCCTTGTGACCCATGTTAGCTCAGTGTTACCTCTCTTTACAAGTGTGTGTGGCCTAGTACTACAGAGGCAGGATGTTTCCTGTGTCCTTGTGGGGCGTGTTAGCTCAGTGTTACCTCTCTTTACAAGTGTGTGTGGCCTAGTACTACAGAGGCAGGATGTTTCCTGTGTTCTTGTGACCCATGTTAGCTCAGTGTTACCTCTCTTTACAAGTGTGTGTGGCCTAGTACTACAGATGCTGGGTGTTTCCTGTGTCCTTGTGACCCATGTTAGCTCAGTGTTACCTCTCTTTACAAGTGTGTGTGGCCTAGTACTACAGAGGCAGGATGTTTCCTGTGTCCTTGTGGGGCGTGTTAGCTCAGTGTTACCTCTCTTTACAAGTGTGTGTGGCCTAGTACTACAGATGCTGGGTGTTTCCTGTGTCCTTGTGACCCATGTTAGCTCAGTGTTACCTCTCTTTACAAGTGTGTGTGGCCTAGTACTACAGAGGCAGGATGTTTCCTGTGTCCTTGTGACCCGTGTTAGCTCAGTGTTACCTCTCTTTACAAGTGTGTGTGGCCTAGTACTACAGATGCTGGATGTTTCCTGTGTCCTTGTGACCCGTGTTAGCTCAGTGTTACCTCTCTTTACAAGTGTGTGTGGCCTAGTACTACAGAGGCAGGATGTTTCCTGTGTCCTTGTGGGGCGTGTTAGCTCAGTGTTACCTCTCTTTACAAGTGTGTGTGGCCTAGCACTACAGATGCTGGGTGTTTCCTGTGTTCTTGTGACCCATGTTAGCTCAGTGTTACCTCTCTTTACAAGTGTGTGTGGCCTAGTACTACAGATGCTGGGTGTTTCCTGTGTTCTTGTGACCCATGTTAGCTCAGTGTTACCTCTCTTTACAAGTGTGTGTGGCCTAGTACTACAGATGCTGGGTGTTTCCTGTGTTCTTGTGACCCATGTTAGCTCAGTGTTACCTCTCTTTACAAGTGTGTGTGGCCTAGTACTACAGATGCTGGGTGTTTCCTGTGTTCTTGTGACCCATGTTAGCTCAGTGTTACCTCTCTTTACAAGTGTGTGTGGCCTAGTACTACAGATGCTGGGTGTTTCCTGTGTTCTTGTGACCCGTGTTAGCTCAGTGTTACCTCTCTTTACAAGTGTGTGTGACCTAGCACTACAGATGCTGGGTGTTTCCTGTGTTCTTGTGACCCGTGTTAGCTCAGTGTTACCTCTCTTTACAAGTGTGTGTGGCCTAGTACTACAGATGCTGGGTGTTTCCTGTGTTCTTGTGACCCATGTTAGCTCAGTGTTACCTCTCTTTACAAGTGTGTGTGGCCTAGCACTACAGATGCTGGGTGTTTCCTGTGTTCTTGTGACCCGTGTTAGCTCAGTGTTACCTCTCATTAACCCCTGGGCTGTTCTTGTGAATATAGCCTGCAACACTGCTAGGCGCAAGAAAAAAAAAAGTTTCTTCCGAGATTGTTAAAATGTGTTCCTTGATCACAGGAAAATTGGGCGAGGAAGTGTGGCAAAATTGAGGCGTAAACAGAGTGCGCATCCCATGGCAGTCTGCTCCACCTACGCTGTCAGACGGGAGTTACCGAAAAAAAAATGCTGCGGGACGTATACTCTGTCAATGACTTAATTTTGCCAGACTTCCCCGCGTCATTGCGGCCATAATATGTCACCTATGATCCCCTCTGCCCCTGCCCGTAGGTGGGGGGATCCCTCCGCCCCTCTCTGTAGTTGGGGGGGATCCCTCCGCCCCTCTCTGTAGTTGGGGGGGATCCCTCCATCCCGTGATCAAGGAACACAAATGAACACTTTTATAAGACAAAAAAATAATTTCTTTTATTTCTTGTGCCTGGCGGTGTTAAAGGCTATTAATATCCGAGCAGCCTGGGGGGTTAAGGGTTAATCAAGAAATTTTATAGATCTTTGTCTAAACTGTATTATATTATTGCATGTGCAATTAAGAAAGATGTTTACCAGCCAGATTAGCCCCTACAGTGCATATACAGTAGCATCTTAAGGTGCTCAAATGGTGGTGCAAAAAATGATTGAATTTAGCAGTGTTTTAATGTTTTGAATATGTTTCACTCATTGTGATTTGAAATGAAAGTTGTTGAGTGTGGCAATATTTTGACCTTTTGATGTTATGAAAATGTTCACTTAATGTTAATAGTTCATTGACCCGTGTGCTGTGAAGTTGTCACTTGAAACAGGCAGGTGTGCAGTGCAGGGATTAATGATGCATAGTGTAATCTCTGCTCCATAAACTGCATATATCACAAGATCTCTCTACATTAAACTAACAACTTACTGGAGTGAAAGATTTGTTGGGAAGTGTTCATTAGGCCAAGTAAAGCATAAAGGTGCCGTAAGACGATCAGAGAATACTGTACTCGCCTAGTTGTGCTTGCGAGAGTGAACTGCAGCTCTCTGAAGCTGTATGGTTATCATGGTTATCTTGAGATGATTTCGGGGATTAGCGTCCCCGCGGCCCGGTCCTTGGCTAGGCCTCCTTTCTGTTGCACATCCCCAGGAAAGGCAGCCCATAGCTGCTGTCTAACTCCCAGGTACCTATTTACTGCTAGGTGAACAGGATCATCAGGGTGAAAGAAACTGCCCATTTGTTTCCGCCTAAGGGAGCCGGTCGGCCGAGCGGACAGCACGCTGGACTTGTGATCCTGTGGTCTTGGGTTCGATCCCAGGCGCCGGCGAGAAACAATGGGCAGAGTTTCTTTCACCCTATGCCCCTGTTACCTAGCAGTAAATAGGTACCTGGGTGTTAGTCAGCTGTCACGGGCTGCTTCCTGGGGGTGGAGGCCTGGTCGAGGACCGGGCCGCGGGGACACTAAAGCCCTGAAATCATCTCCAGATAACCTCCAGATAACCTCCACCGGGGATCAAACCCGGAACCTAAGGACTACGAATCCTGAGCCCTGTTCACTCATTCGGCGGGCCCCTTTCAGCCTGGAGGGTGACAAAGAAGTTTAATGTGGGCGCTGATACTACTCTGGGAAAAGAAAACAATACATCAAAATAAAAGGGCCAGGGAGTAGAGTTCTGGTGTCAAACACTGAGATGAGAAATTTTCAGTGGCATAATTTGTTTGATGGAGTATTTTACTGCTGTGGTCCTGTAGTTAGCCAGAATAAGGATGAGCTTTTGTAAGGCAAGTCAAATATCATAATATTGTTATTTTCCAAAATCATTATTCATATATTATCTCTGGGCTGGTCCCCTTAGTAGCTTCTTTGATCTTAGACACTTGTACCATAGGGCCTCTCCAGCTGTAATAAACCCCTGAGAATTTCAAAGATCCATATTAAAAGCTACAAGCAGAATCTGGCATTCTCAAGGAAAATGGTACAGTGGCACCTCAATTAACGAGTTTAATCCGTTCCGGCACCGAGTTCGTCATGTGGAAAACTCGTCTTGCGAAACAACGACAAAACTGTCGTAAAAGGTGTCCGGAACCAGCGGAAACGCTCGTTAATCGAGGAAAAGCTCGTTAGTAGAGACAAATGTTCTGCGAGTGGCTTGCTCATTACTCGAAATGCTCATAGATAGAGCTGCTCGTTAATCGAGATACTGTACCACTGTACTTGGCAATGGGTGAATGATCCTAACTGGAACTCGTCAGACCTCCACCAGGTGGGTATTGGGCCATCACGCACCTCATCATGCTGGCCGGGTTTATATTTTTGCTTTGTCTTATATTGTAAGGGTTCCCTTCCCTGGCAGCTGACATTTCCTTTTCCCCACCAAAGGTATCTTCACTGAAGGATTGGGTTCCTTGCTTTGATCCATTCTAGCCTCCGTATAGTGCTTTCAGTGTGGTTGCTAATGCAAGGCTTTTGATGGAGAGTCAATGCAGTTAGCTGTATAATTGTATCGGTACATAGCCATAGCATCGTTATCATGTTTGTGCTTGGGTGGCAGTAAATGATTCTTTCTTTTCCATGGCTTAATATGACTTCCCTTAGCACTTGATTATCATTTTACCAAACATTAGCCTTTGTGACTAGCGGTGTACATCCATTGTGGTCTTGGCTGCTAGTTTTGGTGTATTCTGTATGTTTATCTCATTCCTCTATTAGTTGGGTCATTGTGAGGACTCCTCACCGAATTAGTCAAGACTTCACTGCTTGTGGCTTCTGAGGATGCACTTCAGTGTTGGGGGATAGAAATAGGCTAAGCTACGCTATCCATTTGAGATGTATTTTCTTGACTCAATAAACAAACTTGAATTTGAATTTCGGTGTTTTTATACTGTTATTGGTCCTAAATTCCTAAAAGTAAGGTTAGAAGACCTTACTTTTAAAGAACTCAGCAAGGTAGCGGTCACAACTGCAAGAAAAAGAACAGGTTGGATAACAACCTCTCAAACAAGAGATGCTGCACCAAT